TCTGTAGACATATCATATTCTACCCTCCTACACATAGTCACATCTCTGTAGATATATATTCTACCTTCCCACACATAGCCACATCTCTGTAGATATCATATCATATTCTCCCCTCCCACACATAGCCACATCTCTGTAGATATATCATATTCTACCCTCCCACACATAGCCACATATCTGTAGATATCATATTCTACCCTCCCACACATAGCCACATCTCTGTAGATATTATATCATATTCTACCCTCCCACACATAGCCACATCTCTGTAGACATATCATATTCTACCCTCCTACACATAGCCACATCTCTGTAGATATATATTCTACCCTCCCACACATAGCCACATCTCTGTAGACATATCATATTCTACCCTCCTACACATAGCCACATCTCTGTAGATATATATTCTACCCTCCCACACATAGCCACATCTCTGAAGACATATCATATTCTACCCTCCCACACATAGCCACATCTCTGTAGATATATATTCTACCCTCCCACACATAGCCACATATCTGTAGACATATCATGTTCTACCCTCCACACATAGCCACATCTCTGTATATATCATATTCTACCCTCCCACACATAGCCACATCTCTGTAGACATATCATATTCTACCCTCCACACATAGCCACATCTCTGTAGATATCATATATTCTACCCTCCCACACATAGCCACATCTCTTTATATATCCTATCATATTCTACCCTCCCACACATAGCCACATCTCTGTAGATATCATATATTCTACCCTTCCACACATAGCCACACTTCTGTGGTGGTTGTCATTTAATATAAAAATTATATAGTTTTCAGTATTACAATACAATGTATATATATTTCACTTGTATTGTCTTCAGAGGTAATGGGTATATGTATCCATTCTATAAGTAATGGTTTTGCATATATGGAATATAATTATCTGTTTTTCTCAAAAAAATAACATCCATTTCCTTGGTCAACATTACGAAAACGATAACAACCATGGTGATGAAACAAAACACTGTCTTTCAATCACATAAAACAACATATTCACATAAACTATAACAGTTTGAAATGACTTCACAGCAGAAAAATGGTTGAAACAGCTTTGTACAACCAATTGTATCATGTTTTAATACAACATGTAGCATAAACTACCACTACAATGAATAAAAAACCACAGAAAAACTGTAATAAATAAGTTATTAGATACATTAATAACATTCTTATTGGTTATCCCTTAAAGGCTACCTGACAAACCCAATATAAATCATGTTTGGACTATGCTTAGTGATAATGATGATGTTGATGATGTAGAAACTTTTGATTGTGTCTTTGATTTGTAGATAAATTGTGTCAAAATATTTTTCATGATATATCCTCAAAAGCAACAAAATTGAAATATCTGTAGAAGTAGACTTCTTAAAAATTCAGTTATTACTTGATCAGCTCCATCTCTATCAGTCAAAACGTTATGATTTCAACCACTACATTCTACAAGCAATGATTCACATATTTCTTTTTACAATTATTCAAATGAATTTATATGTCTTTTCCTTTTTAAAGCTAGCTGTCATATCAACATATGATTCTTTACAAGTTTGTAAACATGTAAAATAACATGTATGACTACTGGTCACATTTTCAGGGGTATACCTGTACACAATTTACCTGTACAATACCAACATCTAGAATTCTATTTCTCTAAAGCTTATAGATACAGCAGTTATTTGTAAAATTATGAATCAAACAGAAATATTGATTTTTTCCAAAGCAGTTACACACAATTTGATAAAAAACAAGAAAGGCACATGTTTCACAGTGGTTCTTATGATATCTTCTAACATGTGTTGTATAAAACTTGAAGTTTATACAACAGAAGTAGGAACAATTTAATTCAATCACAAAATAATGTATTTTTCATTAAACATATAACATACCTATAAATACATAGTTCAATCCATTCATTAAAAAGCAAATATTTATCAATTAATATTTCTGGCCAATATATTCTCAAATCAAAATAATTCTGGTGGATTAGACAAAGCAAAAACTTGCAATAATACATTGTACTTTACAACAACAAAAAAAAAAAGAGAAAAACCCATCAAGCCTGCCAAGTAACAAGTTTTCAGAGGGTTGACATAGAATCCTGTAGATAAACAAACTTAAGTGTCATTGACATTGCTCATAAGTTAAGTATATGCAGTTTAGAAACTACTTGTAATTCTATTGAGATTTTATTTCAAACACAACATGGCTGTGCCCCTGAAATGTCTAGTTTTTGTTTTACCCTATGTGAGTGTGTCCCTGCTGTCTAGTTTTACACTGCTGTGTCCCTGCTATGTCTGGGTTACCCGACTGTGTCCCTGCTATCTCTAGTTTTACACTGCTGTGTCCCTGTTATGTCTAGTTTTACACTGCTGTGTCCCTGTTATGTCTGGGTTACAGGACTGTGTCCCTGCTATGTCTGGGTTACAGGACTGTGTCCCTGCTATGTCTGGGTTACACTGCTGTGTCCCTGTTATGTCTAGTTTTACACTGCTGTGTCCCTGTTATGTCTAGTTTTACACTGCTGTGTCCCTGTTATGTCCGGGTTACACGAATGTGTCCCTGCTATGTCTGTTTTACACAACTGTGTCCCTGCTATGTCTAGTTTTACACTGCTGTGTCCCTGCTATGTCTGGGTTACACGAATGTGTCCCTGCTATGTCTGTTTTACACAACTGTGTCCCTGCTATGTCTGTTTTACATGACTGTGTCCCTGCTATGTCTGGATTACACGACTATGTCCCTATTAATTTATAGTGTTCCTGATGATCAGGTCTACACAACATACTAGTTGGTTGTCCCCTACTCTTATTTCCCGTCTCCATAAATATACTACAATTATAAACTTTCTACATAATTACATATCAACAGATTAATCGCACACACTTCTGTTACAATTTTACATCTTATACTGTAAAGTAACCTCACATAAACAAATACATGTTTCAAAAATACAACATAAAAGACTTAAAATGTTGATCCAAGTCAGCTTTTACCGTTTCTTTTAACAACCTGTAAAACAACTATAATTTGCACCGTTTTGACATAACCTTAGGTAAGCTATGACTGCATGGAAACCCATTAAACTGGAGCTAGGATGTGTTTTAAATGATGGATTTCTGATATTTTACCGATATGTTATACTAAGTGAAACCAAGCTCCTGTGTATTGCACATAGACCATGATTGCTGGTACAGTAACAGTCTTTGAAGCAAGTTTTAAAACCTATATAACCAAGGTCTGCCTGTGTTAAATCTCAACTTCAACAGATTTTTACTGATGATTCCAGATAGCTAAGAGTTGTAAACTTACATAGGTAAAGCTGGGAGAATGAAAGCTGAATTTTCAAACTTTGCTAAAACTTTTGAAAAATAATGACTATTTACTTTATTTTCTAAACTGCCATATTCATTACGACATCAATAACTGAGTTTATCTACAATGTAAATAGAATGTAGAAACAGTTATGTACAAGCTAAGGTTAGCCACTTTCACTAAATAATCTCATAAGACTTTTTATGTCATGCAAACATAGAAATATTCCAACTTGTGAAGTTACTGGTTACTGGACAGTGTGTGCCATGTCTGATCTTATTTCCTTCCTTTGTTTATTTTAGAATGTCCAGTGATTTGATACATACTGTAAACATACCTAATTTGGCACTATCAAATTTTAGCACATTCACAGTAATTACTATATTAGCAGCATATAGACACTGAAATTAGCACAATCATACTTTAGCACAATACTGTTTGTGTGAAAAGTGTTACAATAACATTACTGCTAAAATGTACAGCTAGCAGATGGTGAGCGTGTATGTCTGATCTCATTTCTTGCCCACTGAAAACTGCTGCTATAGAAAAGACAAATTCCATGGAAAGACCAGATAATTTCAGTTGAAAATAGTACAACAATTCTATTGCCTGATGCTGGTAATTTTGGGTGATGAGATGACGAAATTGCTCTAACTTGATCAATACTTGTACAACAACACGTCATGGAAAACATTCTTGGTTTATATGAACATATGTCTACAACCAAAAAACCCTCTTCCCTCCTCCTACACCCCTGTCCTTATAAGACCCTCTTTCCTCCTCCTACACCCCTAACCTTATATGATTTTCTCCCCTCCATCCACACCCCAACCCTTATATGACTTTCTCCCCTCCTTCCAAACCCCTATTCTTATATGACTTTCTCCCATCCTCCCACACCCCTATACTTATATGACTTTCTCCCCTCCTCCTACACCCCTGTCCTTTTGTGTCCTTTATTAGGTTGTATGGTAAGTATGAACAACAACTTTGTACAGTGTTAATGCAGGGTAATTTATATCTGGTGATGGCAATGTAAACATATGTCCCATTATTATGCAAACCATATTTATCTGAAATGAATGACTTTTACACCTCTGGGGTGAATGTACCACATGAATCATTGGAATGTTAAAATTTTAGTACAATATTCTAACTGGTTATTTCAAATGAGTCCCCCTCAAGTATATAATTGAGATGAGAAAAAGTTTCCTTGCAAAAATATCAGCATTTAAATATTCCTGTAGTTTTACAAAAATATCAGCAAACTTGTCAATATATGTTTTTAAATTATATTAAAAATCCAACCAGCATTTTTTCATATTATCAGAAAATGGACTAACACTTCAATATAAACAAGTTTAAATAGATATCACAATAACTATACAGTATCAATACTACAATATTAGTACATATAAAAAAAATAAATGGATTGGTTTGTGCACTTATCTTTGACGAATATAATCACTTTTTTCACAGCTGTTTATAATATAAACATTTAATGATAAAATAGATTTAAAATATTCATGATTAAATATATATGTCTATAGAAACAAGTAAACACCGAGTGTTTTTTCTTGAAAGACAAGGTAAATATTTCTAGTTGGTTTTCAAATAGAATCTATAATCAGCAATATCTGGTTACGTAATGGAATCATTAGATGGAATAGAATGTCTTGGTTTTGAAAGTGCTCCATTTCTAAATTTAATGCTACTCTCAAGGTTTCTATGATATGATGTTGTTGTTGATCCCTGAAGGCTGCCATCTACTGTGGTGATCTCTGTAGTATTGGTCATATTGTCATTTTCCTGCATTTCCATGTCAGAATTCTTGGATTCTATTTCCTTCTCCTCGAGCTGTGATATCACAATTTCATCTGGACTTATTGTCCTCTGTAGTATCCTGATCACAAATCTAAAACAAATATTTGCTGTGTGATCTAACCATCAAAGTAGGAAACAAACTGTTGTCACTTAATAGAAAGACAAGGAACTACCAAAACTTGTTATCATGTCATTTCTACAACTTATTTCATACAAGTCTACACTATTTTCAAATTTTCATTCCAAAATTAGAATACAAAAAGAATTTGGAGTCTTTTCTAACAACATTTCTCATATTATGATTAATACTACATCTTACTATACATCTCAATCATGTGGAATTCATTTGTTTAAATCAAACATCAATTCATCAGAAATAATTTAAAATATTCTTAAAACTTGGTAACATGGAATTCAGCTGTGGCTAAGTAGACACTATAAACAAAACATGGAATTCAGCTGTGGCTAAGTAGACACTATAAACAAAACATGGAATTCAGCTGTTGCTAAGGAGACACTATAAACAAAGTACTTGCTGGAAGTAAATTTCATCTTAAGTGTTGAAGCTTGCTTTAATAGATGAAATTTTAATACTTATTTATGTTTTTGCGTTTTAAGTTAACTGTTTTGGCCATGCTCATCATACAAACTTCAGAATCAGTGATAAAAACAACATGTATGCAGTTGGTTAGACAAGAGTTATTCCTATAGATTCAGGATGGACCTAATTATCTATATTGTTTCTTGACAGGTCCTGACAAAGCCTGAATCTTTGAATAGATGAAGGGAGATAACCATTTAAAAAAAAGGCCAGTAAAGGGAGGCAACTACATGTTTCTTACCTGGGCAGTAAAGCCAGCACAGTGGAGAGGAGGACGACGACAGTGTGGATGGGTTTGGTCATGGTGTGTATCATCACCCAGTATGGGTTAGCAGGATGGTCAAATGTGAACCACACAGCATTAGACAGGATAGCAAAGAACCAAAAAAATAGGAAACTAACAACTGTGGTCAACCACTGAGGCCACACCTGAAAATATGCAAGGGTCATTTAGTCACCTCCAGCAGGTAAAAAAAAGGTTTACATCAAAAAAAGATATGAGCATGTACTTAAAAATTACGAAATATTACCGAAATAAATATGGATAATATCTCAATATACTGAAATTTTACATATGATCCAACTTACCCAGGATTGAGTGTCTATAGCGATGGTGAGAAGGCAGGTTAAGATGAGAGCTGTAAAGGATGTAGTACCAAACTCCCAGACACCCACAGGCTCATACAGGTATGCCTGGAAATACACAGCAAGTCAACATTAAAACATTGATCAAAATCACAAAAGTCTAGAAACTGTATACTTAAGGTAAGCATGGAATCACATAAATATACTGCCTTATCCCTTCATCTTTTTCTCATGATCCAAATCTGTTAGGGGATTAACCATATAAAGGGTTTGTGAGATATCGTATATACATGGTTTTTATTTGAGAAATGAACTAGGGTGACCGTCAATTTTTAACGTTAACCAATGACTATCAAATCCAATGAGGGTAGTCCTTGGTGAGGTAAAACTTTAGTGTAAATATGAACCAGATCTGTCCATGGACTCATGATATATCTTGTTCACGATGTTATCATGGAGGCAGACATACATGCATTGACAGGGGAATGAATGGTATATCTCTCCTTACCTAAGTGGGTATAATTAGCAGATAGAATAATTGTATTCAAAATCTTAACAGAAGTACAAGAATTTGAAAGCTGATTATCAACAGAGAAGGACATACCAGATAGCAGACGTAGTAAAGAATAACACTTTGATACAGGGCATCCAGCATGGCCATGAAGAACGACATCCGTGTGTACAACTGTTAAAACATACAAAATAAGCACATATACAAAAATATAAATGCAAAAATTTGTTCAACTGATTTTGGGAATTTATTGGATATTTTAAACAGATTCAGTTATGCATTGTGATAGATTCTTGTGATAAGTAAGATTTAAGAGTCATTGACTGTGTATTGTCTATTCCAGACCAAAAGAAGATTCAGTTTTGCATTGTGATAGATTCTTGTGATAAGTAAGATTTAAGAGTCACTGACTGTGTATTACCTATTCCAGACCATTACATGTGCTACCTACCTTGTCTTGTGGGCCTGTCTTATACAGCTCCGGTTTATTAAGCAATGTTTCCGCAGACACATCCTTGTCCATTACAGCATTGACAATCGGAGGGAGAGCGGTAAACAGCACATGTTTGAGCATAGTAAACAAACTGTCAAACTGTAGTGAACCAGAAAAGGCACTGTCGAACTGGTACCAGTACAGCGCAAAAATCAGGATCTACAAGTAATTCAAACAGATTATAATAACATCACAAAAACTTACATATAAAGTTTTAGATACAAAACTATATAACATACTCAACATCCATAGATGCCAGTGTTATCTACATACCAGTAATTTTATGTCCCCTCCCCCTTAATAGCACAGCCATCACATTTACTTACCAAGCTCTTGTAGAACATGATTGAAGAAAAGCGAGCAAGACGACTGTAGCACCAGTGGCCATGTACTAACAACAGATCTTGGAGATGTTTAAAACGACAGATGGCGAAGTCTGAGGCCATCACAGCCTGCATGCCCTCCTGGCCTGCCACGCCTACACCAATGTCTGCCACATGTATCATACTAACGTCGTTGGCTCCATCACCTGCCAAAAGGAAATTCAAATCTACATCCTGCCTCTTTCATCAAAATCTCTATTATAAAGTCTTACTTCTGATCTGACAGCACTACCAGCAGCAGACAAATATCAAAGGATTTTTTTTCTTAAGAAATATCTACCATCCCATTTGACACTTGAAAAGTAAGTTTGCCATCGTGTTCAGTATTTGCACATCACTTAATTACATTTCAATTTCTATTTAATTTTGACAAGATGAAGGTACTAAATGTTGCCTCTTCAATTTGCACATAAATTCCATTTGAAGTTGTCTCAAGATCAACTCAATAATTTCCCCATGAAATCGGCCAAAGCAAAGTTTAATCCTCATCAGAACATACCTATAGCTAACGTCAGTTTCTTCAAATGATCACGTACGAGTTTCACAACCATGCCCTGTAAAATAAAACAAAGATATCATCAATCATCCTTATATCACAGTCACTATAAAACATGTGACAGTAAGATAAAACATCAAATATCATACCTCTGTTTGTATCACCATCATCGATTTAATTCAGTATAATAAATATTCTAACATGTTTTTGTACTTTAATTATCAACACAAATATATAAACTGTAATTTTGATATTTTCCAGCCTATTCCAATTCTCTTATCTATCTTAACACTTCCACAAATACTCAATTCTCTCTGAAGGGGCTACAATAGTTCAGTTGGTTGAACATTGTGTCTACGTATCCTTAGGTGTAGATCTAAGGTGCATAGTTCAACATTTCCCAACCATTTGTGTTTCTCAGGAAGCTGAGAAAGGAATCTAGTCTGTTTGGAATTGCTATCAGTTTGTGATGGAGTTTATATCTATATGGGTTTAGAATTGTTTTCTATTTGTATTTGCCTGCATTTGCATTTGTGTATTGTATCCAGAATACCGGAATCAATATACATGCGCAAAAACAACTAAATATTGAACCAGATGCCGATGCAAACCATAGATTGTTTGCATTTGTAAGAGAAATTTGTATAAAGAACAAAAAGAAGAATTGAGATTGAATCAATGTCTGAATGAATTCATACACAAATCTTCCAGCTGATAAAAATGACAGAATCCTTACCATAACAGAAAATTAATAACATTCACCAAATGATATATAATATTGAGTATTAAAAAAATATCAGTCCATTAATTAGAACATCAAATCTTATTACTTAAGATCTAATATATTAGACCCATTATACTACATATTGTAACTTTTTAATTTGAATTTTTAAATTAAAATTTTCATTCCATATATATATCTACATATATATTGATTGTTCTTGTGATAAAAAATGCCTTTTTAAAATCTGTAAATGCATATTTGTGGTGTTTCTTGTGCATTTTCAGAAATATTTTGGTCAGACAACCTTAGATTATTGGCTATGTATCTTCAATAAAAGAGGTTGAAATACATTATTGTAAAGAGGTTACTGGTAATTATATATCTTTAATTGAAGAAGAAGGTGTATTTCCGGATTTATGATAGATGTTCATGTTGTGTTCCGATTCAATAATGTTTCATTTTGCACACAATGTTAACTGAATAATCATTGGGAAGAAAGGGCAAAAATATTTAAAAAAGAATGACATTTTATATATATATTGTGACGCAAGTTAAGACCTATCGGGTTCCTGTAATAACCTGCCATACAGGCAAATAAAATATGTACACATCAAGCCAGGAAAGCAAATAAATGAAGATAGACTAGGTATGTATGTGGAAATCAATGGGGTTTAATTGTATGAAAAATTGATTTATGTCCATACTTTCAATGTTTGTTTAGACTTGAGATTAATAAAGATATCAGATATAGATATTAAGAAATTGTTCATTACAAACTCAGATTTATCCTTATGTCTATATTGTCAAAGCTTTTAAATTTTAACAGAAATGAGAGAGTATGTTAGAGTAACCAACATCATGAGAACCAACTCATGCTTTTACAAACAGACTGAAATGAGAATAAAATATTACAGTACTTAAATTGGTAGACATCTTCAAATTAACTAATAGCATTTTTATTAAAGTATATACATTTTATAATATTAGAAAGCATCTGTGTATTTTTCTTAGTGATGAAAAGATGTGAGTTTTTTAACAGATGATAAATTTTTCAGGAGAGAACAAAACAATGATGACTAGTTTATTATGCCATCATACTGATCACTAATATTACTATGGACATAAGCATATTGCTCCTCATGAAACACATATGAAAGATGAAGTAATGTCATCACATGTGTGAGTGGGATTGTTAAATGTTTCAGGGTCTATATTCTAACCCCTAACTTCCTTCACTCAGCCTGGTACTCTTCCCTCTCCTCCCCTTGGTCTTGGATACTCATTACCTACCTTGTCCCTGGTTTGGTATTCTAGCCCCTATACCTTCTTTCATCCTGTTACTAAACCCTCTCCTCCCCTTGGTTTGGTATTCTAGCCCCTATACCTTCATTTAGTCTCCCCCTAGCCTGATTTTCTCTCATTCTTCCTTCCCTCATCCTGATATTTTACTGGCTTAATATCCTTCCCCCTATTCCTTCCCTAAGCCTGTTACTAATCACCCACCTTCCCCTGGCCTGTTATTATCGCCTCTATTCTTTCCGTTAGCCTGTTACTCTTCACTCAACTTCCTCTAGCCTGTTTTCATCCTTGTTCCTTCCCTTAGCCTAGTACTCTTCCCCCACCTTACCCTGGCCTCCCTATTCCTTCCCTCCCCACCTTACCCTGGCCTCCCTATTCCTTCCCTCCCCACCTTACCCTGGCCTCCCTATTCCTTCCCTCCCCACCTTACCCTGGCCTGCTATTCTCCCCCTATTCCTTCCCTTAGCCTGTTATTCCTCATCCACCTTTCCCCTGGCCTATTATTACCCCCCACCCCTTCCTTCCCTTAGCCTGTTACTCTTCCCCCACCTTCCCCTGGCTTGCTATTCTACCCGCTGTTCCTTCCCTCAGCCTGGTATTCTTCCCCTTTTCCATACTTCAGTCTGGTGTCCTACCCCTCCCTTATCCCTCTGTCTGGTATTAGACCACTCACACCTACCTTCTGTATGGGTGTGGACCTACAGCACACTACTGATTTACACCGAACAGCCAACTTCAAAAATGATGGTTCCAATTGTTTGTCGAGAGCGTACGCCAGTGTGGGACCATCTATGACAAGTGCATACTCCTTCTTGGGTTTGTTTTCACCCTGACTAGTCTCTTTGTTACGGTTTATCTGTACTATGTGTTCCTCTAGGAGGTCCTTGGTAGTTTCCTGTATCAAGAAGAACAACAAATTATTCCCCTATATATTACAGAAAGATATATATTTTTCTTTAGCTCAGTCAAATGAGACAGAGAGAAAAAACTATTTTGTTTCATTGTTTTTTAAAGATAGCATGTCTTTACACAATAGTGAATTCAAACTCTTTGTTTCTGATGTTAAGGAAGCCAGAGATGATATATGGATTTCCTTCTCAAATAAATCCATGTTATTGGAGACAATTTCACAAAAAGACTAGCTTATACTGCCCCATACTAACCTTATCAGAACCATTCAGCACCATGATGTGCATATTAGTATCAAATAGTTGACTAGCATAGGCTATCTGTATGGCTGTCTCCTGTTTATCTCCAGTAAGCACCCACACTTTGATGCCAGCTCGCCGTAGCTTAGAGATTGTTGCTGGTACTTCATCCTGAAGCTTATCCTCTATGCCTGTTGCTCCTGTGGTCAAATGTTAATTATTGTTCATATTTTTGTACTATGAAAATATTTACAAATTATTATACCGGTAATAATTCAATCATTTATATAGTGATCCAACACAAGTATTTTCTTAAACATCCTATTAAAAGAATTTAATTGTCTATCAATGAGGAATTTAGCTGCTGAATTTCATAAAAGTGGTCATGATTATTAAGACACAAATAAGTACAGCTTATGATGTATTAACCGGAAAATAGAAACTGCTGTGTTTTGTATAGTCACTCCTCTCTACTAAGAGCCAGGATATTGCTTTCCCTATGGGACCACAGTGGGCACTGGCTGCTATCTCATCATCCGTAAACTTACACACAGACTCTATTTGGCTATAGAGTCCCATTAGTACACTTTTGCATAATATTACAGAACTCACATGATTACTCTAATTTGGCCTGAAATATTTATAACACAAATCCAAATCAGAATTGTCAGTGGATATCTCTGTACTTACCTAGCAGATCGAGATCTTGTTCTATTTCACAGGCGACTTGTCAGTGGATATCTCTGTACTTACCTAGCAGATCGAGATCTTGTTCTATTTCACAGGCGACTTGTCAGTGGATATCTCTGTACTTACCTAGCAGATCGAGATCTTGTTCTATTTCACAGGCGACTTGTCAGTGGATATCTCTGTACTTACCTAGCAGATCGAGATCTTGTTCTATTTCACAGGCGACTTGTCAGTGGATATCTCTGTACTTACCTAGCAGATCGAGATCTTGTTCTATTTCACAGGCGACTTGTCAGTGGATATCTCTGTACTTACCTAGCAGATCGAGATCTTGTTCTATTTCACAGGCGACTTGTCAGTGGATATCTCTGTACTTACCTAGCAGATCGAGATCTTGTTCTATTTCACAGGCGACTTGTCAGTGGATATCTCTGTACTTACCTAGCAGATCGAGATCTTGTTCTATTTCACAGGCGACATCAAGGAGTTTTTCTTCCCTATTTTCTAAGGAAGCATCAGCCTCCTTAAATCGAACCCGCCAATTCTTGTAGAAATCTAAATCTAGTACCTGTAAAAGAAAGCAGAATAAAGTTTGGAAAGCAGACATTACCCTCATTGAGATCATCATAGAAAGCTATATATTTCCATCAGCCTAGCATCCTAGGTAAATTAGCACAACTGATGCTGAAGATGAAGCATTATCTACCAGAACAATGCACAAGACATTATTGAATGCTCTATATTTAGAATGAAATACAAACTGACGATCAAAACAGGATATGCAACAGCCTTACTCACCTTTTTGGCCATACACAGTGTTCTCAGTCCCCTAACAGCATACCCTAATATATGGTCCTCTGTTTTACGTACAATGTCCTTCATGGCTGGATCCTCTGTAAATCAATAATAATATGTTGTACAAATGTCACAAAATTGTCCCTCATATCTTTGTAGGTAGGACTGTATATACCTGAAGAACACCAGATTAGCTCACTATGGGTAGAACTTGTCATATTGGTTGATATTTAAGGGACAATATATTTCATGTTTTACACTTCTGCTAGCACTTTACAGAATAAATTAATATTCCCTCCTGTATGAAATTCTGTCTAATCTGGCTGTGTACTTTAGGTTTCCAGAATCAGTGGAACCATTTGTACAATTTTGCATTCTAATATTACTTGAGGATACTTCTAACCAAATATAAATGACTTATTTCTCAGAAATCAAATCATTATGGACAAACTACAGTGAAGATCAATCCCTTAACTATTTCTCTAAGCCAAAATTGTTTTGGATCTAGTTGTATGAAATAAAAAACCATTTTCTTCAGATATAAAGTATGAAATCATCTACATACGTTTGTATTTTTTATGAAGTATGCTGAGAACCTGTGAATCGGCTCCTTTGGTGTACAGGACAATTTCACCGTTGACTGGGTTACGTACAATAACAGACATCCTCTTTCTTGTTGAGTCAAAAGTTAGCACATCCAATGTCTCAAACTCCACTTCTCCTTCGGCTGGGAACAGTCACAATTTAATTAAGATCTTTAATTTTGATCCTTGATGAAGTTTTCATTTCTGTTTTTATTATGCTCCACTGAACTTTCAAACATAAGAAGTACTAAATACGTGACATAAACATTAAATATATATATTAAATTACGCGTGGCTTATTCTTGAATAAACAATAGTCAATTTCAGAGTGCATAATTAAGTCTTTGTAACATCAATAACAAATATTCAAAATCTGATTACATTCAAAAGAAACAAGGACACTGAGTATTGCTAAAGAAATACATATCCTGAAGGTAAACATGTCCCCTATTGGCCCTCACAGGCTATTACACTACAAACATAGTGTTGTCTGGTGTAAGTTTGGAAAAAAAGGTATTCAATGGAACAATGCTTAAAATAAGTACATAGTATGACAATCCAGTTTCATCACCAATGTGTGATAAATAAGTACATAGTATGACAATCCAGTTTCATCACCAATGTGTGATAAATAATTACATAGTATGACAATCCAGTTTCATCACCAATGTGTGATAAATAAGTACATAGTATGACAATCCAGTTTCATCACCAATGTGTGATAAATAAGTACATAGTATGACAATCCAGTTTCATCACCAATGTGTGATAATGTGTAAAGGTCATTTGTAAGTGTGTAAGGAATGAAGCTGCTAGAGCACTGATAATGATTGTCTAAAAATAGTAATGATGACCTAGACCTTGACCAAACCCTGAAATTCAAATTTGTTAAAGACATGTTTAATGTTTTAAAGGTGAGAATTTTGGTATTAATCCCTAGAGGAATGAAGCTGCTAGAGCTCTGACCATGATTTTCTGAAAACAGTAAGTAACTTAATTAACAGGTCTCCAAATTTGTGAATGAAGCAAAATTTACAACTCAATGTTAGACTGTTTACACAAGAACTCTCTCATTGACAACAAAATCAACTCCCCTTAGCTACAGCTATTTGCAAATACATATATCCAAACAAAGTGGACTCCCTCAACTATAGCTATTTACAAGTGATGTGTTACCTGGAAGCCAGACTGTGACTTTATCTGGGGATCGTTTCAGGAGACAACAACCATAGGTACAAGATGCCTTAACAAGGGCCAGCTCATCTGGACTTTCAGCCTCATACTGAGTCCTCTGTGACATGTCGGAGAGGAAGGAGGATCCGGCAATGCTACCTTCGGATGGTGTCAGGGCTGGACTGGAACTATCATACCGATTGTAAAGTTCTCTGCTTTGGAAGTCTGCTGTGGCTGCGATTGGAGGAAGGGCCAGAGATTTAGGAGTAGAACTCTCCTGACTGAGAGGAGTCAGATTTGATTTTTTTGTTGAGGGTTCGGGTAGCTTCTTGTAGAAATCAGTCATCTTCTGTTTTTCTCTATCACTTTTTTGTTGGTGTGGGTCATGAACGACTCCACTTTCATCCATCTACAATTGAGAGCAAAAGTTAACTGATACTAGTGATATGACATCTGGTATCCCCATACAGATAATATCTGACTTGATCTCTTCAGTTGAACATTAGTCTTTCAATGTTGACAGAATCATCATAACAAGACAATGTCTTCATATCTTAATGTCAAATTTCTATGTGGAGACATAAAAAGTTTTTTCTTTATTACAATATTAAGTATAAAAAATGATTGAACATCACCTCCAAATGTAAAGAACTATTTCATGCTCTCAAAAAACCACTTACAAAATGTACTGTACAATTACTCTATAATGATTCAAAGTAAATGGTGTTGGTTACAGTATTTTTGTACCATATTTACTGGAAACTCATTAACTTCAAAACTTTTTGTAAATGCAGTTTGCATTTGAGGACTCACCAAGTCCTCATGTGCATGTGTTGATACGACGACAGTGTTGCAGATTGCCATGAGCAGGAAAAACTCCTGTATAGTTTTGGTGTTTTCCATCTTCATGACAGGTGGAGTATCTGGGAGAGACAGATCAACACTGTTCAGACTGCGCATACACATCTTAGACAATTCTCGTTGAAGGTCAGGCTCTAAACTCAGGTTCTCCAGTACCTGGAAACAAAAAATCAGGGTCACTCTGTATATCAGACCAAGTCAAACGCATTCAGTATAGGATACAAAGTCACATCAAGGTCAGCACATCAGGCCAGAATAAAGACTGGACCAAAGTAACACAAGTGAACACCACCTTTCAATACAAATTTAGAATTAAACACAGTAGAGTCAGATGATGAATTAAACTGCATCATACAGCTGTTCCGTCCTTCCAGCACCTTTCAATACAAATTTAGAATTAAACACAGTGGAGCCAAAAAACTGCATCATACAGCTGTTTCTGTTTCCTTCTAAGACTAAAATTTGAAGCTGAGGAGGTAACTGGGGCAAATCCAAAGTGATCAAAAGAAAAGTAAAAATCTAGATGGGAATGTGTACTAGCCCCCTAATTCAATAGATTTCCTAATTTTCATATATTAGATAATTTTAGAATGTCAATCACATATTCATATTATGAACATTGTCACTATTTCAATGAATGAACTATGCAGGTTATGGTAAACCATGGGAACTAAACAGTGTCTACTACCTGCTATCTCAAAGATTGTACAACAGACACAAGTGAATAGCACCTTTAGTACAAATTCACGGCTTGAAACAGTAGAGCTTAAAAGTGAATTACACTGCATCTTACAGCTGTTTTGTCCTTTTAAGACTTATCAGTGATGCTAAGGGCCTAAATTTTGAAGCTTACGAGGCAACTGAGATAAAATCCAAAGTTATTGAAAGAAAAGTCAAAACCTAGACAGGGAGGTGCATTAGCACTAAAATTAAAAACATTTCAGAATTTTTACATTTCTGTTAGTTTTAAAATGTAAAGTACATTTGCATGTGTACATGTGGTACAATTTCATATTCCACAGTACAATTTTATGTTACACCATATAATTTTATATCACACAGTAAAATTTCATGTCACACAATACAATAAATATCACGCAGTAAAATTTTATGCCACACAGTATTACAATAGTATAATTGTGACATGAAAGGAGAATGCCACAAATTAACATTTAACAAGCAGCGAGTCAGCATCATTATCTAACTTTGAACACCTGTGTCCTTTAAAAAGAAAAATTGTATTACACATACCAAAACTAAAAATTGATATGTTCACTACAAAGAGCTCTGAATGACCCTGAAGTGTTAACATATAATGGGTGAGTAAGACAAAAAAAAAGTCCATTACTGACAATATACACAGAAATGAGAACTTCATTAAAATCTATCTACAGAATGTGTTTTGTTTGAAAAAGACAGATATAGCGATGTAATAAACCTGATGAACGGTCGGCCCCTAATTAATAATTCAACAGAAGTCTACACAAGTCTATATTATAAGTAAGTACTAGTGATCAGTAATTGGATCCTGGCCAAATGACCTCCCACAAACAGGTGTATATGGGGAGCCAAGATATACACCCAACCAGGATATAGGCTATGTTGACAGAGATATCAAGACTTAAGTTAGGGTTTTACATTATACTTAGGTTCTCTGATATTCTATTTATTAAAACCAGTAGGTATTTAACTTTTGATATACCAATTAAACTCAATTTGTCTAAGTAAGATTATATACTTCCTAATGATTTTTGTAGCTTAAAGGCATAGCTTTCTTAATGAAATTAAAAAGAACAAATCAACAGTTCATATGAATTCAAAGTGCATTTTTTATGCTTGGGAAGAGTTGAGTTGACTTGTAGAGTTGTGTCATTAGGGAACAAGGTGCCTTAAAGATCATGTCTGGAATTCATATTTACAATGCTAATTTTTCAAAAAGCTACTCCTAATTTGTTTGCATCTGTTTGCCATCGACTGATTGACATTTGATAATGACAATATATACATTCCAATAGCGACTTCCAATGCTGGTTCGAGGTAACCCTTCTATACATTTTAACCATCCACCAACCTATATACTGATGCTGAGTGGAAAATAAAAGCCAACTCAACAGCAGAGAAAAGCAAAGGAATCAGCTGATATATATTTAATTAGTATTGATTATGTACAGGTATGTGTTAATTAATTAATCTACCTGTTACTAATGGTCACTGCCTGTTGTACCTATCTGTGTTGAGTAAACAATAGCACAAACGTGTCCAAGAAAGAAAAAAGATTGAAGGATGTCCATGGTCTGATGATTAAGAAGCAAAAAATTTGAAAAAAAGTTTGAAAAGGTCTACATGTGATAATATATATCAAACACCTCTGATTTATCTACAAAATACAAGCAGGGATCAATCTTATGTGCTGATCAAACAAGAAAAATCTAAAAAATATATCTGTAGTACATAAATATGTCAGTGAATTCTGCTGACTGTCAACTGCCTAGAAGCCTTTTAATTATATCCACATAATCCATACAACCATTAAATGCTGGAACTTTTTGATCAATGCAGTACATATTATCTAACAGTATCTGTTTTAGAGTTAAAAGTGAAGACAAATGATGTATCAATGTCGGTTGAAATTTCAATGGTGCTTTGGAATATTATTGATTCAATGAACAGTAAGCATATTCTAATTAACATTCTAAAAAGAGAAAAATCAACACATTTATCATTATATCTCACTTTAATAAATAATGATAATTTTCTAAATTGTCTGGTTGTAAACAGAGATTACAAGATAGTGTTATGTGTGCAATCAAGAAAATGATTGGTATAAACTGGTTATAAGCTGAGAAAGGTTTAGTAACTAGGTCCACCGTTGAATATTTAGATGGAGAAAGGACAGTCTCCATAGAGTTACCTACCAAGGACGCCATTGATGGAGGTACCTATATACAAAAACACAAACATCAGATACCCACAAATCAACCGTTTATTAAACCAACTGAGTGTTGTTACAATATAAAGGTGGAGTTTGAAAACACAGTTGCATGGTGAATGTTACATGATATAAAATTTTCAACTTCCTGCTGGGATGATAGTAATAAAGAAGCTGAGTTTAATATGGTTATTGTTGTAAATCTGTAAAACTTCCTGGTGTAACTGAATCTAAATCTTTCTGTCATTTAATCCGCATTACTAGCACTGGTGTGGAGTACTACACCATGGTGGTAACACACAGCATACCAAGGTAGATAAGAGCTATGTCAACAAGTTAAACAAAATCTCACATATTTAGGTAAATGAACATAGGTTGGTAGTTGATGTTTGAAGGTTTTTTCCTTCAGTGGTGTAGTGTGACCTGCAGCACAAACAAGTGGGAGGGGGCAGGCTGGCTATATCACCTTGTTGTATCGGGAAGGGAGTTCCCTATTAGAAACAATTTTCAAATTTTTAGTGTTCTACAGGTTTACTTTCCTCACATGACTGAACTAGAAAAGATCTAATCTTTATAGTAACTGCATCACCATTTATCAGCTGCTGTTAATTTGTTAAGGTTTTTTTTTTCTGCTTACAAATATCACAAGTTTTATGTGTTTTTTCACACTGAAGTAACATTATTTCTGTATAAAATGCTCGTGTTTTTCCCTACAGCAATGCTAAGACCCTATTATTCCTATTTTCTGTCTTTATTTTTCAAATTGGCAGAAAAATAAAGCACTTTCATTCAGATATTGAACATACAAAAAAAATCAAGATTGAATGTCAAATAAGCTATGTAAGGTGACTGAAATACATATCTAATAATGATAAGGATATGATTTCTTTATGTTGTTAAGGTTATCATTTCTTTTCCCTTACTCAATAACGAGTATCAGATTTCTCTGGAAATAAGCCAACTTATATCTACTAACAGTAGAATTACAAACTTTTTTTGCGTTATCCTACTATAAGCCCATCCCCTGACACAAAGGTAGATTTTGTATGTTGGCCACCTAACCTTGTTACAAGAAAAATCGAGTTTGTAAATCTGCTTGGGACGTTTTAACCAATAACAATGACCAAATCTCCCTCATTTATCATGAAGTATTTTCAAACAGAGTAGAAACAGATACATATCAATGTTTCTTGGTTGAAAAACATGATATATTTTAACATTGACTTCATGTTTTTTATTTCATTAAATATAAATTATTTTAACTGTGTGCTGTGCTAACTTTTGTTCCTGGAATATCTTAAATATCATAACATCTAATACAGGATATGGCCTCTTATGATGACATGTCAATTTTTTGCCAGCTGTTACCTACACGGAAGTAACATAGAAGTCAGTAGTACATCAGGCTTTTCACATAATCACCATCTACCCAGCCACTACATAAATCCTCTATACTCATGCATAACTCAATGTCAACGAAAATGAAAACAATACATGTCATTTAAGGGTTGATTGTTGATGCTTTCTACTAAACTGAAAAAAAACCCACCTTTTGATAAAATTTAAGAACCAGAAATATTTTGCTTAAAGAGTGTCTGTCTTACTAGTTCCATGTCAGAATATCATGAATTCATTTTACCAGATTAGGAAAACTGGTTCTTGTTGATGGAGTTCATATAATAAGAAAAAAATCCCTACTGGGATGGGTATCTGAAGTCTATGACAGGAATCATATTATAAAATCTATGTTTGGCAAAATTCTGTAGTTTAAGTGAGAATTGATTTTCTGAGATCATAGAAGCTGACAAAACATTGCACAATATGATCATGCGTGTAAAGTTTTCTGTGGTTACTTACCGTGCTGGACTTACTGGCCAAGGAAAACCTGCTGCCAGTCTCACTCATATCATCTTCGGACTCTGTACAAAATAATCCAAATGTACATATCAGTTAATCAATTTGTTCAGTAATATATGTTATTACTTAATATCCAGATCTCATTTCCATAAATACCTACAGGTTAACATTACAAAAAAAAAATAAAAATTAAAAAAAAAAAAAAAAAAATTATATGGTAAATATTATGATTACAATTTCTCACATGTCACAGTTTTATTTAGAGCAGATGTTAAAAACTTTATTGAAGTACACACACAAAAAAAGGCTCCTGTAGTGGAAAATCTGAAAAAGTAGCTGTTCTATGAAACATGACAGTATTCTTAAGTAAAAAGCTGATGACTTGTATATGTTTAAAGATAGGTGTAAGAATTCAAATTTACTCCTATTCTAAGGAATTTTGATTGCAAGGGTACCATTTCATGTTGGCTTAGAAAAACATCTTTTAAAAATCTACTTGTTTGCATACATTTCGGCAAAAGTAGTTGACTTACTGTGAATTGTTTGTATGGAACTTTATCTGAAAGATTCAATTAGGAAAAAATCCTGGTATACCCCTTTGTTAATTATCTAGTCTATCAAGTATGGAGCAATTGTTACATACTTATTCTCCCTGTATAAATATAGATTTACCTTTAATCTATAATATACTGACAAGTAAGCTGGGTCATTCTGGTAGAAGTTAAAACTGAACTTAAAACAGTTTGTCTCAAATTTAAATTGATATAATCAAGCTTTCTTTGTAACTTGTAATGCCTAGAAAGTCTTTGTTTTGTCACTTTCTCCTTTTTATGGACTCATTACGTAAAACAAAGTAGAATGATATCAATATCAGCCTCATTGATTTACAACCACTTATATTACCATAATCAATCTTTATGGCCTGGATAGAAGCATGCCAGGTGTCTTACTGTGGAGGAAACTGAGTACCAAGGGAAAACCTATGTGACAAGCATGTCAACTTGTGGTATCAAACCCCAGATGTCTGGGTGAAAGGCGAGCGCATTACCACTGCACCATCTAACCACCTATAACATAATTATAAAAACTTTAAAAACCCTTTCAGTTTCAGTACAACAGAAAAAAACTTCCCTCAGTTAAGGATGTCCCTGAAACTGATTATAATCTGATAGAACTAACTTTCACAATACTGGCAATTTTCCTTCCTAAATACACTTGTTGGCCTGGACAGAAGTACTCTGGTTTTTTTCCTGTTGGCAGAAACTAGATATGATCTGGAGAAACCAACTAGACAGACAAGAGACTGAAACACCAGTAGAAACCAACAGGATGAACAGTAGAGCCTATACCTTTTCATTTCTGATCAGGGAACTGACCACAGTTACCTAGGATATAATAGTCAATAAGGTGTCCATTCCAACTCCAATAATCCTTTAGAGTATTGGATTAGAGGAAAACTTTTGGGTAACAATAATTGATTAAACAAAAACTTACCGGGAGCATGTGGATAATCCTTGCCATTGATTGTACAACTTTTAAATTCCATCTGATTTTCGGTGAGTGTTCCTGTTTTGTCTGAGAAGATGTATTCGACTTGCCCCAGGTCCTCCGTAATGTTGAGAGCCCGACACTCAACCCTCTTGTCCATTGGTGCATAATACATACGTAAGTCATTATTGATGAAGTAGACCTGTCCAAGTTTGACCAGTTCAACAGACACATAGAGAGCCAGAGGAATAACCGTCTGTAAGATAAATATGATAGAAATATCAACTTATTACAAAAGATGCATCAAATAAATCAAGATCATCTATTTGAACAAACTTGACTGCCCTTTATCCAAGCATGCTACGGTTTGCATATTGTGACCCTTGATCTCTGAACTTTTACAAAAGTAGTCTACATGTATCAAATTAAAGGTGCTACATCCTGGCACAAGACTCACTTGCTATTTGAGCAAGTGAGCTAAACATGAATTTGGTCAAAGGGAACTGACATAATATGTTTACTTTTTCTACACTTAAAGATTGAGTTTAAGTAAAACACTTGTTGGTAGAAGGAATCCTAATGACATTCACATCTAAAATACATCAATTTGATAGAGTTATCATATCTGAATGAAACATCATACCAAAGTGCTACATAAAGTCTTAAGATCTGAAAACTGCCTGATCATGCATCGTTAGAACAAAGATAACTGTTAGTGGTCCTGTGCCTTTACCATAGTTTACCAGACATTCAAATTTCTCATAAAGAGAGCCAGGTATCTGGGTTGTGGATTAGGTCAGGACTTATAGATGAAACATCAAGTTTTAACAACCACGCTTCACTGTGAATTATTGGACATTTTCCCCCCCTCTAATAAAGAGTTGTTCTTTTAAGTACATTACACTGCACCTAACTGTAAAAAACAACCCACACGATGGTTATGCTAAGCCAACACCTTAAACTCAGTTGCTTGATTTACAGTTATCAGAAGTCCTAATGCTATGGCCTCATATCATTTTACCTGTCCTTTCTTGACCTAGCAATATCAGCAGACAGGTAACACATATGCATGTATGTATCACCAGTCTGTTCGCGTCCTTTATTAGGTCTTATCAGTAGACTGGGTAACAGGAAAAATGTGAGTGGGTCTGATAAAGTGCTCATCTACTTTTTATGTTTACATTCTATCTCCATGATGCCAAAATGTAGGTGAAAACTCCTTCATTGCGATGAAAAAAACCCAATGATGCCTCACCACAAATATCACAATGCACTATACAAACCTGGTAGATAATGATATATGTGAAGAACACAACAAATGCTTGAAAGTATGGGTTGTACCACTCATCACTCTCATAGGGAATAAAGGGTACTAGATGTCTGTCTTTGTAGCCTCCCAGCCAAATACCACTTGCTGGAAGAAGTAAAGAAATCAAAATGAAAACAGTGTAGGAAAAATCAGGACATTTGTCATCACTTTTCCAGTGTACATCTACTGGCCTATGGTATCAATACCTCAGTATCAATCTACAGTCTAGGTATCAATATATACTAACTCTCTTGGTATCATGAAGTTTACTGCTCAGGTATCCAAAATATTTCATTTTATGAGAACATTTTATGAAACATTTTTTACACATCCTCATCTTTTAGGATTGACATTAAAGTAAAATTGTAACTACGTGTCAAGATCAACAAAACTTACCAATGGCACAGAAGAAACACAGGAAAAGGAGGAGTATAACACACCAGACCACATCACGGTTAATGTGACGCTCTAATTTGCTGCGTTTATATCGAGGATTCCTGTTGTTCAACATAGCCTTTGTGTCATGACCTGTTAAAGAAAATGCAATCATGTTAACATATATCTGATAGAAATAATTCCCAAATCTGGTATATATATATATATAAAAGATTCTTTTCATGGAAATACATATGTCCATGTACCAAAGGGATCTTATGGAAACCAAACTGTACCATGATCACTGAAACGTCTTGTGTCATAATTACGGTTATCTCCACATTCATGTTCTATATCATACACATCAGAGGGATATGACATACTAATTTTCATCATGATTTGTTCAGTTCTTAATGAAATGCTTCTTAAATTCTTAACAACAGGTCAACTGGGCCTGCATCACTCATTTGGTATATATTTTATTTTTTAAAATTAATTGTGATGAACTGAAAAGTGGGTTTAAAATAAATTATGTAAACAAATGACCACAAGGTAAATGGGCCTTAATGGTATTCTGAGAAATAAAGGCCAGGAGTTATGTTGTATACAAACATATTAGCAGTATGTTACTGCTGAACATCATTTGTACTAATCAAAGATTGTCAGTAATGTTGCAAGAATCAATGTGAAGATTTATGAGGCAAAGTCATTTCAATGTTTTAACAAATTTGACCCTTGTGACATTGAAGATAGGTCAAGGTCATTTCTTTTCATGAAATCTGACCCATGTCACCATGAATTTAAGTCAAGGTCATTTCTTTTCGCAAACTTTGTCAGGCTTCATCTTAGGAATATACCAGCAAATTATCATGCTTCTAGGCCTTGACATTCACGAGAAGAAATCATTTTAAAGGGGTTTTTTTTCAAAGTTGACCCCTGTGACTCTGAAAATAAGACAAGGTTATTTCTTTTCACAAAATCTGTCAGGCTTCACCCTAAGAACATACCAGCCCAATATCATGTCTATTTGTCTTTTATTTCATGAGAAGAAGTCATTTAAATTTTTCAACAAATTTGAACCCTTTGACATTGAATATATGTCAAGGTAATTTATTTTCACAAACTTTGTCAGACTTCATCATATGAACATACCAGCCATTAACATCAAAACATTTGGTTTATTGGTTATTGAGAAGAAGTTGTTTAAAGGAAAACACTGATACTGGATGATGGACACTGCACCATGGCATTTAAGTGTGAAAATGGTCTAGGATCATTAACATAAATGTTTAATCATACATCAACCAAAGGTATACTTTCATCCAAGACACAGGTAATCTTTCCGTGACACATTATCATAGGCTAACCTAAAATGGCAGGTAAATCTTAAACCACAGCTAACCTTTAAACCCCTGGTAATGTTTCACTCAAAGTAAACTTTCAACCACAGGTACATGGGTAATCTGCAACCACAGCTAACCTTTAAACCCCAGGTAACGTTTCACTCAAAGTAAACTTTCAACATAGGCTTTCTTCAACCACATGTATACTTTCAATCTAAGGTTAACTTTTACCACAGTTATGCTTTGTTCAACCAAATGCAAACTTTCAACTCCACATAACTTTCAAACCTAAGTAGATTTTCAACCACTGGTAACCAGGCTTCCACATACCACTGTACTAATTTGAGACAACATTTGAAAGTATATGAATTTAAACAACAGTATTTCACTTACCAGCATACACCACAATGCCTTCTACATAATCTGTGTTACGGACAGTGCAGCCTCGCAGTAATAAGTTATCCTTGTTAAGGGATATTTTTTCACCATGGTTGATTCTGGAAAAAAAAATTACTGTCTTGATAATTTATTATTATTGATATTATATTGAATGTAGCTCATGTATTGTATACATTGATCTGTGTGAAATAGTTCTAGGGCTTAAGGTTAAGAATTCTATAAAACATATCAGTAATGTATATATCCCTGCAGTTAAACATCCACGAAAAGTTGTAGATGATAAAATATATGGTACTTAAATCAGGTTTGTCCGTAGCGTAAACTCTTTATTGACTGTACACTTTTCAAAATCTTTGTAGAATTAATATTGCATGCAGTATGTAGAGCACAACTGGTCTGATACATGTGGCTAGTAAATTTGATGATACAGCAAGTTAGCTGCAGACAAGGAAATTTCAAAAGATCTACCCAATCTAGTTTAATGCGAATTATACTTATTGCATATTAGAATTAAATTAAAAAAAAAGAGTACACCATGCAATTTGAATATAAATATTTGTACCAAGAAAAATTCTTTGTTGATTAATGTATCATTATAGCTTGTATTCTGTTTCTGAATGGTCATATTTCTATCATTTCTAAGGTTATAGAAAATTAACACCCACACACAACAACCATCAACATAACTAATTAAACAGCTAGATCAACAATAAAAATCACACCAAAGCATTTGTACAGCCATTACACTTCAAAACATCATTAAATCTGACCAAAGTTCAATATCTGTAAAATTAATAACTATTATCAACACAAGTTGTGTCAAAAACAATTGTATAAAGATGGTTAATGAGTCATTACACATGTAAATCAACAGCAAAAAGGAAAATTCTGCCTAACAATAGCTTTTTGATAAATATTAATGTTAAACATTGTTATCAATCTCTGCAAAATCAAATTATTCGACAACATATACAATTAATGTTTTTGAGTAGCTATAGACTGTACCTGGCATATTTAGGCTTACTACTGCCACAACCATCATAACTGTTCAGAAAATAATCATAGACACAATACAAATTTCAGTACCAAATAATGTTCTGATTGTACTAATTGTAAAGCCTGTTACGGATACCTGTACAGGTAAATTATCTTTATAGATGATTAAAATCTCACACTTGGGGAAAGTACATCAAGGGACAACTATATAGATTATTAACATCTCACACTGGGGGCAGTACATCAAGGGGACAACTAAACTGATGATTAAAATCTAAGACTGGATTTTTTTTCTCAATATTTTCCATTAATTGGTTTTCAAGGGATACCAGTTAATTCCCATTTCTGAGATGTTTGATAAAATTTAAAAGGCCAAGCAATATTGAAATATCTTAATAATTTGAAAGTCAGGAAAGAAAATACTGTACATGAAAATATCATCAAATGGAAATTTAGGTGAGAATGAAAAAATGTCAATTTCAATGGTACCTCTGATGATCACTTTACTTTTTTAATGATGTGTTTTGATACTCATGAAAAGCTAAACATACTGGTGTATTGTACTTTTGAATTCTGGAACTTTGTATCTCACCGATAACAGCAGATGTTGTGTAAGGAACTATGGACAGCCACATTGTACATATAATAAAAGTGCCTTTAGAAAAAAATTACTCACATGTATCCTTTGAACTTGTAGATTTCAGAGTTGGGGAGGTCACATTCCAAGGTAAAGTCAAACTTCTTGGCCTTGAATCCATCATTCTGAAATCAAAAAATTGAAAAATTGAAACATGTAATGTATTTGACCTGTTGTTACAGAGACTAAACTGTTATATATCACCTGTCCTTTAACTTGTTGTTATAGCTGCTAAATTAAGTATCAGCAGTTGTTTAACTTGATAAAGAGACTACATTGTTAAGTATCATTGGATGTTTAACTTGTGATTATAGAGACTAAACTGTTAAGTATCAGCAGTCGTTTAACTCTTTGTTATAGAGACAATATTGTTAAGTATCATAGGACAATATAGAGACTAAATTGTTCAGTATCATAGGACGATATAGAGACTAAATTGTTAAGTAACACTGGATACTGCTTATATATAGACAAACATTAAGACAATACTGACAAATACAGGTACTAGTTTAACTGTTGCTGACAAGGTATATAAAAAAAAATTATACTCTTGTGAAGTTTTCTGAAGTATGTGTGGGTGATTTTCATATGTATGTATTAGGTATCTTTGAGGCACTTTATTTATATATGATAAGCCATTTTGTCATAGGAAAAGAACTATTCTACTTAAACTCTCTCACAAAATGTGAAAATTGAGTACAAGCAATGAAGAATCTCAACACAAGGAATTGATAATGTTAGAACTGAGACAGCAAAAGCCATAGTAGAATACAGAAATGTATAACAAAAAACCCTCCTTATATACTGCCTTATGAAAGGCATAAAATGTGTGAACTTACATGTATTTGACTTATAAACTAATATGGATTGGAAATTTGTTTTCTGTACATGGCGTGAATATTTATCTAGTGACATAAACTACAAGTTAACATCAATAGCACAGGTATGTTTATTGAACATGTGATAATGATAGTGAAACTTCCTACATAATAATTCCAGGTAGCCACAATCTGGTACCAGGTATATACAATACAGTAGAATTTGACTTGTGTTATATACCAAGTCTATCACTATTTATATGTATTGACCAGTGTAGTAACCCATGTGTACACCTATAAATTTGTGGTACCAGTATTTTATAAACTAAAAGTCGTTTATGCTCTAGGTTAAAACAGCTATACACAAGTCATATAACTAAACAATGTGTAAATGTCTGACAACACAAGTTTAAATCAGCCACATTTAAGTCTGATCTGATTACCATGTACAGTCTACCATATTACCATGGCTTCAGTTCAATATGTCAAGCTCTTGTCACTGTCAAAAACTAAAGGTAATTCAGGAATGCAGGCTTCTACAACTACCACATGGTATTTATATATGGCTATTTATCAATTTGATATATCTATAAATTTAAATCCGACAATTTGAGAGAGCTGATAACTAAGAAACATTACCAACTAACAAAGATGCTACATCAGGCTCATATTTATAGATAAAGTGTAAGAAGTAAATTTACTTCAGACGTTAAAACGGAAAAAATACAATATTACTATTGCTATACCAGTAACACTTTGATGCATATATATATGAACATGTGAACTGAAGAGAATGGATTTTAAATGCACGGAAAAACTATATATGCCAAAGATCTGATTTTCAGAAAAATTTTCAAGTGGAATTGATGCAAATTTATCTTTCATAAGATGTGATTTATAAGTTACATTAAACTTTTGTTACTAAACAAACAGGCAAAGGGACCATTAAACACTTAGGCCTAAACAGGTTATTTACATACAATAAAACCTGGCATAAATAAAAGAAAGTTTTAAAGCCTTCAACTTTATCATTCTAATATTGCTCAAACATCAAGAGCAGCTCGGCACCTACCATCATCCAACCACCGTTGCCAGTAGTACAGTACTGTATATGGTTGTAAACTTTATATCCTTGATATTTTTTAACGTTTTTTAATTTGGCACCATGCTACCCTAGCATCCAGACGGTAGATGAATACCTGTTTCAGATCAATACCAACCATTATTTAAGTGCACTGGTCTTTATTTTATTGTTGGATGCATATTGTAATTCTACTGAAATTAAGAAAATCATTGTCCACTCAAGATATGAAATATTATCTATGACTATATTACCTATAAAAATTTTTTTATAAGATATTCATATGACTAGCAACATATTTTTCTCTTTTGTTTAATTAGAACAAAGGAAACTGTGAGATGATCTTGATATGACCTGATACAAGTGTGAAGAGGTCTGTTCCCCTGTAGTCATGTTTATAGGGATCCAGGAGACCTTTTTGTAGGTCATTGACATCATAGTGACTTTTCAGAAATTAGATCAACTACTGTTGTCAAATAATTAAAGGAACTTGTTTCCACAAAATGTTTCCATATTTGAAGAAACAATTATTTTGGATAATACACACATAAATAACTTTTCATGTTGATGTAGGTACTTGAAAAATGTAGTTATTTTGATCAGGAATTCTTTTGAAATGGAGGTGATTTTAGACAGAACATTTAATTTTGGCAACACTTTACACAATCAAGCATGGTGGCAAGTAAAGAACTATTGGTTTGTACTTTTAAAGGTTCTCAAAATTATATTTCCTTCACATGTACCCAATCTTAGCAGGACAAATTTGTGTATGGAGATTAAACAGACAATCCCTCATTTATAAAGAATTAAGGAAAGGCTAGCAAGACAAAGGTTTCATCAAGTATTTCTTTTCGTTTAGTTTGGAATAAACTTAAACATTACACTGCATTAAGGCACTTTTCCAATTTGAAAATAATTTGTAGACATTGAAATTTTGAGACACATTGATACACAAAGTTATTTCCCCCCTAAAATCTTATGGTATATCAATGAGATTCGAGTCTTTTCAAGTCTGGCAAATGATATTCAAAGACAGGAAATATCTCTTCTGCAATTATGATAACTCCTAATGACCATGCACAAGCATTGCTATTCTATATAGACATCACGACAAGCAATCGGAACTCTGGTTGGATATGCATATATCACCTATTACATCTCAGGGATAGTCAGTCAACCGTAAAACATATAGCACATATTATCATTCATGTTATTCCTTGCAATATCTATTGTTGGATACTCTGCGTGACAATGTGTTACCAATATAGGAACATATTGTATCATTACTTTTCTTTTACTGAATTTTATGCCTATAAATTGATAACATATACATGTACATGTTAAGTTTGTTTTAATATATATGGAATTCATATGATAAGAGTGCATGTAAATATGTTATTTCTAAATATTTAGTGAATTCTAATACAAAGAATGAAAGCTGTACAATTGACCGAGAGAGACCTACTGTGTAAATGTAAGATAAAGTTCTTTTAAACCCTGGTTCTACACTGATATAAAGTGCTGATCAATATCCTAAATAAAGGTGTGTTTGGCCAGTCCACAGGTAAAGTATTCCTGCTTGGTAGTTCTAAGGTCATATTCTAGGACTATATTGCATATATTGATTTATTGTAGAGTGACTAGGTAGAACAGGACATGTAACGCAGGGAGCATCAGAAAAAATCCACACCTTGATATTAATAACCCTCAAGTTTGTATGTAATTGTTGCTGAAATCATTTTAAACATAATTTACACACCATCAGCAAAAAGGAGAAACTTTAAACTACACACATACAGAAGTAACACATGGTGTTTGATACTAATTTAGACATTTCACATTTAGTTATAAAACCTTGTATAAAAAAAGACCTTGATGAAAACATAAATCGGAGTATAAAGTAAGTTCAGGCAGACACTGTTGGATTCGGACCCCACTAGTTCTGGGGACTGATATCACGGACTAATGAATATAGTTCATACGAAAATGTGTGGCTGTTCATTCATGCATGCCAAACATGGTATCCAAGTGTACACAACAGAATAACATTACACAACCACAGGCCTTGTGGTTAACGGTATTTATCCCCATTCTGGTTGACTTGTTACAGACAAGTAAACCAGTATCAAGTTCGGGTATGATGCCTCATAGGTTATGTGTGATTGTAAAAAACATATAAAGATACAGAAGACTATAAAAGATGTAGGTTAAAACAGGTTATGTGTGATTGTAAAAAAACATATAAAGATACAGAAGACTATTAAAGATGTAGGTTAAAACCAGCATACTTGATTATTTTACCAGTATATTTAGGATGAGATGAGGAGGAAGTGATTGATGGTAATTTTCCTCAGCTATACTTATGATAAGTAGTTTTTATGATTGTGGGTACTGTAATGGGGTGATAATTAAGTGATAACAGATTGATAGAATCATTCCTCTCTACAGAAAACCTGACCGCTTGGTCATGTCTGTACATATTTCATGTCAACTTCCTACAATATCAGTGATACTATTTGATAGCTGTACATGTATAATTTGGTTTCTAACTGCTGTAGGTATTAAAAAAGATGGCTGATGGTAGCCTGCTTCTCATCAAAATACAATGAGTTAACAACACTGATGACTTTTTAACACAAACAAGAAGAAATGGTTATATTAAGTAATGAATTTCATCGATAATCTGTATATGACTGCATGTATTATGACGCCTAGATGTTTGAACGAGTTCTAAAGTTCACCAACAAAATGATATAAATACCATAAACTACCAGGACACAACATTTTGGAAAACAGTTATTAAATAAATTGTATTTAAAACAGACATTGGTAATTATTTCACATTCAGTCGAAGATCTATTGACAATTATGTATTATTACACTTGTTGACAGGGTCAACATATCAACAAAAAGATAAATGCATGCCTATACTTGTACTTTACCAATTACTGCTAAAAAGACTTTAAAATAATATTTTACAATCATTTGGTACTACATTATATCTGATATCTGTTATTACCAACATTATACCTGATGGGGTCTAAAACAAATAGTCCACAAGTAAATATATATATAGATAAATATACCATGAATCATTCTATTCCCTATCCTAATGCTAATAAACCATGTAGAAACACAAAACAGACCAATAGCTGAAGTATGAATGGCGGTGACACAATTTGTCACTTATGCCAAATTTCTTTTAAATAATTACTTTTTAAATGTTTCAATTGTAACGGTCAATTTAGATATTACTGTCTTCACATAAAATCTGATATGTAAATAACACTTTTGGCTGAATTTCATGAAGATTATAGAAGCAAATAACGTATTTAGGTTATATTGCAAACCAGTGTACAGTTTAAAACAGACATGCAAATAAGTGTTGTATAATCACCACTGGAGTGATTCACACCGGCTGTGATCTGTTATGATTAGAATGAGACCCGACTGGGGTAAGAGAAAGCCACGCAAATATTTCTACTAATGGAGCTCAAATTAAATGATACTAAAACTGAACCCTGATACATCCCTGGCCAAATGTGATGTAGACATTGAACTTTTCATTACAGCTATCTAATGACCAACCTATTAAGAGATCCCTATCACTCTATGTATGGCGTGAATATATGTCTGTCGGATGGTTTTATATATTCTTTCAGAATCTGTTGATCTGCTTTCATTTTCATATATCAGATGCATGAACCATACATGAACCTGACACATATGTATTTATCCACTGAATGTTACTTGTATGTAGAGTCATTTTGATATATTCGTCAGTATAGCGGGTCAAGTTGTTTGATATAAAAGTTTTATCAGTAGAAATATACTGTGTAAAAGAAAGTGATATTGCATAGCTACAATTTTTTAGATTCCAAAGAAATTATTTGGGAACATTTCCCTCCAGCTGTTAATGTCAATAGCAGCAAAGTTCTTAAAATACAACCAGTAGAAGACTTAAGTGTGACGCTTCGATGACAACACTGTAATCTTCATCAGACAAATGAGCAGTATGAAGTAGTAGCTTTGATGTATAGGATGTGTAAAATGGTACAGAATCAACCAACTTCTTTGGCTGTACTATAACCCTATGTATTTTACGGTAAGAAAATGTGTGACAAGATGGTAAAAGAATTAAAGAAAAGGGTATACAAGATGATAAATATGTAATCTAGTTGATTCACTTACACTTTGTTTGAGATAGGATTATAGTGCAACTGAAAAAGTTGGTCGATTCCTTACTATCTTAAACACTACATATGTCCACACTTATACGCTCATTCCAGTCATATGTCTGATGATGTTGACATTGTTGTCATTGAAGCGCCATACTTAAATCTCCTTCTGGTTGTATTAAGAACTTCTGTTCTATTTAGCACAGGGATTAAAAAATACAGAATCATTTATTTATTACAGATGCAGAATTTAGCATGATGCTTTCATTAGCATATAAAGTCAATGTACGTTGTAACCATCCTGTTATATACTGTATAATACAGCATATTTTTCAATTTTCGGATAAGAATTTTGTCAAATCTATAGATCAAGTGCCTTCAAATTGTCTCATGCAAATATTCTATTCAATACTAAACACCATATAGTCTTGTGTGTACAAATGAAACAATTCCAAGAACCCATTAATTTAAATGCAGATATTTTTTTTACTGTATAATAAAAACTTTTTTAGTGATCTCCTTTTAATTCAAGCAGATGATTAAATCATGACATGAATTATGTATCCTACCTCCTGGGCTACAAAAAGCTCAAGTATTCCAGTTTTATCCTGTTTATTACAATATTGCACTGAAGAGTGGACTTAAACAAACTTTCTGTTCATGTTATAAGGTAAACACAATCATAACTAACCAAACTGCTGATACTTACTCCATAATCTATACCAAAGACTGCTTGTCGTTGTTTGAGATTAGTTTCTCCATCCAAATTACATGTCTCTATATGACATATTCCATTACTATCACTTGACTTAACCAACACAATGTCTGCTGGTATTATTTCATTGCAGGATAGATGAACGAAGTCTCCAACATGGATATCTTGCCATTCCCCTTTTGCATAGCGATCTTCATCACTGAAACACAAAACATAAAAAATATCAGATGGATTCAATTAAAGTTGGGTCTATTGACTTCATTTCTGTTTTAAGCGAAGGTTTATCAGGGAGTATTAAAATACTCTGGGTACGACTGACAGGAAGAGAAAGAAGATTTTGGGAAAAAAAGAATCAACTGTCTCATTGAAGTGATCATGACAAAGAGGGGAAAGAAAAGTAATGGAAGTGCAGTTACATGCAATCAAGTTGGGGAAAATCAACATGATAAAAGTGCAAATCTTTTTTATCTTATGAATCAAAACATGCACACTCTTTCAATACAATTCTCTCTTCTTTCTATAACTATATATACTTTCAATTATCCTGCCCTGATCATGAAGGTTTGTATTCCAATGTTCCTAATGCCATACTTACTTTACCTATGTAATGAACGAACTTGATTCAAGAAAAAAACATGAAAGTTAAAATGAGCAATTCCATCCTATTCCAATACACTTCAGCTATATCAATATTTGGCAGTGACAGAAAATATCCATTTTGCCAGTGCACAGTTTGCCAGAATGACTATCTGTATTGTTTGAATATTATAATACCTGCTGAAATTAGCACTTTCATCTATTGTTTTTAGCAATTTCATTTAGGAAACTTCACAAAACCTCTTTTGTATATATATATATAGGATGATATATACATGATCAATGCCTTTAAAATATAAGCTGCATTTCAGCTTTGGACAAAAGGACAAAATTGGTTCACTACTTTCTTCATCACTGAAAACATACATACAGATTACGTTTTGATCTATCCCGATAATAAATATCTCATGTTATTGTACTTTCTTTATGTTCTTCACCTTTTATATAAACGACAATGTGAATGGTTGATTTTTTGGTCAGACTTGTAGCGGCGAAAATCTTCAAAGGCATCTTTTATACAGGTTACAGCAAGCACAAATATCACCGGTACCATAGCAATTTCCTTGCCGAATGCTTGGATTTGTGGAACCCAGTTCAAGGCTACCACCAGAATGAAATATAAATTTGCAAATCTATGAAACTGCTCAAAAATATTTTTTGGAAAGAACGTCAGTATAGTATATTTTGTGGTTTTAATTCGATTTCCACGGAAATCCTTGTTGGGATGGGCCTTAGCCCTGTGTTGGATTGATGGATCCAGAGTATGGTTTGGAACAACAGTTCTGGTTTTAGGACCAGACCGGTTTCCTCGCCCACAAAAGTTTCCCATTTTATAACAATATCACAATGAAATGGTTTTGATGAAAAAAGACATAAAATTGATGTCTAGCACATGGTTGACACCGGACCTACACTGTACATAGGTCAGAGCACGTATTCCTTAGGTCCAGGCAGAACATGGATTTATCAAAACAATCATTTTTAAAACACTGACAATTATTTTACTACGCTGATAACACTTCTGATTAAAATCCTAATATTTCGTAATCCGCTCGATAAGATTAGTTGTCCGAAATCAAAGTTGTTGAAATTCCGGGATCTGTGCCATCAAACGAAAAGCCACGTCATGGAGTTTGTTGTGATAAATCTCTTTCATTCCAAGGTAAGAATTCCTTGTCCGAAATATAGCTTCGTATTAATATCACCACAGTTGTTGTTGTACATGGTGGAATGTATCATTCATGGTTTCCGACAAACAAACTATCACTTCCATAGTTCTCACTTCATTACGGTCAATACACTCATTCATGCGTTACAATGGAGGATGTATACAAAACAGTCAACAGTGACCAAGGAGCGAGAGAGCCTTTCTCTGATTGGTCAATATTATCGCCTGACCAATCACCGGTTTTGTTTCATTTGCCTTCCATGACACATTAATAAGCCCCGGTTTAATTGGCTTTATTGACATATTTCGAACCAATCATCGCATGTTTTACATACACGCACAGACTTATAACAATGGCGGAAACTCGTGAGGAGGAGGGGCTCTTGTTACTGAGGAAACTAGAATCAAAACAAGTGTCATCAGTGAGTTCTGATTAAAATCTCTGACATGAGTATACTGAAATTAAAGTTAACACATATGTTACATTAATACAATACTCATTCTGATGGCAGATGAAATAATCAGAATTTGCATGATGAAAGTTGTTGCAATTGTCTTGAAAATGAATCGATATCAAAGACGGAACGTACCACATAAATACCGGCTATCAATGCTTTTATTTGTCACTTAATCATACCAGAGACGTATATAACAAGTATATACGTCTCTGATCATACACGTAGAAAAAATGCACATATCTATGGTCGTATATTTTAGGAACAGTGCTCTCATTTTCTGGTATTGGGAAGTTTATATTAATATTGGGTAATCTAGTGCTTAATGAAGGAAGAGAGGTAACTCTTCCAACTATGACTTCGGTGCCATCAGTTATAGACTACTATGTTCAGTATTGTGGATAATGTGCATTAAGACCATGAAAATATTTTTCTTAAAAGAAAATGACTGACTGAGCAGGTTCAGACCAGAATAAACACAAGTGCTGCATTAAATAGATAAAAGTAATGTTTATATTGGTTTTCATACCTGTGTATGAAGCAATTAAAATTGAAAGTGCAACCAAGTGCATTTGATTTATTGAAATTTTACCAGAATTACTGTGTGTCCTGGATGCCCATTCAAGGTTATGGAAGTAAACTCAGAAACTGTGGAGTATAATTAATGTTTTAAGACATTCATAACTTTTTGTTTTAAATTTTTATGTCTATATTACCACAGGGATTTGGCATGAATTCCCTACCCACAATCCATACAATGTCTTGGTAATAGTCAGAACAATTTTATAGTCCTTACAAAATGGCAAAGCAATTTGAGGTCCAAGAAATTGAACTGAAGACAGACTTTGTATCGTGAATGTAATTCAAAGTTTGATCCAAATGAAGTGCACACCACTGATGATGGGTCGATAAAGGGTGTAGGATACAGATACAGGTATCATGACAATTAGTCGAGTTTACATTCTATCTAAGATACAATCTCCTTTTTACTTGTACAGGAAAATATGCAGGTCACATAACTTTAATCTCACTGATTTACCAAAATTGATGGTAATGCTATAATTGATTATTTGTAGTTTTAACGATATAAAGACTGGAAGATAAAAAAAAATGTCCTTAAAATAGTAACAAAATGCATGACTGAGTAATTAAGAATGGCTTGTTTGTTCCAGGTCTTGCACACATTAGTAGATGGAGTGTGCCATCGCTGCCAACCATCTTACCAGGATTACAGTGAGGTATGGAGCCTACAGCAATGGTGGAATGTGGTAGATGCTTACCAGTCCCTCATCAAAGCAGCAGTCAGAGATGCCTTGACAAAAGATATGGTGAGTTCTCAGTCTTGTCACATAACATCGGATCAAGCAAGTAACTTCATTTCTTTTGTAATCTTTTAAAAGCTCTACTCAGTTGTTACATACACAACAATAATGCAGCAGATGTGTTTGTGTTGCAGAGTTAAATGGCTAAGTTTGTTGTCACTATATAAAACCATTCAGTGGTATCACATCAGCAATTTCATTATGGTCATGGTTCTTTGGGAAAAAATCCATCATTACTACCCCCGACTGTGTGATGTTATTACATAGAGTTTTTTATTCACATTGTTTTAAAGTTAAAATCTTTATTGTGTTAGCCAACTTGGTCTTCATGTGACTTAACTGTCTTCACTAACATTAACAGTTCACAGTCATTTCTGATCTAATCAAGAAATAGTTAAGAATCCTGACATACACATTAACAAACATCACCATTTATAACTGGACCTCCTTTGCACTTGCATTTATGGCCAAACAAGTGCACCAGGTGAAGGTCATTTATCACTAATTAACGCATAATGACATATGGAACAGCTATTCACCATCAGCCAGAGTTTAGAATCATATAAATAATGGTATGTCATGATAATGTTATAATAACTTATGATGATTAAGAAAGGTTGTAAAAAACATGGAGGATGTTTGGTACAGCGAAGACAGAATGCAGTTTTTAACATGAATTCTTTTGTGTTTTATCTGTAACAGATATATCAAGAATTAGGATCCTTATCAGAAGACTTAAAACAGGTGGTTTTGGATGTTATTAACTCACGTCGAGATGAAGTTCAAAATCAACTTCTTGGAGAGACTCATAACATCTCACAAGCTGTCCTTAGTGATTTTGATTGGAAAGTTAAGGTAAATTTTGCTGTCATGGAAGAAGAATGTTCTCTCCTTATCTTTGCAATGTGATCTTCACCACATTACCTGTAACCTTCAAAAAATATCAAGAATCAAAACAGATAATCATAGATTTAATTTTATAAAAGGGTCTGCCTTTCAAATCAATCTTGTGTGATATTTGTCTGCATTTCTAAACCTGGTAAAAGGTTATGACGCTTGTGTAATACATAAAACTATTTAAAACTTCATAACTTGTGTCTTTTTCATTTTCCAACAATCAGAATTATTTCAATATTTTTTATCTAACTTTGCATGATCACGATGTGTTGTATACATTTGAGCTGCATCTGGTACAAAATATTATGTTCTGCATACAAAACTTCTGTGGGGACCATGAGGTTTTCACTGATTGTGCAATAATGTAGGGGGTTAAAATCAATTAAAAAAAAATTATGAATAAAGACATATAGTATGTTATGGCAAGTTTGCCAAAACAATAGAGCCTTTTGTCATAAAACTGTTCTTGATAGTGTCAGACTGCACTCAAGCTGTTTTCCAATCCACATTTTGCAGCATACAGTACCAAGTACTTGTTAACAGTTTTAGATTAAAACTTACCTGTATATAAAGGAATAGTTTTCATCAGAGATTCACATTTGCAAGTTTTTAGACTACTGTATCGGTTTGTTGAATGATGTATCCACTCAACTCATGATATTAATATACCTTAGACTGCAGTTCAGTGACTTCCTTAAAATGTTCTATTTATATTTTAGGTCCATCAACATCAGTTCCTTCAGTGTTGAAACAAGAAATTTTCAGCTAACTTTTTTATCTACACTTTTCATGATGTACAGCTGTACATATTCAATTTCACTTAACTTGTATGTTGATAACCTGTATTTTTATTTGCTAGTTGATCATGTCCAGTGACAAGATTTCCTCAGTCCAGGAACCAGTTGTCTCCCTTGACCTGGATGTTGGTGCGGGCCAAGACAGTAAGATACATTCCATAGAGCTTAATCAAGATGAGCTTGGAAAGCTTATCTCCAGTCTGGAAGGTGCTAACAAGGTGGGTAATAACCAAGATATTCATAGCTAATGGGTTGCTTACATTGACAATAGGCTTAATTTGATAATATATGAAAGTGATGATACTTTATAATGTAATCATGCTGAAGTTTCATCTGCTTTTTACATCAGTTTTATGGGTCTGAGATTTAAAATTTTTGAATTTTTGTCATTAAATTTTTTATTGTTTTTTTTTTCTCTAGGTGGTTCAACAATTGAAAGCATGACACCAAGGAATGATTTCTACTTAATACTAGAAATTGTTGATGTAAGGATGAAGATGATGATTTTGTTACTAAGACTGCACAATGTTTGCTGATTGATGGGTCCAGATTACCAGCTATACAAATATAATTTATTATAATGTACAAGTGTGATTTACAATATTGGGATACATAAACTTTAATAGCTATGGGCATATGATTAAATGATGGGGTCTCACATTACTCTTCATCATCAGGGTAATGTGACTTGTGGTCAATAATTATAAGGGTATAAGCTAGAACTGGAATCAATTGTTAATAAAACTATGATTTTTTTTTCAACATCTCTTTTGTCCAACAACATGTATAACCTTATCCCAATTCATTAGGGGGACAAATTACTCCTCTGTTACATGCACATTGTTCTTTTTTATGCTTGTTAGCAAAATGATACTCCAACTATTTGTGAGATCAGTTTTTGCTGATGTTGGTTCAAATATATGAGTTTTGAAGTCAGAGTGATAAGTTGACTCTACCGTATTTCTTCGAAAGATATATCATATTTAAACTTCGTAGCCAAATTTTGAGTTTGTAACTTAATGCCTTGACAAGTAACATGTTTAGGTACAAAGTTATAATATTTGTTAAAAAGAATAAACTAACTGATTTTAAGAAACTTCAAGAGTGTGCCATGATTTTTTGCTATGAAAATGGCGGTCAGCCATATCATTAACACCCCCACCCACCCACCCACCCCTCCCCCACCACCCCCTCCATTTTTTTTAAATTTCATAATCAGTAATCACAATCAGATTTGGCACAAGATATCACAACTTAGGATTGCTTCCTCCATAGCAGTATATGATACAATATACATGACAGCAATAACAAAACAGTTAGAAAATATGTATTAATATTTAGAATAGAAAATTGGTCAAGCTGTGAAAGTTAAATGGGAGGAATATTTATAAATCCTTGTGTTTTCAATGCCCCTATAATTTTAGTAATAATATTCTTATGTATATTATTTCATAATTTGCATATTGATCTTAATTGTGCATTGTTTGTCATCCGTCACTATATAAGGTACTTAGTGTTATACCTAGTATGTGTATCATGTTAACATTACAATGTAATTATATTGTGCAATAAATTATATTAAGTTATTACATTTTTGTTTCTTTCATTTGATTCCAATACTTGGTAAACTGGAACACCCAATCCGGTACTTTGAATAATTATACTGAACTGTCCTGAAACAAGATGATGATTTTGTTACAATAGCCTATTGTATTTTAAGTTAAGAATTTCGACAGTAATCATTAACCTTCATCAGTGGAAGCAGGGATACATTAGATATTACTCTATAATTCTGATACCTACCTTTTATATACCTGTTTAACAATTTTTTGATGACATATTTTGGTATGACATACATCAATCCTTTGTAAATTTTCATTTTCCAGAGATTTCCTACAGTTTTATCTAGGTAGGTTTAATCACTTCGACATGACTGTACTGTCCTATAATGTTGATATTGTTTGAATATCTCCTTTCTCAGTTTTCAACTGATTTCTGTCAAACTTAATTACCATGACACGAGGTTCAGTTTTCCTGACTGGCAGTTTGATTTTACTGTAATGAAAAGAGTTACGACCCTTTGTTGTTTCACAATGTTTATCCTGTCTAGAGATCTCCTTTTTTTGATGGTTTCTCATGACATGAAGTTATGTTCTCTGAACCAGCAGTATGATTCAGCAAATTTGAAGGAGTCATTGCCCTTTGTTATTTTTTGGCATTTAGGTAGCAGAACACAGTTTCTTGGTGTTGCCATGGGTGATATTTTTGTTCAATAGATTACCCCATTATATTTTAATTAAAATTAAAAAAATAAATCTTTGCTTAACTTAGTTTTGTCATAATGAAGTGGACAATGTGGGGTTTCATTTTTTTTCAGAATAATATTTTATGCTAGAGATTACTATTTGGGCAGTCCCAAATTTGTATCTATCACCAAAAACTAGCTTTACAGGAAGTCAAATTTTCATAGTGTTTTGAAGGATTTCGGAGTTGGAATTTACTGAAATGTAAGTAGTTTGTTACCATGAAAGTGTTGTTGATTTTAAGACAGGTGTTTAGAAATAAATTTCTTCTAAAAAGTTGCATTGTTCGGTTGGATTAGCAGTATTTTTAGCATTTTCTCAGTTGGTAACCATGGCAATTACATGTCAGAAATCAGAAGAAATTTTATATTTTCACAAATTTTATCACTCTACTATTAATGCAATTGTTATGCATTTTAAAATACATATAAATACATGTAATGATGTATTTTTCATAACCAAACTGTTATACCTGTATATCTCAAACATAAATAATTTCAGGAAAAATGTAAATAAACTGTTTGCTGCTACCTTAATCTTCCTGTTTTTCATCGATTTCTCTACAACTTTATAGGCTTTATAAGCATTACATGATATTGTGTTTTCTTAATTGTGACATTGTAATTCTATGATTTTAGAAGAGTTATTTCCCTTTGTTTTTCAAACAAACATCTCTTCCTTCAGTGTGAAACCAATTTCTTTTAAACTTAGTTGGCTTGAAAATCACAACTTGAGATTGTGTTCTCTGAATAGCATTTTGATTCAACAATATTTCAAAGAATTATTGCTGTTTGTTCTTTTTAGCATCTTCTTGTCCTTAGTTTTTTTTCCAGTTTTCCATCATCTCTTTAAAATGTGGTGTGGTTTAATTTATCATCAAACACTGTTGATCTTGAATATGGTAGAAGTGCAAAATTCAAAAAAGCATTCCTGTAGACTTTACAGGTATAAGATGGATCTTTCTCAACTTTTTATCTGTCGGTGCCCCTTGGTTCCTAGTTGTGCCCTTTTGATTCATTAAGTTTGTTATTGCTATTTCTCGAGAAATGCTGGATGGTGTTTTCTTTGATTCTCAATGTATTATGTTAGTACTTCCCTCTTTGACTTTTAATTCATTATTACTATATCCATATATTTTGGCATGGGGCAGGCATATATTTTTCTGTCCCACAGTACTTTTAATACCAAGTTACCTGGCATCAATCTAGCTATCTTGGTAGCAATATTTACTTTCCAATGTATCAGTTCTTAACACAGGGTGCAAACAAGTGTGAACTAAATACTTGTTCTCCAAGTTTGATCCCCAGTAGTGTGAAAAAATGAGACCTGTATATTTAGTTGTTACCTAGGCTCTTAACAATTGTTTTCATTCATGGTTATCCTCTTCTTTGAACAATGTTTGTCTCTTTAAGTGTTAAATATAAAATCTCAATATGACTTTCTGTTCCGATATGGAATGGACTGCAGAAAATCAGTTGGTTAAAGTGTTGGCCCATATGACCATATGTAAAGATCCATGGTGCCTAGTTTGATGCTCCCTACCCGAAATGGTTGTTTTTTTCAGGATGCTGAAAAACAGACCAGTCTTTGATGTTATGTTGTTTCAGGACACCTAACCCTAATTTCTCTAAATGGCATGAAATGAAGTACTCTTGTTTAATAATGTATCCACCAGCTTCTACAAGGAGACTCTACCTCAAAACGACCCTAGCTGTGCACAGAGCAAGAAACCTGGCAATCAGATCTGGTGAACATGGCAATCATCTTCAATATCTACAGATCAAACACAGGAAAATGTCTATATAATTTGTCCAGAATAAGTATACTGAAGCAAGAAGTTGATTTTCCAGGTGGCAAAATTTGCTTTGTTCAGTTAAAGTGTCAAGTCTGTCAACATAGCAGCCATATTTGGCCTTAAGTACTGAAAAATTTCACCTGGAGCCGAGGTTATTATGGCTATCTTGAATATTGCTAAAGTGTAATTTCAGAACATCTGTGGACTTCAGAAATACAGGATGGATCTTTCTCAAATTTGATATATTGGTGCCTCTTGGTCTCTTACTCCACGAGATCGACAAGAGAAACAAAATGGTCAACAGGCAATCATCTCAGATTTTAACTATGACAGATTGTCATTGCTATTTCTTGAGAAGTACTCAATAGATCATTCTGAAATTTCATACATAGGTCACCCTCTCTCCCTAGTGAAGCCCTTATGATTTGGGACAAATAACATCCATTTTGATGGAATGTATACAAATATATTGATGTACAAGTCTATGCTCATGTTGTGGTGTAGAGCTTTAAAGAATTTCTGTACAATCTGATATGTATATAGCACTAAAAGTCTCAAGCTCAGGGATGCTCAGCAAAGACTTTGATAAATTCTAGAAACATGACATAGCACAACAAATTTTCAATGGTCAGTAAGTCTGTTTTTTATATTTCATAACTGGTATACTGGAATTTGCAGCAAACAAACTTTTTTCTTTTTTAGATAGTTTCTAGGTGTATGTTAAATATCCAAAACATCATTTTGATGATGAAAACATGGATACCTCATTTGAAACTCAATTGTTTATTAATATGTACAGACTCTCGGTATTGTGTGAAACCCGGGTGAGGGGATTCTACTGATCTTTACGTCATCAATCTAGTTATAAAGAACACAACACTAGTACATTATATACATTCATTTTATCATACAGAATAGTTTAACTTTTGAACAAACATGCGAAAAATGCACAAAATGTCTTTCACATCTAAATCCATTCATGGTGAGCTATTCATATTCACACAGAAGGGTGTTCTGCCAAATATTCTTTTGTCTCGTAGTATGCCCTCCTTTTTTGGGCCCAATCTGCCCAGTAGTAGACGAGAAAAGGAACTGCAAGAAACCAAAAGTGTGTCTTATTAATCATCAAACAATTTAGTATTTCTTATAAAATGATGATACAAGCAGACATGTTTGTTACTGTACATTAAACTTTTGCATTCTTATTGTCAAACTGTTTCAGGACTATCAGATTCAGATTGATTTGTGGGAAATAGCGCCATTAATTTGGCCCCAGACCATATTTTGAGAAAACACTTTCATGCATTGCACATTTACATTTAATAGTACTCTTCAAAACTTTAAAAAATTTGGTTCAGGATCGGCCTTTAAATAACATCCACACTCTACTGACTTTTATCCATTTACAACCATGAGACTTTGCACACTTGCTTAGTTGCTAAGAGACATTATCTCTTGAACAAGTTGATTTATCAGTTTCCTTGAGTCAAAAATGAGGTCACAATTCTAATCTACCTCACTCCACTGGATTTACTTCTTCCCTAACAATGACTTTTACAGGTTTTTTTTTATGTTAGTCTTGAATATATTCTTAAAAAATCTAATGCATTGAATACTTCCTGTGCCATACTATTTATATAATGTACTTACTTGAGAACACTGGCCACTTTCCTCTAAACCTTCTGATGGTGTTTGGTATAATTTTCTTGAAAACATTGGCATAAGCCTTCTGTTCATGTGGAGACAATGCATATGTCACAAGTCCTGAACCTTTCGTTTTGGTAATGAGGCCAAGTTTTCTACCCATGATGGGATGGTTTCTTCAACCTGTTGGTCAAATGTATGAAATTATTACTAAGTCATCACAATAAAAATGCAGAACAAATTAACAAACCATGAGCACTGTAGACATTTATGGTACAATGATTCAGTTTCAGTTCTGATCTAGTTCTGCAACTTGAGCTAGAGATGCATTCTCCCAGAGGGATCTTTGCATCCACAATCATAGGATCTCAATCATTCTATGCATATCTTACTATTTTACTCTCTTCTCCAATGCACCTTACCGTAGCGTTTATTTTTGTTCTCATATGTTGACTTTTACTTTCTGAGAAAATGATCTAGATACAACTACTTTCAGTACATGTGCAACACCTTAATCTTATTTCCAATCATCCATCTTGGAAGGAACAACAAACATTTCATAACAGCAGTTTATAAAGAAAGAAAATAATAACCAGCTATAATTAAGAAACAAACAACAGAACTTGTCTTTACTCCTAAAAAACAGAGGATTGGGCGCTTTATAATCCGACATAAGTGTGCCAACTGCTATGCATGACGGAAGTTTAAACCTCTAATATTGTTGGAGTGCACTTTACTCATAAACTTGACTTGGATCATGCATGCGATTCTTTGTTCGATTCAAATAAAATGCAATATCTTTTATTTCTCTCACCATAACAAATAATTTGACGGTAAAGATCTATAGATTGACAATCTTTGCCACAGGATGTTTAGCAAGGTACCTATGGTCTTCTATACTGCAATAATTAGGCTCAATGGATATGTTGGGTGCAGAATGAGGAAATTTTAGTGAAATGTATTTAATTATTTTAGTACGTTTCTTTCAAATGTATGTGCATGTTTTTGAGTATATCTAAGTGTATTGACTGAAAAGTCAAGTGAATTACACATGGTCACTTCAAAACACGGCAGCATCGAACAGATATCTAGATGATAGGTACCTCTACTTCAACTTTTAGTCTTGTGCAATGTAGTCATCACAAGTTATTTGATTTCTCTCAGAGTGTATATGTAGCTCTTTAAAAACTAGAGGACGGGAATTAAAATCAGAGATCTGATAGAGTTACCTCCTTTCCCATACGCACAGTCTTGATTTTTTTGATGATCAAAGAATTGGTAATGGTATGATAAAGAAATAATCTTGAAACAAGTGGAAAACCACAGTGACATACAGTTTGGTAAATATAAATACAGCTTTAAATATGAAATGAAGTTTTAGCCTTTGCAAAGTAAAGGCAGTAAGTAACAAACCAAAATGCAGAAAAAGTTCTGTGCTTGTAGGAGTGAGAAAAGTACATTGTAGATTGCTTCTACAACTGTTTTGTAGAAGAGTGTAACAGAACAGAAGTGATGGTCACTCTAAATATGTCAGTGAGTGATTGAGCTGGTGTTATGGTATCTGTTTTGAACATACAATGCTACTCTGCCTTTTATTTTCTTAGTTTGACAGTGTCCCTTGTCTTAGGATGGACATTGTCAAAGTCTGATATAAATTAGTCCCAGAAAAGAATCCCTAAAGGGATTACCCATATGGATGACCAGAACTCCAATAAGCGTGGGACAAGTGCTTTGCATGCATTAAAGCCATCATGTTCTTATGTTTGGTAGTGAAGTTTATGTTCATGTTTTACTAAATCTTGTGTTTCGGTGTGATATTGATGATGATACATTAGTCAGGGTGAAATTTCATGAGCTAATCCTTTTCCCTCTGTCCTGCTGTGGTGAGATCTTTTTGTAGTTTGATGGTGTCTTCTGTGTCGTTTTGTATCTTATATGAAGCCTGTCATCAGGTTGGGCACAATCCATCATTAGAATAATAGTCCTCCATTTTAAGCATAGGTAAAGCTTTCAGTAATCAATTAGTTACTCAGTTGAAGGGTCATTTGAACTAGAAACACCGTTCTTTTTAAACATTAAACAACGGTTCTGCCCAACCTATCAACTGCAAAAAAAGTCCTACTTCCATTCACTTCGTTTATGCCTTTCTACGCACCTTAAAGGATTTGTCTTTTTCATATTATATCCGAACCAGGACAGTATCTGATACAAGCCTAATCCCCCCATTTTTTTTTGTAAATTAAACCCTATTTCGCTATTTACCCTAGCAGCGACAATTATGCAAGTAGACAAGTCACACGCAAGTTGCGTCAAATCGGGTACTGAAATAAAAGCCAAATGAAACTTGAGAAACGGTCTAGAAATAATGAAAGATATCTACTGAAATGAAACATTTGCTAAGATAATTAACTTTAAGTTTACAACGTATTTAATAACGCAGAGAAACATACAAACCCTCTTACTGCTTTATGTGACCTTCACAGCCTGCCACTTAGCCTCCTTCTGAATAGCCACCGATTCGAATTGGTATGTTAGAAAAAAGATATAATATTGTTGTAAAAACGTTAATTCAAACATTTATACTAAATTGTTGTTTTTGAAACAGAAATATTAACATTTAAAACCAGTTATAAAGTTATCTGATTGATCACAAAATGTTCGAAACTACGCAATGGTTGTTTTTGTATCCGGTCAAGACAATCTATTTAGCACACGGGTAAAAAAACTAAACGTAAACCATTTGAACGTATCAGTCCTGACAGTATGAAACACCGACGTCTAATAGCATAAGTGTCGGTCCAAGTTTATGCTATAGTTGATTTTATGTTGGAGTTATACTTTATAAAAACTTAGCAAATAAGCGTGGTAGTGAAATGTGTACGCCGTACCCTGCCCCGGTTTCGACACAGAACCCCGGACCAGACATAAGGAAATGAATTACATCTTGAAAAAAAAAAGGAAAAAAGAGGGATGGGGGTTAAAATAAAGGAAAATATCAACCCCCACCCCACCTCTAACCCCCGTAATATGTACCCTGAGTGAAAAAGTGGAAATATGAATAATGTTAGAATTATTTTTATGATCCAAAATAAAAAAAAAAATCGGCCGTTCCAATATCGAGATATTGACGTGTAAAGTTTTTATTGTCAACCTCAGAACAAGGGATAAGGTACCAGTTAGTTATATACATTTATATTTGGAAACAAATACTTTTATGGAAATATGCATATATTGTATACCTACAATAAATATTACTAACCAAATCAAAATCTGTAGCTAGACTAAACTGCACATGTATATTCAATATTCAAGATATTTCAATAAAGATCTACGGTAAGATGAGTATTACTTAATGAAATCCAAATTGTTTACAACAATCAAAGTAGTGAATCTAAAATCGAATTATTCCTTTAATTAGTATAAATATGTCTCTATAGAGTAGTGAAGGACGTTTTCATAAAAAATACCACAAGTACACGAAGCCTTATCTAAATTTACCAGTGAATTTAATCGAAAACAAACAGACGACTCAAGGACAACGAAGTCTGACAAAATATTAACAGTTTCTGATCACTGACGAGGAATTTACCATACGGTGTTCGTGCGACAATTTCTGTATTCCATAGTTATATACCGTGGTATCAGTAAATACAGAAAAATGTATCTGTATTTTCAAAATAACTTCAACGTTGGTGTCTACTGTCTACTGATAAACGATAAGACGTATGACATATTATGTAAGTATCATGATTATAAATCAATGTTTATTTCTGAGACACCAAATGATATCACGGGAATTAGATAAAACATTTCCGTAATGATAGTTTTCTCGAAAATATAGATGAATCACGAGGTTCCATTTCTTCTCCATATACATACAATATACACAAGTTATGATTTAGTATCGTGGTATAATGAAATCTTGCAACTAAGAACATTTTATATCGGCTTACTCCCTTAGTCTACTTAGGTGTGAAATGTGCGTTTAGATAAATAACACTAAACACTTTTGTCACGTGCTGTCACGACAAGATCCCAGTTTACATCTTAATACCCGTGTCAAGGTATGCTATCAAAGGGATTGATTGATTGATTCTAAGGGATTTCAGCAGATGGGTAAGGGGTAACAGTCATGGACTTGAGGCTAGCTAGTGGATTGGTGGGGTGTATCTCTGAACGCTAACCTTTATAAGATGCTATGTGACGAAGAAAATGGTTTTTATAAAGGGCACAGCCGTGAAGATAATATTTTCTCGCTGTACTCTGTAATTATAACAATGAAAATTAAAAATTATCTACGTATGTGTGTTTCATCGACATGCGGAAAGCATTTGAATCAATCTACCGAAACCTGTTGTTATAATTACTGTGTAAAACAAAGCAGGCCGCTTCTCCTGAGGGGTTGGAAAATCTACTTCCAATATCGCAACCAGAGCTGACATGTGAGGCGTTCGTGACTATCAACAGAATGTCTCCTGTGTGAAACTATAGTGTAAATCCGTACGCTTGAAAATCATCAGTTGCAGAGCAAAATAACTGAGTGGTCATCTCGACAATGACGAGGCTGGAATATTTCAGTACAACGTCTGTGTCACGATATCCAATGAAAACCCTTTCATCAAAATTTGTAGTAAGAAAACTCACGCGGAAATAATTATTTAAAGATAGTCATGAATGACAAGCTCAGCTTTATGACGGCCGTGATGATGTGAAAGAAAACAAGCTACCTACATATAGACAGTTCAAGAATGACGTTATTGTCGGATGTTACGTTCGAATGGACAGACGTAACCTTGTCCCTTTTGGAGCGGGCTCAATGTATCAATTAAATTTTATTCCAATGGCCTTACAGTCCATAGGTATATATAGATAAATAATTTCACATATGTTCTGTAATATCATATGCTGATGTGTATATTGTTACGTAATACAATTCACATCATATCATGGAGGACAAATATTGCTAAAAATAATGATGATAAAATTCATAGTTCTTTCAATGTTCTAAAATGGTTTAAATTCGTGAGATATTTAAATTTAATTGTATTTGGACGTACGTAATGGTATTTTGAGAATTTCAGCTGATGACTGGCATTAGCTTTCAACTTGATCTGTTTGGATATGTCGTTTGTATCTCAATGAGGACAATTTTATTTTGGTATCCTACACTAGTGATGCCATTTACCAGTTTCCATTATGAATTTATAGTTACTTCCTGTAAAAGTTTTTTTAAATCACAATTATTTTTAATATATTACATTGCAAAGTGATACCGTAGAATTAAAACTATCATTATTTTTGTAAAACTGAAGTATAATATCTGCTTAACGATAAGTTACATCTATTGTAGACTGATTTTTTTTCTCGAAATTGAGAATATGTCCGTGTTAAAGGGAGATCACTCTTTCAGTCTGATAGATGCATATTAAAGTGGATTGCTGTGAAAAATGTGTAATTTATTAGCTTTTAGTTCTCGATTATTAATTATTTCTAATAATCCTGGTATGGGTTTCCATGATGGGGCCGGGACCGGATACGGCATACACACTTTCACCACCATACCGAGTGAGTCCAGTACCAGTCAAAGCGGGTTGAACTAAATAAACGAAAGCAGCCGGAGTGTTCTGTCAAACACAGGCCGAAGAAGGCCAAACATCTTCGGTGATTAAAGAGTCGAGCTAGAACATGAGAAACAGAAGTAATTCTGGCGTGCGTCTTGATTACTATCAACGCTTGGTTTACAAAACGATTCTGAAACATCAGGTAACTTTAATTCAAGTTTTCATCATGTAAGCTTGCAGTCAACAGATAAACTAGTCGCTGTAACCGCGACCGTAAAAGTCAACCATGGCAAAAAGGTAATAGGCCCAATCACAGTGGCTTCCAGAGATGAGTCGGTTATGATCCCTCGGTCATAGTCAATAAGTATTTTTCATCCAGACACCCTTGGATTATACAGTATGCTTTTGCACACAAGTATGGAAGGAAGCACACAATTAAAGCACAACTTAAGTCTTCCTTAATTACCAATGTCGCAAACTCTCCTTATTTCTAAAGGTCATCCTAATACTCGCCCTATTACAATCAGGCTGAAATCGTGTAAAAAGCTGGAATCAACAGATATTTCCCGAATACGTTGTTGAGGCAAAGGAACGATGGTTGAGGTTGCCTTAATGAACAATAAGTTTTAACAATTGTAATTAAAAACTCCACACCAATGTACAAACTTATTAAGGGTATGTTTGCTGCATATAATCTATCTACAAAGTCAATCTACAGAACACAATCAGAATGTCTAAGGTATGATCTCATGCAATTTAAATCCCATCTTATTCAATAATATTCTGGACCGTTTTGGTGGCACTAACATAACTGTACCTTGATAATGGGAAATGTTATGTTTTGTGGTGCTAGGACTCTTTGAGTAGACTGTTTATTGGCACAGTGACATACAACTGTGCCTTGGTTAGAGACAATTTGTAGATAGGTATGCTGTTTTATGCTGCTAGGACCCAGTAACTGGACTGTTTGGTGGCACTGTGACACACAACTGTGCCTTGGTTAGAGACAATTTGTAGATAGGTATGCTGTTTTATGCTGCTAGGACCCAGTAACTGGACTGTTTGGTGGCACTGTGACACACGACCATGCCTGGGTTAGGGACAACGTCTACTCTATCATGGCAGTGTGGGGTCTGGCCCAAGCATACAAGAAGAATGCTGATCTGGACGAGGATAGAGCAAAGACATATGAATTGGAGCAGGTAAAATTTTCTATTACCAGACTATTGTTGTCATTCTTTCCTTCATACTACATCATATTAACGAAACATAGATTCTTACATGAGGGATGTGCCCAATAAAACTGTAGGTGGGAAATTTTCCGTGTGAAATGTAATGAGACATGACATTTTGAGAATAGAAATATAACAGTTTAAATTTTTAAATATGAAATGTTAACTTCAGGCATATCACTTATATAATGGCTGACTATATGATAGACAGAGAAAAAAATCTGGATGTTATTATGATAGTCCTGTAGACAATCTTTTTATAAGTTTTAATTAGATATATGTACCTATGTATTCTTTCTCAGAAAATTGAGTGTGCCCATTGCAGCAGGTGCACTTATAACATTCAATATGGTAGGTATATTATTACTAAAGAACTTGGAAATCAAGAAATAAAAGTAAATATTTATCTAAAACATATATGTATGGCAAAATTTGTCTCCGTAGGCTGTTGTGAAGCTGATGAGGGGCCTTTTAAGATGTATGATGATGCAAGTCGACAAGTTGGAGAAGTTTAAATACACTCAGAGTCCTAAAGATGCACTGCATGCTAAGTATAGCAGTAAGACTGGGAAGCCTGTTGTGGGAGATGACGAGTGGGGTCACCTACAGATAGATGCTACATCTCTGTACATCCTTACTCTTGCTCAAATGACTGCTTCAGGTAACAAGAGTTTCATCACCAGAAATCTTCAAATTCCTTTTTTATATGAAATCCAATTTTCAGTTTTTAGTTGTTGACAATATTACGATGGAAAATCCAGAAATTATTGTAATGTAGAAATAAGAATTCCAATATAAACATTCTCTCTAACTTTATCATACAGGTTTGTTATTATACTTTGATAGCCAGTCATTCAAGCTTTAAACTGCTCTTTCGTTAATGCTATAGACAATTTGATAGGCCTCTGCATAACAGGAAAGTAGCTTGGTCCATGCCTGTCACTGTCACTTTCTATAAATTTTTGTCGGAACAAGTGTTAAGCATGATTTGCATTATTAGTTTATGCTTTCATGTTCAGATTCATTTCATAGTATTATAACCTGAAATGAAAGTACATGTACTGTAGCTTGGTTTACATAGCAACACTTTAGAACAAATGTAAATATAATGACAAAGTATAGGTATTATTTTATATATATTGAAATTGAACCCATTGTTTACATATTCTTGGTCAGAAATACCTTATTCCAGACCCTGTCATTTATATTGTATGAGACTTTTTGTACATTGATGGCTGGAAACATAGGCATGTCCTATTGATTGCCGGAAATATAGGCATGTCCTATTGATTGCCGGAAATATAGGCATGTCCTATTGATTGCTAGAAATATAGGCATGTCCTATTGATTGCCGGAAATATAGGCATGTCCTATTGATTGCCGGAAATATAGGCATGTCCTACAGATTGTTAGAAATAAAGGCATGTCCTATTGATTGTTAGAAATAAAGGCATGTCCTATTGATTGTTAGAAATATGGGCATGTCCCATTGATGGCTAGAAATATAGGCATGTCCTATTGATTACTAGAAATATAGGCATGTCCTATTGATTACTAGAAATATAGGCGTGTCCTATTGATTGCTAGAAATATAGGCATGTCCTATTGATTGCTAGAAATAAAGGCATGTCCTATTGATTGCTAGAAATATAGGCATATCCTATTGATTGCTAGAAATATAGGCGTGTCCTATTGATTACTGGAAATATAGGCATGTCCTATTGATTACTAGAAATAAAGGCATGTCCTATTGATTGCTAGATATATAGGCATGTCCTATTGATTGCTAGAAATATAGGCATGTCCTATTGATTGCTAGAAATATAGGCATGTCCTATTGATTGCTAGAAATAAAGGCATGTCCTATTGATGGCTGGAAACATAGGCATGTCCTATTGATTGCTAGAAATATAGGCATGTCCTATTGATTGCTAGAAATATAGGCATGTCCTATTGATTGCTAGAAATATAGGCATGTCCTATTGATTGCTAGAAATATAGGCATGTCCTATTGATTGCTAGAAATATAGGCATGTCCTATTGATTGTTAGAAATATAGGTGTGTCCTATTGACTATTGACTGCTAGAAACATATGTGTGTCCTATTGATTGCTGGAAATATAGGTATCTCCTATGATTGCTAGAAATACTTGCTTATCATACATTGCTTTTATCAACAGGTATCCAGATAGTATATACTTTAGATGAGGTTGCTTACATCCAGAATTTAGTTTTCTACATAGAGTCTGCCTACAGAACTCCAGTAAGTACAAGAATTTCATACAAAGCGACTGTTGGTCTTGAATTAAGAAATGTTTTCTACAGACATGAATTTTTAACTCACCTAAGTAGGCTTACGGCATGTTGCAGCGTCTGTCAGCCATTCGTCTGTCTATTAATTTTTTCCATATGAGTTGCTTGTAGTCATTAATAACTGTGCAGATTTTGACTTACTTTGTCAGAAGCAACAATGGGGAAAGAGGAATTAGCTTTGTATGGAAAGGAGGGTCAGTGGGAAATGTTTATTTCAATCATAAAAGAATGCTTACATTTCAGAGATGAAAGTCTCTGACAAACCTCACCTATACACAAATATACTGTAGATTTTATTGTCAATTTTACCTGGTAAATATTAAGAAACTTTGTATGGGGGTAAATGTATGTTGGAACTGTTTCAGGATAATGGTTTTTGTAGGAGATATAATTTTTGCTGTTTTAGGATTATGGTATTTGGGAAAGAGGTGATAAAACCAACCATGGTCTTCCTGAGCTCAACTCAAGCTCCATTGGTATGGCAAAGGTAAGAGCTGTCCCTACAATGATAAATACATCACAATGTATCCAAAAAAAGGGAACCTTAATGACTTAATAAAGCAAAGATATCTTTATAGGGTTAAACACTGCAAAGTGTCCTCACAAAGGCAAGAGCTGTATAGTGTCCCCACAAAAGCAGAAGGTGCATAGATAGTGTCCTAATAAACTAGAAGCTGCATTGTGTCCCCACAAAAGAAACAGCTGTATAATGTCCACAGAAAGTAATAACATTTATTCTGACAAAGTAAGAACCCCGCAGGGTCCCTGAAAGTGTAAGACCCATTACATTCACAGAAAGGTAGGCACCATTTACACTGTGATTTCTTCACGATTAGTAATATCCAGTTTTATTTTACATAATATTTCAACATGATTATTCTATCCAGAAATTCCTTTTATAATGTGTTAAACTTCAGTAATAGGAAGTTAAAAACAAGGAATATATACTTTATACTAACTGTCCATAACATAGTGCTTATTGTCAATTTTTCTATTGCTGAATGGGAAGTGGTCGGTCAAATTCCTGGGGTCACAAATAATGTCAGGCTTACCTTGTACTATAGGCAAGTTTGTCATTGTCATAACTCTGCAGAATGTTTGTTTTACTTGATATCAAAATGACTTAAAATATATTCACAAATATTGCATTATGTTTTAGTTTGGACCCTCTACAGTAGAAGATAAGGTGGTTTATTTATGGAATTAAGCTCTACTTTATGTAACTCTAAATTTGTATTTTAAGCTGCAATTTACTTGTGAGACGTTGGTACAATCTCCAGCTATTTCTTTAAAGGCTTCTGTCCTTATCATTTATATACATTACAGGCAGCACTGGAGGCCATCAATGAGTTGGACCTATTTGGAGCCCGGGGAGGCCCTACCTCCATCATCCATGTCCTTCCTGATGAAGCCCAGCAGTGTCAAGTTAGTACACATTTAGCATTTATATTCAATGTTCCTTTTCTGTAGCTGTTTGGTTCACTTGAATTACCGTAAATGCTTTATCTTTGTCTTGACTTTCTGTGCAGCATATGTTGTACCATGTATTTGAAGTGAACAATTAATATTTTTATCTGAATAGTTTAAAACAAGACAAGAATCGTTACATTTGACATGTAGCAAATTAGGATAGATGGCTTTAGAAATGCTTTTATGTTAGAATGACTTAACAATGAGTACTGGAATATTCATAAAGAGGTTGTCAAATGATCTTCAAACTTGAATGTAGCTACTAAAGATACTTTGATTATTATGACATGTTCCTTTGATTTCAGGCTATATTACATTCAATGCTGCCTAAAGAATCCAATTCCAAGGTAATTCTACATTATATTTTAGTCAAGCTTTCTGTTTTAAACGTTAAATGGTTTACTATCATTTATTTTGTTTGCCTGCTTTGATTTTGGTTAAACTCCAATCTTCTCACATTTAAGCTTCCTCTTTTGTGAAAATTTGCAGGCTGAAGTTTTAGTTTTACTTAGTTACATTAACCATAAACTGATGGGGCCAACACCTTATCACTGCCTCCATATTAGACTGTGATAGTTACAAGACAATGAAATGTATATGCTTTGTAATGCACTGTTCTCAATAAATTACCTACTTACTTTATATGAAATAGTGTACTGCCCAGATCACTGTGGTGTGTAAGCCACTAATTTGTAGGAATGATACTAACTTAGTTTGTAGGAAAGAGGCACTGCCATGATGACACTGATAAGTTACCTACTTAGTTTTTAGGATATAGACCATGCCCCATCACACTGATAAGTCACCCACTTACTCTGTAGGAAATAGACGCTACCCTTATCACAATGATATGTTACCCACTTACCTTGTAGGAAATAGACACAGCTCTTATCACAATGATAAGTTACCCACTTACTCTGTAGGAAATAGACGCAGCCCTGATCACAGTTATAAGTTACCCACTTACTTTGTAGGAAATAGACGCGGCCCTGATCACAATGATAAGTTACCCACGTACTTTGTAGGAAATAGACGCTGCCCTGATCACAATGATAAGTTACCCACGTACCTTGTAGGAAATAGACACAGCCCCATCACATTGATAAGTTATCCACTTACTTCGAAGGAAATAGATCCTGTCCCATCACACTGATAAGTTACCCACTTACTCTGTAGGAAATAGACGCTGCCCTTATCACAATGATAAGTTACCCACATACTTTGTAGGAAATAGATGCTGCCCTGATCACAATGATAAGTTACCCACGTACCTTGTAGGAAATAGACACAGCCCTGATCACAATGATAAGTTACCCACTTACCTTGTAGGAAATAGACGCTACCCTGATCACAGTGATAAGTTACCTACTTACCTTGTAGGAAATAGACACAGCCCCATCAAATTGATAAGTTATCCACTTACTTTGAAGGAAATAGATCCTGCCCCATCACACTGATAAGTTACCCACTTACTCTGTAGGAAATAGACGCTGCCCTTATCACAATGATAAGTTACCCACATACTTTGTAGGAAATAGACCATGCCCTTATTACAATGATAAGTTACCCACTTACCTTGTAGGAAATAGACGCTGCCCTGATCACAATGATAAGTTACCCACTTACCTTGTAGGAAATAGATGCTGACCTGATCACAATAAGTTACCCACGTACTTTGTAGGAAATAGACGCGGCCCTGATCACAGTGATCACACGCACTTTGTAGGAAATAGACGCGGCCCTGATCAAAATAAGTTACCTACTTACCTTGTAGGAAATAGACACAGCCCTGATCACAATGATAAGTTACCCACTTACCTTGTAGGAAATAGATGCTGACCTGATCACAATAAGTTACCCACGTACTTTGTAGGAAATAGACGCGGCCCTGATCACAGTGATAAGTTACCCACGCACTTTGTAGGAAATAGACGCGGCCCTGATCAAAATAAGTTACCTACTTACCTTGTAGGAAATAGACACAGCCCTGATCACAATGATAAGTTACCCACTTACCTTGTAGGAAATAGATGCTGACCTGATCACAATAAGTTACCCACGTACTTTGTAGGAAATAGACGCGGCCCTGATCACAGTGATAAGTTACCCACGCACTTTGTAGGAAATAGATGCTGCCCTGATCACAATGATAAGTTACCCACGTACTTTGTAGGAAATAGACGCTACCCTGATCACAATGATAAGTTACCCACGTACTTTGTAGGAAATAGACCATGCCCTGATCACACTGATAAGCTACCCACTTACTTTGTAGGAAATAGACGCGGCCCTGATCACAGTGATAAGTTACCCAGCCTTTGCTGTTGATGATGTACGTCTGATCAGTGAGACAAGGCAGCACATACAACAACAACTCGAGGTAACAAGCAGCATGTTGTTGAGGGATATAAATACAGTTTTTAGTTTTCTGAAACAAGTTGTATTTAAGATTTTCATTACACATCAGAATTTTATTTAGATTTAATTAGAAAAATTAAAATAAGAGGGATATCAAAAAGTTTGGAGCTGCATGCATTTACTCCTGTGCGATACCACACTTCCGATAGACATACCCCTAGTGAGTTGGTAAAATAGACACGTATAGAGTATACTGTGGAGATAAGTTTCTAGTCATGGATAGTCACTTTGCTAAGTAGGTTGAAGAGAGAGTGGCTGATGTTTATGGGAAGTCTTTCCCCTTCATCTGCAAATATCAAATGCTGGATGAAGGAATTCCAGGGGTCACCTTCCAGTCAGAACTGCCACAACCAGTGTTAATCAAGAAAACATTGTGCAAACTAGTGATGGAAAGCTCTTTTTGAATCAGTAAAAACAAAAGGACTTCATATGGATCCATACACATCATAGTTTATGACAAAATACACATGTCTATGGTATGTCTTTTGGATGACATGAAGCGACTGAAGATCACCATAGTGACATCGCTAACTTATCGGTAGTACCATGCCAACTCAGGTGATTGTCATTTTCGGATTGTAACCTGTAGGATATTTTGACATTTTTTTGGGGAAGTAAAGGATTGATTTAAATCATCTGCCTGCCCTATAGAACCACACCATTATTGGGGAGTATTATACAAACCTACTGAAGCAGGCATGCCATTCAATCAAGGAGAAATAGTACAGAAAAACCTGTTGATTGATTTTGCTTCACTAGAACATGGCTATGAACTCCACTCTCACAAACTCTACAATGTAGCCCAATAACTTCTACCTTTTTCCCAGACTGAAAAAGACATGTTCAGGTCTGAATATTTGAGGATGGTTTTAAGCCGAGTGCTGATTTAGAAGGCTTGTTAAAGGACCGAGATGTTGATCAGGTATCAGTGAAAAACTAGATGTAACAAGTGTGTGGAGTTTGTAGGGGAGTATGTTGCAAATAAAGCAGTATAAGTCCAAATATCTTGTTCTTTCTGTGTGAGACTCAAAACTTATTGATATCTCTTCAAAATTATGAAAAAATTTGATATGCCATTGGTTACCTATGAAACATACGACACAAGATGTGTTTATGAAACACTTTGTCCATGATTGCAACAAAATTCTGAAGTGGGACATTAAAATTGTATTGTGTAAGGCAGGTAATAATTGCATATACACTTTGTGAAACACTTTTGTCCTACAGTGCAATAGTGAAGGTCAAAGTTTAAATCTTTCAAATGTAGGTCAGAGGTCACAGTCAAGGTTACATGACGAAAAATGTTTGTACTACCAGAAGGGTCTTGTCACAAGTAACACACATGCCAAATATGAAAGCCCTACCTCTTATGATGCAATAGTTTATGGCCAATGTTAAAAGTTTTTTTGTAATAGTCAATGTTGAACATTATATAAATAATATATATGGAACAAGTTAGTTTCAGTGATTTTGTTATGTAATGTTTTTTTTTAACTTTACTTTTTTTATTCACTAAGTATTTGATAACTTAGATTAGGCTTTACATGTTGTTTATATGATGTGTTGTGTTTTTCTCTTATTTCAGGGAAAGTATGGATTTTGTCGGTTTTTGAGAGATGGATATAAAACAGCCAAAGAGGTAACTGTTTAATAAACTGTGTGTAATGTTCACTAAGAGAGAGAGAGAAAGAGAGAACAAGGGTGAGGACTAAAACTTTTATAAGAAACCATCATTTTTGTTTTACTTAATATGTACTGTATTAGATACATGTGGAGGTTTCTTTTGTTGGGACACTGTATAATTGATAATGTTCTGTAATATTTTGTTTGGGGCCAGGGTGGGACGTTGAGGGAGGGAGGGGAGGGGAATCTAATTTCTTTACACATTGTATCCCTATATTTGCTTTCATTAAAGGTAGTGCAAAATTGTATAACGAAAATTTATTTCAACAATCATTCCTATTGAAATTCTCAATAAAAACATATCACATGCTGGAAAAAAAGTTATACCAATGTGTATCAACACAGAGACTACTGTGAAATGATAGCCCAAAGAAAATAAGCAAGCACTACATTATAGTATACAGCACTGCCAGCTTTCTTTTGCATGGGATTGACTTTTGAAAACTTCAATAGAAGTCTGTGGGAACAAGAAGTTGGGCATTAGCAGTGAGGTAAAACTTACATGTGTAGATTTATGCCTAAGAATGTGCAAGGATGTCAACTCTTTCTTAATTAATGATTTTATCTTCTCAAACTTTGAGCAGTGGAAACACGTATATTAGTCCAAGGAGGCACACAATACATTGATATTACTTTAAGTTTTAAAGTAGTTGTAAGTCCTTGATCTTTCCTGTCACAGGATCCATCTCGACTTTACTATGAACCCTGGGAACTACAGATGTTTGAGAAGATTGAATGCCAGTGGCCCATGTTCTTTGCCTACTTTTTGTTAGATGGACTATTTAACGGTAATGAAGAACAGGTAAGTGATTAAGTCCACCAAGGTCAAGAAAACCATTGAGTGACTAAAATTCTTGACTATTTGGAACATTAAATATATATGCAATATATGGACTATATATACTTACCATATATTTTTGCAACAACAAACATTATGGAAATCTTTCCTTCTGCAATAAGACAAACTACAGATGTTTTTCATAGAGATGGTGCCTAGTGATAGGAAGAGTGAAAAAAAAACAAAAATTAGTAGACAAATGACCATTTAAACAAAAGTTTATAGTGTCCTTTCTGGTTTTATGGGAAAAAAATAGTGTATACTTTTGTTAGGATAGTCAGCTTTATATGAGCTGGCAAATTATCATACTAATATGTTCAGGAAATGACATTTCAGTGAGATGACACTTTGAATATAAATCTAGTGACATAAATCCCAAAACCAACATATCAATTGAAGTGTAAAGATGGGCAGGCTGCGGACATATGAGTTTAAATGAGATATATGGAACAGATTTACAGTAAGATTTTGATTATGTTGATGTATTAGTAATTATGACATCTTCCTGACATTGGGTCGGCGGCCATTGTCCTGACATTGGGTCGGCGGTCAGCGGTAATGGCCGACAAGGCTTATTGCAGGGCCAGTATGGTAGTAATATTACAACAGTGATTATGTCATAGGTCTTGTATATCTCCAACAGATCATAAAATACAAGGATCTATTAGATAGTGTCCTAAAGAAGCGAGAGGATGGTGTTCTCATGATGCCTGAGTTATACACAGTGCCAGCTGAAAAGGTGAGAGGTTGACTTATGTGTATTTAAAAATCAAAAAAGTTTATTGTCATCAAAATTAAATCAAAGTTTATCTATGTTTCTTCAATGCAATAGGCCTAAAAACTGTATCCTAAAATAGGTCAGCATTTAGTTAATATATTTTGAGTTTTAAATTTTTTTTGAAATGTAATGTAATTCAAACATAAATCTGCAAGACTAACTAAACTATTGCAGCTATTGATTCATAACTACATTGTGTTGATTCTGCCTTACATACCTAGATATGTTGCCTATATTAATTCAAACTTGGTATGACTATAGTTTATGGAAATGAAGATGTTAGCAGTGTTATTATCGCTGCTACCACTGATCTTTTAAATCCTTCATTTTGCCTACTGAGGCAAATTTTACCTTTAGATAAGAAAACCTGATTTGCCCTTTGGGGATATGATGTCACATGTTTTTGTCTTGGGAGGTTTATGAACATGTAGCTTGTTTGTTACATACTGTTAGGTGGATGAAGAATACAGAAATCCTAACAGCCAGAAGCGTATAGCCATAGGGAAGTTACCTCAGATGTGGGGAGAGTCCATGCTGATTCTTAGTAGGCTGATATTGGAGGTACAGTATTGTATATAAAGTATACTGTATTTGTGCTGATTCTCAGCTGACTGATATTGGAGGTACAGTATTGTATATAAAGTATACTGTATTTGTGCTGATTCTCAGCTGACTGATATTGGAGGTAAAGTATTGTATATAAAGTATACTGTATTTGTGCTGATTCTCAGCTGACTGATATTGGAGGTAAAGTATTGTATATAAAGTATACTGTATTTGTGCTGATTCTCAGCTGACTGATATTGGAGGTACAGTATTGTATATAAAGTATACTGTATTTGTGCTGATTCTCAGCTGACTGATATTGGAGGTAAAGTATTGTATATAAAGTATACTGTATTTGTGCTGATTCTCAGCTGACTGATATTGGAGGTACAGTATTGTATATAAAGTATACTGTATTTGTGCTGATTCTCAGCTGACTGATATTGGAGGTACAGTATTGTATATAAAGTATACTGTATTTGTGCTGATTCTCAGCTGACTGATATTGGAGGTAAAGTATTGTATATAAAGTATACTGTATTTGTGCTGATTCTTAGTAGGCTGATATTGGAGGTAAAGTATTGTATATAAAGTATACTGTATTTGTGCTGATTCTCAGCTGACTGATATTGGAGGTACGGTATTGTATATAAAGTATACTGTATTTGTGCTGATTCTTAGTAGGCTGATATTGGAGGTACGGTATTGTATATAAAGTGTACTGTATTTGTGCTGATTCTCAGCTGACTGATATTGGAGGTACGGTATTGTATATAAAGTATACTGTATTTGTGCTGATTCTCAGCTGACTGATATTGGAGGTACGGTGTTGTATATAAAGTATACTGTATTTGTGCTGATTCTCAGCTGACTGATATTGGAATAATAACATTATTGTATATAAAGTATACTGTATCTGTGCTGATTCTCAGCTGACTGATATTGGAATAATAACATTATTGTATATAAAGTATACTGTATTTGTGCTGATTCTCAGCTGACTGATATTGAAGGTATGATTTGGTCTATAATTATCTTTCTTAATATGCTTATGTTGGAAGTATGATGTATAAAATGATGGAGTGTTTCTCAACAGATACATTTCTGCTTCTCAAGAATCGTTAATTGCTATCAAGATAAATTTGATAATCATTAACCATTTACATAACCTTGCATTCCTATACACATTTCATTTGAAGTTATGTCTGTAACAGGATTTATATATAGATTTAGTTTCATCTTTAGAATTTTATATCTCCGGGTGAACTGGATCCTCTGAATCGACGCCTGGTTTCTGAACCTAAACCAGACATAGTTGTACAAGGTAAATATCAATTTACAACTTAAATAAATTTAGGTCAATGATCATTACTTATCACATGGTGGTCTTGTGGTAGCATGTTGGGCTATTGATTGCCACTAGTTGGACACTGCTACGGATATTGTGTTGTATCCTTGGACTAGATAGTATTTATTGAACTTTTTCCTGACAACTCAACTGTAAATGAAAAGCATTGCTGGAAATGTCTAAGCTATGAGCTGTTGGCCGTGAATGGCAGCTCCGGTAGTTTGCTGCCCAGAGATTTGAGAAAAATTATGTCTAGTAAAGTATACACAGATAAGAATGGTTGAACTACTTTGAAACAGCTGTATTTTGATATGATAAAGTTGTATTGTATATAAGGACCTCAAATTATCTTTAATAAGTAAACCAATTGTTTATTTGTACTACAGTGGTGATTCTTGCCGAGAATTTAAAAATTCAGGAGCATTTATTGGAACATGGGATTGATGTGCAGACATCTGCTGAGGTCTGTCCCATTCAAGTGTACCCAGCCAGGGTACTAACACAGATCTATGCCCTACTAGGTAAGTTTGAGATCTGTCCCATTCATGTGTACCCAGCCAGGGTACTACCACAGATCTATGCCCTACTAGGTAAGTTTAAGGTCAATGCCATAAAGTAAATCCTGCCAAGATGCTGACACAGATTTATATCTTGTTAAGTAAGCTTGAGGTCGGTGCCATACAAGTGTACCAATCAAGGGCATTGACTCAGATTTATGCCCTGCAAGTCTTAGGTCAGTCCAATAAAGTATACAGCTAGGATACAGACACAGGTTTAAGCCCTGCTAGGTAAGTCTTAGGTCAGTCCCATAAAGTATACTCAGCCAAGGTACAAAAACAGGTTTAAGCCCTGCTAGGTAAGTCTTAGGTCAGTCCAATAAAGTATACAGCCAGGGTACAGACACAGATTTAAGCCCCACTAGGTAAGTCTTCGGTCAGTCCAATAAAGTATACCCAGCCAGGGTACAGACACAGGTTTAAGCCCTGCTAGGTAAGTCTTAGGTCAGTCCTATAAAGTATACCAAACCAGGGTAAAGACACAGATTTAAGCCCTGCTTGGTAAGTCTTAGGTCAGTCCTATAAAGTATACCCAACCAAGGTACAAACACAGATTTAAGCCCTGCTAGGTAAGTCTTAGGTCAGTCCTATAAAGTATACCCAACCAGGGTATAGACACAGATTTAAGCCCTGCTTGGTAAGTCTTAGGTCAGTCCTATAAAGTATACCCAACCAAGGTACAAACACAGATTTAAGCCCTGCTAGGTAAGTCTTAGGTCAGTCCTATAAAGTATACCCACCAAGGTACAAACACAGATTTAAGCCCTGCTAGGTAAGTCTTAGGTCAGTCCTATAAAGTATACCCAACCAGGGTATAGTCACAGATTTAAGCCCTGCTAGGTAAGTCTTAGGTCAGTCCTATAAAGTATACCCAACCAGGGTGTAGACACAGATTTAAGCCCTGCTAAATAAGTGTCATATCTATAGCCTGCAAGATAATTCTGAGTTTAAATGTCTGTTGATGTGAAATGTAATTTTTATTTTCATAAATTTACATGCTACATCCACTCTGATTTTCTTAGTAAATATGGACAATGTATAATTTGTTTTTAGGTAAAAACAAACGACTGGGTTTGACTGGACGACCATCAAATGAGATTGGGCTGCTTGCAACAAGTAAACTGTACATGCTACAGGACCAAATCCTTGCTTTTATTCCACAGGTAAATATAATATCTCACTAATAGCCATATCTTAGAGGTAACCATGATGTCCTACAGACACCTTCACCACAGTTAACTTCTGGTTTACTTAAAGGCCTAGAATCATGATATTTGGAAGGTTCTTCACATGACTTAACAAGAGTTAGGAATGAAATGACCTTGACTCTTATTCAGGGTTACAGATAAAATTAGTTAAAATGCTTAAAGGACATCTTACGATGAACTCAAAGACCTAAAAGTCAGAGAATCCTGATATTTGATTAATACTTTCCTGGGATGAAGCCCAATAAAGTTTTTAAAAAAAAAGACATTAACCAATATTCAAGGTCACTCTAGTTAAATTGTTTACTTCTTTTGATTAACCAAAAGTTGTATTATAAACACATGTGGTAGTAAGATTCCTTGGATCCTTGGATGAATCCCAAAAAAGATGAGAAAAAAATGACCTTGACTCATCTTCAAAACCCAATGGGATCAGGTTTGTTAAACTGCTGAAATGTTTTATTTGATTAATAGAAATCCTTGAATTTTGATATTTGTCTTGTGGGTTTCTAGAATGAAGCCAGACAAAGGTTGTGAAAACAATGACATTGATCTATACTTTAGGTTACAGAGGTCAAGTTTATTCAAATGTTCATTTGTCTTATGAATAACTGAAAGGCTTGGAAACATATTAAGATGGTAGGTGCCTGTGATAAAGCCAAAACATATTTTGTAAGGTAATGACCTTGGGTCATATTCAAGGTCACTGAGGTCAAATTTGTTAAACCATTCAAATGGCTTCACCTGCCAGACATTGTATTGACTTAAAGTTGTCTACAACAGGATCCATCAGTTTTAGACAAATGTTCACCCTGCAGTGTGAGTAGAGGTGACTTTGTCAATGACTCATATATTTGTGAAAAAATTGAATATTAGGTGAGTGGTGCAAGTCTATTGGACGTTTATATATTCATTTAATATTTGTTGAAGGCTAGTTTCTGTGATTTCATTATTTCTTCTAAGCAGTTATCAGGACAAAATATTTACATCAGAGCATCCTTAACTTTTTGATTGATTAATAATTATCATTGCATGACAAATAGTTATTTCTTATTAGTGTCTTTAATCTTATGCATTTTTTATGTTAAAGCCAAATAACAAAGCTTGGCATGAATAAAGTCTACATTTAGACTTGATGACATCTTTTCCTAAAGTAAGAAGACATTTATTGACTACATCCATCATATAAATCCACCAGAACTGGAAATCAAAGATACAACATAGTCTACTAAATCAGCTGCTTATCTTAATCATTTCCAACATGGACAGCTTTCCATCAAGCTGCATGATAAACATGATGTTTTCAATTTCTCTATTTTGAATTTTCCATTTCTGGATAGCAATATCCTTGCATCTCCAACCTTACTTACATGTCACAGTTGATTTAATATTCAAGGGTATGTACTCATTATCACAATTTTTATGCTAGAAATTGTCAACTGACTGACATACTTGTAACATAAGGATTCAAAAGATGTAGGTTGATGAAAATTATGAGGAAGTTTTAAAGTTGCCTTAGTGATCTCATTGAGAAATATTCTGTTTCTTTGCGTGACATGAAGCTAGACGTAGTTGATGCTCGTTGATTTTCCTGTTAGTTCCATTGTTGTATACCTCATTCTCATTTGAGAATGTGACATTACATACTTGGGTTGACTAGGGTTTACATGGTTGGTGTTGTTGAAGAAGCAGAAGACATTACTCTTTTGGAACACCTGGTCTTATTATCCTTGTACTTTTTCAGGAGACTCTGTGAAAATTTTTCTTTTGTTCATATTTTGCCCTAGTTTTATGGAATTTGAGTTTGAATTGTGATCATTTTGCCAAGTTGGTAATTTCTTGATGTTTTTTGAAAATGACATACAGAACCCAAATTATAATGCTTAAATATTTATTCTTCAGTTCTTACAGAATAAAACAGCATCATGTCAATGTTCTGATAGAACTTAGTAGTCTAATACTTCAAACATATTTTTTTCTTATTTGACTGCTCATGAATTTCTCATAGTCTATAAACCATTCTCTACTGTGATAGAGATATGTAGCAACATGATCCAGTTTGAGTTTGTAGATCATGGGAGATAACTCAATATTAAAAAAAAAGTGTATTCCTGTCAGTACTTTTGTAATTCTATGAGTTGTAAATGACCCATACAATGTTGTATGTTCTATTCCTCTAGCCTATATATGTATGTAAGAAAAATTGTTTTTTTTTAACAGAATGGGATTAAGATGTGAATGTTCCATTTGTAACCCAGCTCTTAACAATCTGCATGGTTGTGAGCTTCCTGGCATTGTCTTACAATATGTCATCCTTATAAAAGAGAGAATCATAATGACAAACAGGATCTGGTTTTTGAAGCCTAATCACCCGCAGCATGTGCTTTGAAAATGATTATTACATGCTTGAGCTATGAAAACAAGAGAAAGTAACAAGGTTGATTAATCTGTGACTCAAACGTGATAGATATGTAGTACTAGATATCTTTAAGTAACTATCCATAGATATATTTATAAGATATTAATGGCCCAAACAATAAAATAGATGTTGTCTGATTTTCACTTTGTATTGACGATGAAAATCAGCAGTATATAGAAATTGTGCTAAATCAAATGCATCTGCATATGAAGCATTTTTGGTTTTTTCCATGTAATTGCTTTATTATTCCAAGGCTTTGTTAACTCTGTCCTTAAGTATTTAATATTTTGACTCATTTTAAAGTATATGATAAGACAGAATTCCTATTACTTCACCCTGTCAGATCATAAAGGTGACAGTAACCAGCTGATTACATACTGGTCCTGTAACACATCCTCGCAGTCATACTGCCCAACTCCCCCTCCCTTTACCTTAGTCAGATACTAGACAATTCTTGACCATCTAAATGTGGTGATATGAATTTGTCTGATCGTTAACACTACTAACAAATAACTAGTTATATTAAAGATGTCCAGCAGAAGTATATATAATGATAATGAACATTGTAAGTGTCAGATAGTCAATTACAGCAGCACCTGTAAATACTGAGAATACATGCTAAGATAATCGAGTATTATCCTATAAACTTCAGTATATTGTACTTCAAAATTAGAAGTGATTAAAATATCAGCTGATTCAGAACAATATATATATGAATCAGATACAACATATGGTAAGCTGGAGGTCATATACAGCGGGAAGTTATCATTGAGATGGGGTGACTTTGATCTTAAGGAATACAGCGCATATATATTTTTGGGAATCATATTTTCATACTTATGAAATGTAAAACTTCAAAAATTGTTCTGATTGACAAAGTGATATGACTGCTATTAACTAATTTGTTCAATTTGAAAATTGTTTTATATTAATATCAAAATCATCTACAAAAAATTATAGCCACATTGCCTGTAAGTTAACATAATTCCTCTGCTGCTGTGTGCATACCATTTACTAAACTGCTAGAATTAACTCATTGATAAAGAGTTGTAAATTAGTTAGATGTCAATCAATGTACATAATAATAAAACACTGTTCAATGCTTTATAATTAGTACTACTAGTAATTAACCTTGTTTTTCAGTTTGTAGATCAGCATCAGTTCTATCTACCTCTAGATACAGAATTTCTTGTCGACATATTCCAAAATGATGTGGAATTTGTGTCTCGGAATTGGAGTATGCTGGGACGTCCGGTCTTTGTCTTCCCTATTCTAGGGACCATGTTAGGTGGGACTTACATCCCTGACTTGACCTTGCCAAATGTAGCTCATTCTCAGTTTATCCTGTCGTAGAGTGCAGCTTGGGCATGTCTTCTTTTTCAGCTTGTAATATTATGTATATGCATTAAAACCACACCTGTCCAACTTTCATGTTCTTTGTTTAAAAATGTTCAGATTTTTGTTATTTTGTATTTTAAATCAATAATACCTCATCTTTTTTAAAAATAGAATATAAATTTTAATGTTTAATAAATAAATAGGAAAGACTTACTGATGGACAGCTGTGGTTAATTAATTGGCTACATGACAATTTCCTTGAAAAAAAATCTTGAATACTTTGTACACTTGCATAAGAATGAAAACTTTCTGTTATGAAGCAAAATTGACTTCACATATCATGTGCAAAATTTCATTGCATACACATGGCACATTCTTTTGATAAATAATTATATTCAGTGTTTGTGTAAGTTCAAGAATATTTCAGGGAAAAGTTTAACTGTAGGTATCAATAAATATTGAAAACCAAAAGACCTGGAAAATGCTTTGTCTCTAAGTAACTAATAATATATAATGTAGTAACACATTAATCTTTTGAGGTTTCAGATTGTTTATCTGATACTTTACAGTTCATGTAGCCTTCTTTATTTACTGACTGCTTGTCATTTGATCTCACTGACTGAAAATGTGCTTAATACTTGCATGACTTATCTTTTGCCACCCACTTAATGGTTTTGTGTTACTCATGATGAATACTGCTATTAAAGACAAGTACATTCACTCCAGGCTCTGATAATGGAAAAATATGGCTGTTATAGACAGGTACATACAGGCTCTCATAATGGAAAAATCTGGCTGTTATAGGCAGGCACATCCAGGCTCTCATAATGGAAAAATCTGGCTGTTATAGGCAGGTACATCCAGGCTCTCATAATGGAAAAATCTGGCTGTTATAACAGGTACATCCAGGCTCTCATAATGGAAAAATCTGGCTGTTATAGGCAGGTACATCCAGGCTCTCATAGTGGACAAATCTGGCTGTTATAGGCAGGTACATCCAGGCTCATATAGTGGAGAAATCTGGCTGTTATAGGCAGGTACATCCAGGCTCATATAGTGGAGAAATCTGGCTATAATAGACAGGTTCATCAAGACTCTAATCATGTAAAACTCTGGCTATAATAGACAGGTTCATCAAGAATCTAATCATGTAAAACTCTGGCTGTTAAAGATGGGGACATCTAGCCTGTCAAAATATAAATTTCTGGCTGGACTGAAGTGGACAAAAATGTATATTCAGGTATAGTTTAGGATGAAATATTATTTAGATCCCAAAGAGACAGATTTGGATATAGTTTGGAGTATTGTTTACATCACCTTATTTGCCTACTGACCATAATTAAGAGGGAAACTTGATTTTTGGTCTCCAACTCCGACATAAATTATTCAAAATGTCTGATCTAGTGGAATGATCAACTTGTTGTTAAAGGTTAGTTTGTTGAATCCAGGTCTGAGTGTACACTTTTCTGAGGCTTGTTTCTTTAATGCTCACAATCTCTCTTGTCAAGTTGGCAAGTTTGGATCTTGTGGGTAACAGTATTGTGTAGTCTAGTATCAAATTGCTGTATTATCTCCCCTTGATATGTACACCCCCTATAAATGCACTGCCATGTACAGAATGCATGACTTGAATGTAATTGGCTGTGTATGCTTTAACTATATGTAGATGATATGCTGCTTTTCTTTCACTTTTTAGATAAAGGACTGGTATAGGTATTTGTGTATTTTTTGACCATTTTGTTATAGTTTATGGATCAACAACAGTTTTACCTAACCCTAGACACCACTTTTACGGTCGACCATTTCCGAAATGAGATTGCTTACCTGAAAAATTCCTGGAAAGGACTTGGTCGTCCCACGGTAACCCTTCTTATCAGTAATAGCTTTTTAGGTAGGTGGTGTTTACTTAATGTTGCTGCAATACCTCTTAGCCAATCAGATTCATGTATGATATTGTTATGGTTTTTTGTCAGTTTACCTTGTAATAGCACAGTGCTTATTGTCTGGCTAGATACAAATCTTGTCTGTCTTGGGCTGTTGTTTTTTTAAGTTTTGAATATGCATACAGAAAATATATCATTTAACACATGCCATTTCAGAAATTAACGTATTTTCTTGTTTGGAAATCGATTAGATCATGTCTAATTTTCATTTACTGTTTTTATCAAATTCTATTTACAAATGTTTGTCAGGGCACTACCATGCTTGTATGGCAATACACCAGTGCCTGTAATAGCTGTAATAGCCCCCATCTCGATGTGTTGCTCTTCTGTAAAGTTTTAATACATTACTATTTGATTGTTTTGTAACAAGCCTACCTCCTAACTTTAAGATGTTGGTACTGGTTTTAGTATGCTGCTACTGAAAAGCCTTTGTATATCTGATAGAATCTTATGTAATTTGCACCTGCATAATTAAATCAGTTACCTTAGTAGATACTCTATAGCTGGTCATTTTATGTGTCAATCTTTTGTGATTTTCTTTTAAAATATTCTAATTTTGCAAATTTGATGTAAAACGACATATACTACACACATGTCTCTTTATTTCATGGATTATCTTTTCATGATCAAATTATAATTATGAAATAACAGAAGTGTCATCCTTGTGAAAATGATCAGCTGTATGGTAATATATATTATACATGACGTTTAAAAGAATTGGATTGGTAGAGGGTGGCAACATAGACAAGTTTATCATTGGTTTGTTAACTATGTAAGATAAACTCTCTCTCTTTATAACAGAATGAAATGATTGCACATATTACACATGTATACTTTCTATACCATTATATTGCATGTTTGATATGTAGATAAAAAAGCTCGGATCTGTCAATAAGAAATAGTATATAACTGAGAAATGATATACAATGTATTATGTAAATAGATTATTGATGCTCACTCAGTAATATTTCTGTGCTGATCATAATGTTTGTAATAATGCTGTATAGACCCTCACTAATACAACATAAAAGTAGTACCTACAATGAATTCTGAATTACATGTATACATATTTACTATAAAGTAGGCAATGATCTGTCCGATTAGTACATATGTATAGAATATAGTTTGTTGTTATATAATAATGATTAAAGTAGAAAACAGTCAAATTTGTGTCAAAACATGTAGATTTTATTTCAATTATGTCCTTCTTTTAAAATATTGTGTTTTGTCCTCAATTGCAGATATGGGCCAGAGCCTTCCAGCAGCACTAGTGGCCACCATTAAGAAATTACAAAGTGGCTATATAGCTGGTACACGGTCAGTATATCTAATGTCCTTTCTTATAAATTTACTAGGGAATTGATGTGTAGAATCTCCCTTCTTAGGGTGAGATATGGAAGTTTCGTCTAAGGGAGAAGATTCTGAATTTTTTGTCAACATGGGTTCAAACATTTGAACAGGGAAGAGTGGCTTTTGCTGTACAGGACACTGAAGGCAGTTATCTGATAGTTTAAATGACAGCTGGATATCACCATCAGGAAGTACCGACTATTATGAACTGGATATCCAGTAACTTGTTCTGGCACTAGTTTTCATCCACCCAGGGAACAACAGCATCATAACCAAAAAAAAAAAAAAAAAAAACACATGTTCATGCATAAAACTGTAAAATAATAAAATAAAAGTAATTTATTACTTATGGACCTGGATTGTCTATAAAATCTGGTTTTTTAAATCTTCAGTATTGCTTGTAAGTGCCATAAACTATTTATTAAGTGTTTTTGTCACAAAACAATCATTGAACTAAACATATGTGCCTCATAATAGGATTGTTTTGTCACATATTATACCTTTGCTGATGTGACCATGTGTTGATATCCACATTGAATCAGTAATTACCTCTGTGATATGTAGACAGAATATCAAACATTCTAAAAATCTTTATGGATGAGATGTCTCTGTCGACATCACACAGAAGGTAAAGAGTCTGTAATTCTAAAGCATTTCTTTCATTTTGTAAGGACATTTGGTACCTTATCTGATAACTGATTTATTCCAGTGTTCATATGGGGAAGCTGAGTGACTTTCTGTCTACCTCCTGTGTTACCAAGCTCAGCTTTGTGTCTGATGATCCTCTACAAGGTTAGTAGCTAGACATATTTTCAGTACATGTTTGTCTTATTTGGTGATTTTCTAGAGATCAGTATTATCACTGAGTAGAAAACTGCCTGGTTTGATGAAACCTGTTACATCATCATTGTCTCCTTGGGAGCAAGGAATGGAATGGACACTATCCTGTTTATCATGTTAGCATTCTCACCAGTCATCAATCAAGGGTTTTGGTTGGCTTTACTAGAACTTTGGGGGAGAATTTTTTTTTGAATATGGGACTATATCATTTTCTTCAATGTAAAGAAGTTAGAGAATTTTGGAATTAATAAATTAAATGGTAAATGTAGGGAAGCATGATAAAATCTACTAACAGAACTATTATAGTAGACAGAATATTCACCAGGAATAAAAAAGAATCATCATAAATAGAACCCTTTCACATATACACTAGGCTATCACATCTGGATGTAAATATTTTACTTTGATAAACAAATATCTCCAAGGAGACTGGAATTGATGTTTCTCTTACAACATGGAGTTGTTTATTGCCATGACGACAGAAATGTGTCATGGAGGTAGTAATTTATCACCATGGTGATGAAAGTATCATTCCTGTTTATCTCTGCGATGGAGGCATTTATATTTCACCATGACAACAGAAAGTAACTTTTCACCGTGGCTCTATTGACACAAGCACAATTTTGAAGTTTTTTTAATGTCCTGGTAACGATCTTGCTGACTTCCTACGATACTAATTACTATACTGTAGTTAATTTTTGACTAAGGAGCAAGCTTTTAGTTAACTTCAAATTTTGGAATGTGACTGCATTTTGCATTTGGAGATAAACTAGCAAGATAACTATTAAAAACTGTTAAAAGTTTGCTTACTATTTGACCAATTTTTGATTAAGCATTAGGTGACTGGTTTGTCCTAGGGTGATCAACATAAATATATGTCAAGGTCAATCCAAGGGTGACCAGCATAAATGTATGTCAAGGTCAAGTTGATCACTTACAGTATCCATTTTCAGATCAGCAGGTTACAAGTAAGTAGAAAACAGAAATTGTTTGGTGGAAATAGATTTTCTTATTTTTAAAGAGAGAGTTAATTGTAACTCATATTTTATATCGATGCTAAATTGCTTTACCTGTCATTACAAAAGACATTTTACAAACCCTCTTTATCTGTTGTCAGGAAAGGTAAAATTTCACAACTAACATTTTAACTGATAACAAACTGTGTCGCTTTCCATAATTCTTCATTAATGTATAAAATCTGTCCCAGTTATATGTGAAGATGATATGATAATATAGAGATCACTGCATAGTTACAGCCAGTAGATTGATATTTGTAGCCATGCTTGATTGTTGATAGAGTAACTCCAGTTGTCTAAAATCACCTTCATTTATCCCTTATCATGAAAACAACTATTTTGAACAAGTATATCTACCATATATGAGTAATGAATTCATTGGCCACATGAAGATCACAAGACGGGATCTTGTCACTTTTGTAATGACAATTGGGCTCATGGGCAGTGGTTGTCTAGTAGTGGTCATTTTGTTTGGCAAATCTCATACTATGTGTAACAAAGACTTTCATGTTTATTCTCATTGGAACTAAGAAGAAGATATGATATGTTTTCATTGTAAAATTTACCTTTATTATAAGCTAGAAAGAGTGAATATTTAAAAATGAATTGTTGATTTTACTTTGTTCAAAGACTTAAGAAGAAGCAGAATATTTCCAAATTCTGTTTATCTGTTAATCACGATCCTGTGATGAAATTCTCCATCATATTTAGTACGAACTATGTCCTGTACAAGACTTGAATTGTTTCCTGGTTGTATTTGGGTATCACTTGATTTTCATTATAATTCTATATTTATATTTCTCTTTCCTTGACACAATGCCTTTTCAGAATACAGGTATTCTTTTAATGATGTCTTTACTTGAGTCTTTGTAAAAAGTATGATATACATATACCAACCTATCAACCTAAGATGTGTGGTGTTTTTACTTGATTGTGGTTTGATTATATATCATTGCGAGGAATTCATTGTTTCTTTACATTTATATCTAAAAGTACAGCTGGCTCTGACAATATACAACCCTGACTTATATAATGTAATGTTCATTTCATATGTCTGGATTATATAAATATAAATACAGGGAGGGGAGGTGATAAGCTAAATTTGGTTAAATAATGGTATGTTTACAGTATTCAGTATCAACAGACGGAATCCATTGATCAGTGTAATGATGTTGGTACTTAATGATAATATACTTGCATGTTATTGCTATGTTTTGAAACCATCTGCTGTACTGTGATCAATTAGATATGGTATTCTGTTAATGTTACCAGTTATCAGTATTAAAAAGTTTTTTAAACGTTTCCTTAAACTGCAGTACTGGTGATTGGTATCAAAACATGGTAATCACAGTCAGTTTTGGATTTTGTGTCCTAAGGTCAACATAAGGTCGTTGGTACTGTATGTCGTTTCCATCCTTTACCAATCTGACTGTGTAGGTGTTTCACATGTGTTTTCTGGTGTTTCTCCCCCCTATGATTTCTTCTTTTACTCTAATTTCTGACAGGCTTTCTCATTTGATGAGGTCATGCATTTGATAATACATCTATTTATTGTGCAAATGATAAAGAAGTGCTGTGTGTGTGTTTTAAAATGCTATTTACATAATGAATTGTGATTTGATAGATATTAACATTTTATTTTAAATCAAAGTAAAAAAAAAAATTAAATGAAAAACAATTTATCTGTATACACTGATAAATAATAAGGTATTATTTGGTTTTGTATTCTGAAACAAACTTTTTAGTGATATATTATAGTAATGGAATGCATTGCCTGTCTTTCTTTCATTTGTAAATCAGCTGCTGGACCAGACCATTATGTTCAAATCTTGAAGAGTAATTTCAGTCTCAAAAGGGTGAGATATGATGTTCCCAACCCAGGAGAAGTTTACAAATAAACAAGCTCAAGATATTCCTACCTTGTTTCAAAATGTCAAGGTTGATGTGTACTCTGTGTATACAGACACTTTACTGATGCATTGCAGATGAATACGTTGCAAGTATTACTGAGGGTCTGTACTACGGTACTTGTCCTAGACCAAGACTGCTGTCATTCAAGAAGGGGAAGAAAGGGAGACGATTCTCCACAAAGTCATCGGTAGCTGGCATCGTGAGGCGAACCAGATCCATACAAATAGACCCAGAACATATTCCAGGTAAATGAGAAATAGTTTTCTTGTTTAATTTTGTTGTTAACTTACACATATTTGAAACCTTATGGCATGTCTTCTTTAAAGAGATGTGACATTGTTTGGTCATATGTTTTATCTTCAGACAAATTGAATGTAACCTGTACGAGTGTAGTATGTTGTCATTCTTTAAAGGTGTATAAGAAGCTGTACCGAACATGATATCATTTGAAGTCTAGTTTTTCATCAGGTTAATAACTACCTGGTTTATGAGATAATGACTGAAAACAGAATGAGTGTATAATATTGTGTGATATCTTCATTTCACAAGAATTTGCTTCCTTAAAAAAATCAAGCTGTTGCTCTCTATCAAAGGGGAATTAGAAATGATTTTTACCTTCCTTGTAGCCAGCTATACACATTATTTCCTAACCCTAACATGGTACATATTGTAGATGATGTAGGCAAATACTGCTCCCTTACAGTGTGCTGTGTGCAGTTAAGCCATATGCAATGATCATATCCCCCTTACAATGTAATGTCGAAAATCATTACCATCCTACGATGTAATGTAAAAAATCATAACCATCTTACAATGTAATGTAGGCAAGGATGTCCTTTTTGAATGAGCTGTAGGCAAATAATGATTACTCCCTTTACAATGTACTGTAGACAAATAATGATTACTCCCCTTACAATGTACTGTAGACAAATAATGATTACTCCCCTTATAATGTACTGTACCCAATGATCACTCCCTTACAATGTACTGTACCCAATGATCACTCCCTTACAATGTACTGTACCCAATGATCACTCCCTTACAATGTACTGTACCCAATGATCACTCCCTTACAATGTACTGTACCCAATGATCACCCCCTTACAATGTACTGTACCCAATGATCACTCCCTTACAATGTACTGTAGGCAATGATCACTCCCTTACAATGTACTCTACCCTATGATCACTCCCTTACAATGTTCAGTACCAAATGATCACTCCCTTAAAATATACTGTGGATCATGATTACTCCCCCATTCAATAAAATGTAGGCAATGATCACTCCCTTAAGATATGTTGTAGGCAATGATCACTCCCTTAAAATGTCCTGTAGGCAATGATCACTCACTTCTGATAAACTATAGGCCATGGGCTGTTATTAAGGTACAACAATTCGTTTAATGAGTGATTGCTGTAGCAAAGGATCGCTTCCTTACAATGTACTGTAGGCAATGTTTTCACCCCCTTCCTCCCTCTCTCTCTCCTTAAAATATACTGTAGGTAATTATTATTCTCCTTTGCAATATACTGTTGCCAATGATTACTCCCCCTTACCATATGCTGTAAGCAATGATTACTCCCCCTTACAATGTACTGTAGGCAATGATTACTCCCCTTTCTAATGTTACTGTAGGCAATGATTACTCCCCCTTACAATGTCCTGTAGACAATGATTACTCCCCCTTACAATGTTACTGTATGCAATGATTACTCCCCCTTACAATGTACTTTATCCAATGATCAATCTGTTATAAAGTATAAATTTCCTTTGTACAATGTAGCAGTAGAATACTAGCTTCTCCTGGTTGCTATATTTAGACTGTCCTGATTAGACTTTAGAGCAATGTCTTAACGTTGGCTGTATTACTGATTCAGCTACAATACATTTAGGATATAGTATCCATGTTAGATTGTTCTGTGTCTGTAGAGAGAGGTCAGTCCTTATATGGTAAGTTTTCAATGCCTATAAGCATATATACATGTAATGTTTAATTTTCTGCTTGAATTGCTTCATTATTGTTAGATGGGTGAACAATCTCATTGATTAATTATATCATACAGTTACAAAACAGATCTCAAACATTCATAAACTTGGCACTGATATATCTTCTTTTTAGTCGCTTTTTTATAAATTAGATTATTACAGAGTTTTAAAGTAGTTAGAATTATGGAGTTTGGCTTTGTCACATTGCTGTTTGCATTTTTATTTTCATCTTTTTTCTCTATTGCAAAATTTTATGATGTATCTTGAAAAATTAACTAAATGTTATTGTTAATCTTCAATAGATTCTGTCATATTATAATCTTTATTTAAAACTAAAATCTTTCTGACCCTCTCTTAGGAATTGGTTATTGTAGTTTTCTATTGTTTTTAATTGTCCTGCTGAATACTTAATATGCTGATGCTCTCTTCTCACCAGCATTTTTGACCGAGATTTTTCTCCTTGCTAGATAAATAGTTTCCTAACTTCTGTATAATTGTTAGCTATTTTAAATGGAATGAATGAAGTTCTACGTCAGTTTCTAATAGTTTTGTCTATTTTTATGATATATGTATTATTGCATCCAATTTAAGCTTCATATCTTTTGCATTTATTTAAATGATATACATATATATTTTTGCATCTTTAATAATATTTTTAGTTTTTTTAACTGTCTTGCTTGCTGTTTATTTATTTTTGTATGTCAGCCATCATTCTGTTGATATCAAGTGAAGTCTTGTTGTCATGTACCTTACTGATGATACAGTAGGACAAACACACTAAGTTATTAGTAGTTGTAGCTCTTAGTGCATATATGTATAGCATTACCTACGGGGTGTAATTGACTGTGCTGTACATATATACATGTTTTATATAGTTAAGTAGACTGGGGAGAATATTTCCAAGACTACTCTTAAAAGAAAATCAAAATTACTTACAATATGAAAGAATTTATTTTCAAAGTTTCTAAAAATACAGACTTTCTGGAAATAAAACAATTATATTGAAAATGTGAAAATGAATTTTTTATTGTAAGTAATTTTGGGTTATAAACTGTAAATGATAATGAATGCTACCCAGTCTGTCAATGTATTTGTTGTATATGTTAGTACTTTCTGTGTTTGTTCTTGAGCTCTACATGCTTCTCTGAAGAGGCTAGACAGAAGTGGCCAGTCAGGTAGGTCATGCCAGCTGCTAGCGATCTTAGTTATACTGTGTGATTTTATTATCTTTGTCAGCTGAGAGTGTCCTGTCATAATTTCTCTCACAGCCTTTTATCTGGTATATATACCTGTCTTGTGTGTATTCTCTCTGCCTTTTCGCTATTTTGTATAATGTTTGGTCTTAATATTAACAGCATGGATGATTGTTTTTCACTAGATGTGCCCCTTTTTATATCAAACATCTATATAAACCATCCTCTGTAGGATTACAAAATAAAATAAAATAAATGATGAAAATAATATTGTCATGGTTGAGTTTTCAAAAAAGAAATTTCAGTTTTATGCCGGCATCAGAAAGGTTATAACACATATGTGATGACATTTGTCAATCCATCTAGCCGTGTCTATTTCTAACTCTAAAGATGATGTTACTAAAATTGGGATCAAAATCTTCCTGTAACAGAGTTATGGCCCTTTGTTCACAATGCCACTTCAATATCTTTGCCTACAATGCTATTCATGTTCACAACATTTCTATGTGATTTTTTCCTATTAAGCAGAAGTCATATCACCAGTGTATTGAATTGGCACATTTCACCAACAACATTTAAGATAAACCATGACATGATATAAACATCTTCCTTGATACTGGTTAACACTAAGTAGGGACAAGTTTAAATGAAGAATCTACATTAACACTGTATCATGGCATTGTGTGTATATTATAGATATAACTTTATAATCTGTACCTTTGTACTTCAGATATGTCATAATATCTTTTCTCAGCTCTTCATTCTTCTCTTTCGTAGTTTATACATGTAACTCTATTCTTACAATAAAGAGAGTATACTAATATACTGTATTTATTAATCATTATTTCTTTTTTTTTGTATGTAATTTCTTTGAGTCAGAACGCTCATTTAATTATCCAAAGCTTTTCATAGATCTGGTGATTTTGATTTTTACATAACGTTTTTCAATGAAGTAGTGTACTCTTTAATGTAACATATTGGCTTATGCAAAAGTTAGCACAGATTTTGAAACATTTCCTAAAATATGGTACCCAAAATTTCACTTTTGAAGCATGATCGGTTTGTGAATAGATAAAATAGCTAAAATGTGTGGTTCAGTGTTGGTTATATGTATGGTTAAGGAAGGATCATTATTGCTATAGGGATTGAAAAACCTTCACATCAGTGATAAACTATAAGTGGTATAATATAAGCAACAGTCATTGTATTTGTTAACTGTTTGGAATTTATATGAGAGAGATTGCACAAGGTCAAAACTGCAAGTATCAGAACATTGTGTGACTGGTGAACTGGCATTTGACAAATTCATTCAAACTGCTCATTCTGGATGGAAGATGGATTTTTAGATGGGCTTTTCAAATCGCTCTGTATCCATGGTCCATCGTCCATGCATCATAGTCTTTAAATAATTCTTGTTATCGCTGTTTGATGACAATTACCCAATGGATCTATCTCAAATTTCATATGAAGGTTCCTTTTTGTCTCCAGTTATGCCATTTTGATTTTGGAACTGATAAAAAAAACTAACACAGTTTATGACTGAGTGAGCATCATGAATATTAGACTTAAAAGTTTGTTATTGAAATTTCTGAAGAAATCAATGGATGGATCTTTCTCAACTTTAATGTTGGTTGCACATGGTCCCTATAATGTCTTGTAATGTATAGTGTCCTTCCAATTTTGGGATAAATTGGAAAAACAATCGGTGACAGGCAGCTATCTTGAATTTGACACTAAAGGTTTGATACCGCTATTCTTCAAAAGTCACTTGATGGATCTTTCTCAAATTTCACATGTAGGTTCCCTGTGGTCCCTAGTTATACCTAATTGATTTTGGGGTGATCTGAAAAACAAAATTGGCAGATAGGTGGTCATTGGAGAAAAAAATAACTGACGGTAATGGCAAACATTTCTTGAAAAAATGAAAATTAGATGAATGCTTCATTTTTTCTTGAATGTGTTATGCATTGTGATTATGATACAGTGTGTGTTATGACTATGAAATTATGTGTGAAGTCTCAGTTACTACTAAAGCTTCTACTGTTTTGCTTATTGACCACCAGATGGCAGCTCATGCAGCAATCCCAGTAGTCCTGGTTCTCCTGCTGACGGTATGTGTCTACATTTTCCATGGTATTTGCAAATAGTTTCTTTGATAATCAGATAAAACTTGGTTTTAATGTTCAATGAAGCATGAACATACCTGCTGTTTAAGTTGCATGTTTGAATGTTTATGTTGAGAAGTAACAGTTCTGGCTTATGGTTTTAGAATATATATGCAGTTTTGTGTATTAATAAGATAGATATGTGAAGTGGAATTCTATTTCTCACTTCTTAATCTAGTTGTCATGAAGCCCAATAACAGGATTAGTCCTTCCTGGATAGAACAAACTGGTACACCAGAGGCACTATACAATCACACACATACCTACATGGATCTTACCTGAATTTCCTTTGAAGTACCTATCAGTATTTAAAAGAAGAGAGTTGGTCTACCTAAAGAACATCAGGTCAAAAAGTGGGTCCTTTGGGCCCAATCCCCTAACCTTTGCTGTTGTAAAGGAGACCGAAGTGAGATATCATTTAGCATGATTGCCATGATTGGTTGGGTATCCAGTACTATGAATTGGGACATTTTGATGTTGGCAAATTAATTTTGGCCACAGTAGGTTGGTTTATTTTGATTTCTAAATTTTGCTTTTCCATCAGTATTCATTTTTTGTCATGGATGTTTGAGCCTTATTGTCCCTTGTATAATGATCCAGCTCTTAAGTAGATTAATATTTTTTTTTACACTTTTCTGTTTTCATTCAACAGGTAAATTTGCACATACTTTGAAATTTTCAGTTTTAAAAACTGGTGTGATTGATCTTGAAGCAATGGCGTTATCAGTGATCTAATGAGACACAAGTTTAGACAGTATATCTATTCTAACAGGACACATTTGTTTATCTTATTGTGTTAGCAGTTCTGTACAAGGTGTTAAATTGCATGTTGACTTACCTGAGCAATAATCAGTGCTCTTGTTCACACCACCAACATTCAAAACCAAAGTTTATAGATGAAAACAATCACAAACTTAAACTGTATAGAACATATCTTAATTGGACAGAATTTTTCTGCAAGCACAAGAATGAAATAAAACCTTTGTTGTTTACAAAAATTAAACTTCTGATCAGGAAACCAAACACAAAGAAGGTCCAACCAGAATACTCAGTTTATATACCAAAACAAAGTCCATACGGAACACTCAACTTATATACCAAAACAAGGTCCATACAGAATACTCAGTTTATATACCAAAACAAGGTCCATACAGAATACTCAGTTTATATACCAAAACAAGGTCCATACAGAATACTCAGTTTATATACCAAAACAAGGTCCATACAGAATACTCAGCTTATATACCAAAACAAGGTCCATACAGAATACTCGGCTTATATACCAAAACAAGGTCCATACAGAATACTCAGTTTATATACCAAAACAAAGTCCATACAGAATACTCAACTTATATACCAAAATAAGGTCCATACAGAATACTCAGTTTATATACCAAAACAAGGTCCATACAGAATACTCAGTTTATATACCAAAACAAGGTCCATACAGAATACTCGGCTTATATACCAAAACAAGGTCCATACAGAATACTCAGTTTATATACCAAAACAAGGTCCATACAGAATACTCAGTTTATATACCAAAACAAGGTCCATACAGAATACTCAGTTTATATACCAAAACAAGGTCCATACAGAATACTCAGCTTATATACCAAAACAAGGTCCATACAGAATACTCAGCTTATATACCAAAACAAGGTCCATACAGAATACTCAGCTTATATACCAAAACAAGGTCCATACAGAATACTCAGCTTATATACCAAAACAAGGTCCATACAGAATACTCAGCTTATATACCAAAACAAGGTCCATACAGAATACTCGGCTTATATACCAAAACAAGGTCCATACAGAATACTCAGTTTATATACCAAAACAAGGTCCATACAGAATACTCAGTTTATATACCAAAACAAGGTCCATACAGAATACTCAGTTTATATACCAAAACAAGGTCCATACAGAATACTCAGCTTATATACCAAAACAAGGTCCATACAGAATACTCAACTTATATACCAAAACAAGGTCCATACAGAATACTCAGTTTATATACCAAAACAAGGTCCATACAGAATACTCAGTTGATATACCAAAACATGGTCCATACAGAATACTCAGCTTATATACCAAAACAAGGTCCATACAGAATACTTAGCTTATATACCAAAACAAGGTCCATACAGAATACTCAGTTTATATACCAAAACAAGGTCCATACAGAATACTCAGCTTATATACCAAAACAAGGTCCATACAGAATACTTAGCTTATATACCAAAACAAGGTCCATACAGAATACTTAGCTTATATACCAAAACAAGGTCCATACAGAATACTTAGCTTATATACCAAAACAAGGTCCATACAGAATACTCAGCTTATATACCAAAACAAGGTCCATACAGAATACTCGGCTTATATACCAAAACAAGGTCCATACAGAATACTCAGCTTATATACCAAAACAAGGTCCATACAGAATACTCAGCTTATATACCAAAACAAGGTCCATACAGAATACTCAGCTTATATACCAAAACAAGGTCCATACAGAACACTCAACTTATATACCAAAACAAGGTCCATACAGAATACTCCGCTTATATACCAAAACATGGTCCATACAGAATACTCCGCTTTTATACCAAAACAAGGTCCATACAGAATACTCAGCTTATATACCAAAACAAGGTCCATACAGAACACTCAGCTTATATACCAAAACATGGTCCATACAGAACACTCGGCTTTTATACCAAAACAAGGTCCATACAGAATACTTAGCTTATATACCAAAACAAGGTCCATACAGAACACTCAGCTTATATACCTAAACATGGTCCATACAGAACACTCGGCTTTTATACCAAAACAAGGTCCATACAGAATACTCAGCTTATATACCAAAATAAGGTCCATACAGAACACTCAACTTATATACCAAAACAAGGTCCATACAGAACACTCAACTTATATACCAAAACATGGTCCATACAGAATACTCAGCTTATATACCAAAACAAGGTCCAACTGATATTTGAAGGTTTTGAAGTTTTTTTTGTTACATGTATTGGTCTGATTAATCTATGTTGAGATTTACTGATCACAGATTCTCATGATGAACAACACCCAAAAATTCACCTGAAAGGCGGCCATTTTGGAGAGGATGTAGTTAGTCCTGTTGGATCACCAAAAGTATCCCACAAGGCCATATTCCACCGAGATTCATATCAGGACAACATCAGTATCACAGAACTCATTGAACAGCTGAATAATACAGAGGTTCTTCAAGAACAGGCAGACATTGTACACTTCCTATATACAGAGAAGTGAGTTGAGGCCATAGGCACCATTTCATTTTATACCCACCTTCCCCCATTTAGTGTTTAAAGAGGGGTTTATAGTTACCATGGTAATGGGTTGCAGTAGCTCAACTGGTAGAGCATAAGACTTTGAAACATAAGATGAATATATTTGTGTTTCTCAGGTCACTGAGATAAACTAAATATGACCTTGGATATTCATAGCAAACCAACCAACAAACCAATGTAGTGATCACTGTCTAAGTAAGAAAGATTAAAGATTATGAACTCTGAAACAGATGAAGTTTATATCTACACTGTATTTTCAGTACAAAAAGTTTGAAATCATATTTTATGATGGCTATCAAACAAGGTATAAGGGTCAAATGTCACTGTTGACAACTTTTGAAATGGAAAAAAAAAACTTGTGTACAAGATTCTCTAAAAAAAAAAAATTATGGTATACTGTTTCCTGGTTGAGGAATAGGAAATATGTGAGCTTTTGAGCCCCTGCTCTCTTTGGTTTATTAACACTCCTCCATTGCGAAGAAAAATTGTTTTACACTTAAAAAACATTGGTGATAAGTAGGGTCAAGGTCAATTCTCTTTAAATTCAGACAAGCTTGTACCTATAAGAAAAAGGTCATGTTACTACCATTTTTCTTCTGCCCCTGTTTGTTTTAATTGTACATACCGCGCGGTATAAGTTTTGTAGACATTTGGATGTCTATTTATTATGTGTTTGACTGTCTGCAGGGGTTTAGACTGGGACACTGAGGTTGGAGGTAAAACCTGCTCTGTGAGGGAACTCCTGGTGGAGTTGTACGAAAAGGTAGGCTTCCCACTTGTATATGTTTTGTGTATTTTGACTCTGTATTTATCAGTTGATCAGGACTCTACCACTTGTTATTTTATCAAGACCTACTTTGTATGATTTGTGTTTTAGGCAGGACACTGGAAGCAGTGGTGGCTGGTGAGACATACGGCGGGGATGTTGAGGAAACGAGTAGAAGATCTGGCCCTGGTAATGATTTATAACATGGTTGTTTACTTGACTTACACAACTACATTCTATTTCTTGTCTTGCAGTATTGATAGTTTTATACTAAGTATCAAGTTATTTAACTTTCAATATCTTATGTTTAAACAGAGTATCTTATGTAATTACTCTGTAATTTTAACCCTGATTGTGTTTTGCTTTGACTGTGAATTTTCTCTGAGCAGAAGTTGAGTTGACTTATAAGATTCAATACATACAGATTGTTTAATTGTAAATATAATATTGATATTCCATGTTGTTATGCAGGCTGCCACTGATTTGCTGGTGAGACAGAAACTATTGTCTATTGGTCTACCACCACACAGGGAAAAGGAGATATCTTGGTGAGTGTGATACAGTACTTGGTTATAGGAGCACATCTCCAGGTGAGTGTGATACAGTACTTGGTTATAGGGTCACATCTCCAGGTGAGTGTGATACAGTACTTGGTTATAGGAGCACATCTCCAGGTGAGTGTGATACAGTACTTGGTTATAGGGTCACATCTCCAGGTGAGTGTGATACAGTACTTGGTTATAGGAGCACATCTCCAGGTGAGTGTGATACAGTACTTGGTTATAGGAGCACATCTCCAGGTGAGTGTGATACAGTACTTGGTTATAGGAGCACATCTCCAGGTGAGTGTGATACAGTACTTGGTTATAGGAGCACATCTCCAGGTGAGTGTGATACAGTACTTGGTTAGAGGGGCACATCTCCAGGTGAGTGTGATACAGTACTTGGTTATAGGGTCACATCTCCAGGTGAGTGTGATACAATACTTGAGAGACACTTTTAGAGGCTTGTCTTACTATACTTGCTTTGAGGCATACTGTAATCCTTTCCCTTTTTAAGTAATACCTCAAATCAAGATCGCATTGTGTAGTGTTGTATATTATCAACCAGCTATTTCTGTTGTGCACATCACCAAAACAGTGACGTCTGTCTGTGAGACAATACCTGGACACGGGAGGATTTGTGGCAACAAAAACCCTGTCAACCAACCAACCAACTTGTAGTTGTATTGAGTAACTCCTGATATGTAGTTAAGTCATTCTATGTTTCAGTCCCTTGCCTCCAGATGAACTAGCCTCTATCATATTTGATGCTTGTGGAGCAGATCTCAGTACAGCATCCCTTACACAGGTATAGACAATCACCTTCTTTGTTTAAAACACAAAAAAGGTGATCTTTCACTTCTTATACACTTTCAAATGAAACACAAGTAACAAATAAAGAGCTTTCACTTGCTATGTATCATGATATGTTTACAGATAGTGAAGGACCTTTTAAACTCTTAATACATTACTTTTAATGAGTACCCCTGTGTCTATACCAAATGATTTCAATAAAAAAAATCATGTGAAGTTCAGATGCTTATCTTTTCTGCTGATGAAATGTTATAGACCAGAAATTGGTCTTCCAGTGATCAAGACAAGGTTCAGTTCAACATTTTGCTGAATGCTGACATGTCTACTTGTAGGAAATCCTTATGTACCTGGCCATGTTTATCAGGACAGAGCCAAAACTGTTCCATGAGATGTTGAGACTACGGGTTGGTCTTATCATCCAGGTGATGGCCTCAGAACTGGCCAGGACATTTAAATGTTCAGGTATATATAGCTAAACAAATAGCATCAGTAATTTCCTCCTGATACATATAAAAGTCCATGACGTTCTATTTTCAATATATCTGCCTCAGAATGGTCTAGAATACCTTGAATTTATCCTATAGATTGCCTCAGAATGATGTAGAATATTTTTTAATTTTCACTTGACAGTATAGAATATCTTTTTCCTATAGATGGTCTCAGAATTGTCTATATTTAGATATTGTCAGATTTTTACTGGCCTGTGACCCTAACTTTCCTAAACATCACTATAGAAATTATTCAGGGGACAGTGTACTCTCCATTTCACAGTATTTGAATTTCATTTTAATATTTTAGGTGATGAAGCATCTGATCATCTACTTAACTTGTCTCCCTTTGAGTTGAAAACACTTCTACATCACATCCTGAGTGGAAAGGAATTTGTGATAAGTTCAGGTAAGGATGTATACCTATATAGTGAATTGGTACATTCCTTGTATTACTCATGTTAAAAAACAAATAGAAAATATATCATATCAGAGTGTGTTGATCTTATGATCAGTTACTCTTTACATCCATAAAGCTTTAATTACATACCCAGTCGGTATTTTAAATGCTTTATTGCAGATAATATTTCACACTTTGCATTTTGAGAAAAGTTTACAAGTGCAGAGGCGGTTTTGTAATAAATAGTATGTTTGATTGACATGAGAATCCTTTATATTTATGAAGTATTTTGTTATTTACTATCGATTCAATTGTTGTTTTTTTTAATTGGAGTTGCTGGGAATTAATTGCTATTTCTGTTATAAAGATTTATCAAACATGAGGATGTCAAGTACAAAATTACTATGTCATAAGGGTGAGCACCTGTTGTTTAGTTGCACATTACATTTGTCATTTCTTATTTGCTGATCTTGTTTTATTCTTGTGATTTTTATTACAACATTCTTAGAAAACAAGATTACAGGTACAGTGTAAATTGTGGTTCCATATGGCCTACTGCCTTTGTGTATGCTAAAACAGATTGCTAACTATCTTTACACATTGATGATTTGCTAATACATTGTATATTCCACAAATTGGCTGATAATTTTGGTTGCTTTTTACACGTGATTTACTTCTGATAAAACCTCATACTACATAGACAGATACATATTTAATATTAAAACTTTAGTACACCAATGACATTATTTACCGGTATCTGTATTATACTCATCACAATAATAACCAAGGAAAATAAGATATAAAAGGTGAAAAAATACTTTAGAGTCCTTATCACACAACTAACCTGTTAACAGGGGAATATAACATCAACTGTGTGATAACCACACCTGTTAAAACAGGATTTGTTATGAACATTGCTAATATACTGATACTGTCATGGTGGAACTTTCTAATATTGGCACTGAATGTAGATATATAGATGTAACTGGTAGTATATTAGTACAGCTGTATGCACCATTCACCTGAAAATAACAGGAATTATATTCCTTCAACACCATAACTAATTAATGATATTCAGTAATGTTTTCTAGTAATGGATAATTGTGATCAAGCAGTTTGTCTATAAAAGATTTGATCAGCAACAAGTAACACTGCACCTTTTTTATAATGATGTCAAAGTATTAGAAATACTGCAAAATATCGTAAAAAAAAAAGAGAAATTTTAAATTCAGATAAATACAGCAACATTATGAATATCCATTTATGCAATATTTCTGGATTTTCTGAATAGTACAGGTGAGGAAATATCAAATATTTTAACACAAATAATATCAGATAATATTAAGTTAACAATTTTATAAATTTCAGTGTATTTCTTTTGAGTTTTAGTTTCTTCTTGCATAATTTTTGTAATACAGTATTTTATTTCATCAGCTGTGTTTTTTACTGTCCTATTCTTTATTGTAACATCCACATTTATAAGCAGAAAGAAGACTTCCCATCTTTTCAGGCAATCATGGCAGTCATATGAACGTTTAGAAATTAATTTAGTTTGGGTTTATTTCTTTTGAATTTCAGGGGAAAACCTGAAACTGAGGTGAATTTTGAGGATTGACAAAAACTTTAAAAGTCCAAGTTATTTTTAAATAATGCAATTATTCTTGAAAAAATGCACTTTAATGTAAAACATGACTTTGACATATTTAGAAAATTGTATTGCTGTATTTTGGAATTCAACCATTGTCATCCAATTAAAAAGTAATGTAAAGCTGAGCTTCTTATTAAGTAGTAAAAACCATCAGTTTTTGAAGATAATAACATCATATAATTCACCTGTTCAACCAGAACACATGAACAAATTTAGAAATAGTACCTGGTTAGATCTAAGTTGTTGGTAAAAAGTTAAAATTTTGTTGAATTTGGAAAATTAGTAATAATTTCTTCTATTCGTTTTTTTCTCATTGACTCCTTCAAATCATTCTGTCTCATCTTTAGATTCTTTTCTCCTGGAGATTTATACATGTTTACATACTTTTAGTTATTTCAGAGGTAGAAAATTAGGACAGACAAAAATATAGTGATCCCATGGAATTCCTATAATTAGAAGGAAAACAATCAGAAATACATTTCTTGTTAAATTTATATACTGTTCAATTCTGTAAAATTAGGAATTAGAATTCTCCTTTCATCATTTTCATTACTTTCAATTACTCTCCTCTGTTCAGTCAAACTCTATGATAGGAAAAAACACAGCTGAAATAAAATATGTGAAGTTGTCGTTATTTGGCCAAGCACACCTGCTTAAGTTAGAGTTGTTTTCATTTTCCTGTCTAGTTTTCATTATATTATAATTTCTATCATTCTTTGAATTTTCACAAAAAAATTTAAAAAAAATTGTTTGCAGATCTTTTCCATATGTAAATTTGTATGTTATTTAGATACCTTATTGGTCCTACATCAAGTTCCTGAAAATAGAGCCATAGGAAAATTGTCATAGCTTAGAAATCATTCAAAGATACATATAACTCTAATTTATATCTATATATCATCTCTCTAGAAGTGTTCCTCAATGAAAAAACAGACAAGTTATAATATTTTACTGGTATTGAACTTGAAATGTTAATAGATTTTGTGTCATACCTAGGTAATATAAAAGGATGATATATTTTAGTATCAATGTATTGTTGTCATATTTGTGGTGTTAGTTGATGATATAACTTTGAAATTGATTGATATCATTATTGGTGTTGTTAGTTGAGCACATGATTGAAACAATACACAATAATATGTGCATTGATACAACATGCTTAACGTCAAGGGGAGATAACTTTGAAAACTACCTCCTGAATTCCGAAGCATAATGCAGCTCTTCATGTTTACTTATGGCATTTTGATTTTAAATCAGTTAAAATCTGTCAATTTTGTTAAGTCTTTATACATCACTATATATTTTTTTTCCCTTTATTTTTCAGAGCAGGAATTTTAGATATCAAAACTGTGTATCACAACAATATACTTGCTTTGATTTTAGATATCCCAGCTTTACATGGAATGATGCGTTATCTAAGCCTGTTTTCCTAAGAAATTCACCTGTTTTCAAGCCAATGTAATCTCAATGATTCCTGTGTTACTGAAAGCTTTTGTCGAAATTGAACATGATAATTCTTTCCAGAAGCAAAATTTATCCTTGCACTCATATGCTATTGCACTGTATAAATTTCCAAATATTTAATGGAGGACAACATTGAGTTAATTGTGATAATATAAACAGGTAGATAGAAAATTAAGACATTGTGTTATCGACTTCTTACATGATTGTTATCGAAATATTAAAAGAGAGTTGATCTCAAGTCTTTTTGAAAAGATGGGATCATGTAGGTTTTCACTAAAATTTACAATATACTTGATACTGCATTTTCTTCTCATAATCAAACATGGCTTATTGTCTCATCGATATCACTTTTTCACTTCAGATTGCATTAAGATTTTTAGTCAGTGTTAGTTAAAATGACCTGGACATTTATGTTCAAGTAATGCTGGTATATCTTGGTGGTCTATGACGACTGCAGAAGCCAGGCTGTTTGATGGCTTTAGCTGATGATTTGTTTACAGCATGTTTGTAGTGTGTTTAAGTCACCTATTTATCTCTCCTGTAGAAGTAAGTGACGGCGGCACCGGTGAAGAGTTCCATTTGTCTGTGAAAACAAAGAAGAAAAGGGAGGAAACAACAGAGTTTGCTAAACTAAGCAGTAAATCCCCGCATAAGGTTTTTGTATTGTCATTTACTTACATTTAACATTCTAAAACAACTAATGAGCTTCAGCTGGCATTCATTGTCTAGTGATTATAGAATTATAAAGTTAATATGGCACTCTAAATGTTAACTCATGCTACTGTCACGAGAGAGAGCATTGACTCATGTTACTGTCACCAGAGAGAGCATCAACTCATGTTACTATTACTGAAGAGAGCATTGACTCATGTTACTGTCATCAGAGAGAGCATCAACTCATGTTACTGTCACCAGAATGAGCATTTACTCATGTTACTGTTACTAGAGAGACATTAACTCATGTTACTGTCATCAGAGAGCATTAACTCATGTTACTGTCATCAGAGAGAGTATTAACTCATGTTACTGTCATCAGAGAGACATTAACTCATGTTACTGTCACCAGAGGGATCACTGACTCAAGCTATAGTCACTAGATAGAGATAAATTAGTTGGAAATTAGAGAGAATTGCTTTTAGATTTTTGTAAGAGAAATAGTGAAATAAAACTTCTGAGGAATGTTCCTTGTACCTGATAATAGCAGGATTTTTTTACAATGAAGCTCTCATGCTTTATCTATATGTCTGGGGGTAGGAAAGAACTTGTTGTTATGTCATAGGTAGAGTCAATATGAATGCCAGCTGATTGACTGAAGTAGAAGTAGCCAATGCCTTCATGTAGAATAGTTTCCTTAGTGTATGAACTGTTATCTCTAAATCTAACAACTAGCAGCTACATTTATTTATAGCTTTGATTTACCATCTTTAGTTTTGCTTATCACTGAAAACCTGATGGTGACAGAATATTCTCAAGTATAAGTACCTACCAGAATATCTGACTATACAGATGATATTAGAGGCATTTTACTTATATCATGATTAAAACCGATATGCCTCAGAAAGTATATTTTAAAAGATCTTGTGTGGGATAGTTTTACAATTTCAGATATTTTTAAATCTATGAACTGCCACCAAATATTTTTCTGTTATGAAATTTCAGTTGTTTTTTCAAAGTCTCAGACAGTTCTGTCACAAAGGGTTCAGTGTTAATGCTGTTTTCCCTGTTGTATACTAAAGCTATACATGAATAAGTTGTGTTGTTTCTTCTCAGCTGTTATTTACTACTGTAATGTATCTTGGATATTCCTTTAAACTGCACTCATGACAAGTAAAGCTGACTTTCAGAACTTAGGAAGTTGCCTACCATTAGTTCAAGTGGATGCTTGACAATATCAAATCTTTGCACCTTATTAACATATTGTTGTCACAGATGGTGTGTCTTGCATGATAACCCTAGTCTTTCATCGTACCTGCTAACCAACTTTTGTATCAATCACAGCTTTTGTTTTGTGGTCACTGTGATACCAGAATGTGATATTGTGTTGTAGACTTTTAGAAAAGCTGATATGACATTTATGATACAGGAACTGTTTGCAGAATGTCCAGCTGAGGAAAAACTATTTCTGGTACTACCCAATGCTTTGTCTGTCACACATACATACCTCTAAAATTATTGTTACCATGGTTTGAAATATTGCCCTACCATCTTGAGTTGTTGAATTTAATATTTGTGGTTTGGGATAAGTTGGCTGTTTGACATTTTATGGCTTTGAGTGAGTTGGTTTGCACTGTTGTGTTAAAGATGAGCAGTATGCCATGAAAATGAGACAAGAGGCCAGAAGTGGTACTGCACCACTAGGAGGAGCTCTGACTTTGGAGGTCCCACAACGCATTGGTAGGAGAAGGAGTAGTGTTGGTAACCTGGAAGTTCTGAATCCTTACGTCCTCTTGGACCGACGGAAAAGTATTGAATGTTGTGAACTACATCTGCCCCTGCTAGGAGATAGGAGGCTGTCTAGTGCTGTAAGTCCTACTGTTGAGTGGGATCAGATTGTCATGCAGCATTGTTGGGACCTTCATATTTATTGACAGATGCCTTGTATATATACAGATAGTGTTCATCGGCCCTTGACAGATACTACAGGGAAATTTGAAGTTATATTAATTGTTTTATCTATTATCAGTAGTCAGATTTCTTTATGCGTACTGTTTTCACACATTTTTACCCCATTTCCGCTGTCCAAGATTTCCATTCCCACATAAGAGGCTAATGAATTTTAGCACTTTGCCGCCTCCCCCCACTCCACCCCCTCAACCCCCACAAAAAAAAAAAAAAAAAAATAGCTACATGAATGAATAAATAAACATAAAAAAAATATCTGGGGGATTTATTTTCATTGATATCACTGGTATCCATAATCCACGAACTCATGTAAATGTCTTTGAAATGTTGAAATAATTATCAGTAAATTAATTTAGCTTTATTTATCCATGAAAAAAAACCCCACAAAAATGAATCCCCATGAAAATATCTGATTTTACAGTAAGTGTGTCATCCATGAAAGGATGCATTAGCTCTCAGTTTTGTCATCACTTAATTTCTTATTCAGGGAGTGAGAAGAAGACATGTTCATATCTTCGTGAGATGTGTCAAGTGAATCAGGTTAAGTTTATACGATCACTAATAGCAAGTAGCTTTATCGCATGGTAAAAAAATGGAACAAAAATTGATATTAAAAACACTCCAAGGACAACTGTTGTGTGTACAGGTTATGAAAAAGGCATAGGATTGTTTACTGATGAATATGTCTCATGCTATTTCTGGTTGATATTTTAATGCAGGACTCATTCTGGCTGACAAAACAAGTTACCTAGTTTTGACTTGATCTACCTGACAACAGTTAGCCAGTCCTTGGTATTGATTTTGGTCTTAAACAGTATTCTTCAAAAACAGCATCATTCAAGGTGAAATTGATATATTTCATGATTTGGTCCAAACAGATGTTTGCTGTGTGATTTCAACATCTAGGAAATTGATGAAAATGTATTTATAGATCATCTGGTTTGTTAACTTACATTTTGTGGATAATAATCTTTCACTTGTTTTCTGAAGTTTTGTCCCAGATGTTAGATAGTTCCTATTCTGGTGACCTTGACCTTCTGGACAAAGTCATAATCTCTGACAACTATTCTCCTGGTTTTGAAATACTTTTTTCTGTATGGTTGACAGTTGCATGAAATGATAAAATCTTTTGACTATTTATCTGTTTGTCTCTTCTTCCTTAGTGTGTTAGATTAAAACTTTGCATGGAGTTGTTTACGTGTAATGACTCTTTGTTTCATATTTTATTTTTCTTATTTTTAACCCAAGTTTTATTTGCTGACTAATGCGTGAGATCATTTTGATTTTTCGATGAACACATTGCAGTGTTTTGTATACGAGGTGTTTGTTCTAGAACTTCAGAAATAGGATAAAACAATAAGATATAGCCAAACATGTCTGAAAGGCCACATTCATCTAAAAAATATCTGTCTTTTAAAGATATTGGTTTTGGGTCTAAATGTAATACCACTCATAACAGGAACGTCTCTATGAAAAACCGCCTATATAACAAATACCTGTCTATAAACAGCACTTGTTTTGGGTCCAGATGTAGCAAAATTCATGTCAGTTGAACCTGTTTATAAAGGTCACTTACCTAAAAAAACGATTGTCTCTGCACCCTAGAGTGGTTGTTATAGACAGGTCAGTCTGTACAAGTAGATAGTTACTTTAGGACAAATTGCCTGTGTATGTACAATGTATTAATAATTAGCTTTATCAAATATGTATACGAATGTAACAAACTAATTTCCATATAAATTCAAATCATATCAATGTGCAAATATATCAAAGTCTTTTTAGTGAACTTATCAAAGAATGAAATCATTCTTAAAGTTGACTTTACTTTAGATACTTGTTATACAAATCCAAATGTATGGATACATGAATGTCTAACCATGGTTAATTGATGTATTTCAAACTTTGTGTGTTACTTGTTAGAATTCATAGTTCTGATTATTGATAAGTGTAGACTATATTATAGAAAGTTTACTAAACACATTGAATACTTATCATTTTGATGAGCATTTGCTTCAATATGTACAATTTTATAGGTCATTTCTGCAACACCCAGTGTGTCTCTAAACCAGTCAGTGTTTGACAGTCCTGAAGAGGAAGACATCTTGATGGACCGACAGGGCCAATGGCTCCGGAGACGCCGATTGGATGGAGCACTGAACCGTGTTCCTGTAGGATTCTATCCCCGAGTGTGGCACTTCCTCAATACAGTAGGCATTCCTTTCTGATACAAACAGATTGATATGCATCAAGTTAATTCACTTGTTTCAAGCTACTGGGTGTGTATCCCCGAGTGTGGCACTTCCTCAATACAGTAGGCATTCCTTTCTGATACCAACAGATTGATATGTATCGAGTTAATTCACTTGTTTCAAGCTACTGGGTGTGTATCCCCGAGTGTGGCTTTTCCTCAATACAGTAGGCATTCCTTTCTGATACCAACAGATTGATATGTATCGAGTTAATTCACTTGTTTTAAGCTACTGAGTATGTAGACTTCATTACTTTACTGATTTCTATGACAAAGTAGCCTTACTGGAAAAGTATGATTATTGGTAGGTGTTTCAGGTAGATGGTAAATTTGTTACCAAAAAAATAAGGATATACATATTTTGGCTATTAAAAAAGTATTATTGTATGAAATGATAAAACATTGCAAAGCATGTGTTATGAAATCTCTTCTGACAACAGCTCTAGGGGGTTGCCTGATACTTTTGGGGTCGATGATATCTCTTCCATTCAGAATATTGGCCTACATAACAGGAAGATCTGAGGTGTATGGTTTGACACTCACCACTCATTGAGATTTGTGCTATTACAAGAAGATCCTACCACAGTATGATCCTTACTGTTCACTGGGCAACATACTCAGCTAACAAATGATACTGTATGGATACATATAGTCAGAAGTTTTACATTAGTAACTACAAATTAATGTTTTCATGTAATTTACACTTTTAAATTCATTTTGAAAAGACCTGTTGGCTTATTTATACTGTTTCTTAGTGGAAACTGTAAAAGTTTATATCACACTCTCCGTAGGTCTGTGTGTCTGACTAAATTTCTGTCCATATGTCAAGTGTTTCACCCATGGATTAAAGAAATCAACTGTAATACAAATAGTGCTTTTTTTGTACGGAGATGCAGATGCAGAATGAGAAAATATTGTATGATGACTGCTTCTATATGTAGTTCCTCTAGGCTCTATCTCGTAATACAGCTGATTTTACAATTCCATTCCATTTGATTAACTATACAATTAAAGAGCATTGAGTTAATGTAGCTGTTAATTATAGGTGGTTGTTAAAAATAGTTATTTGTTGTGGTTGTTACAAAAATGTATTTACTGTTATTAGTTTGGTCCTGGGGTATCGGTAGAAGGAGAGCACCTGCCACAGACTCTTACTAAGGAGGTAGGTGCTGCGTGATTGGTTCTCCAATTTTCTGTAAATATGTCAGAGGTCTGTGTACTATTGTTTTACTATAATAGCGTTTACAATAGGATTCATAATTGTGATTTCTGACATATCTCTTATCATTGTGAAAGTTTGTAATTACATCAAAAATTATACTTATCAGAGCTTGGAGAAAAATGTAAAATTCTTGTCATATATCTTCACTTTATAATGAAGAAGTTATAATGCATTTGTAGGTCGTGGCATGGCTTGTCCCGTTTTGATTACAAATTGTTTTAGTTATTGTGATAGAAATGTACATGCTTGCTTTATAGATGACATCAGGAGAGTTGAAGTTCGCACTTCGAGTTGAGATGGTACTGAATAGAATTCCACAGCCAGAATACCGTCAGCTGATGGTGGAGGCACTCATGGTCATTACACTGATTAGTGAGAACGAGTGGAAACCTGAATACCGTGGTGTGGTCCATATTGATAAAATGGTTCATGAAGCTAACAATCTGTATATACAGGACCAGGTGGGTTATTGTCTTCTGGGGTAAGACCCATATTGATAAAATGGTTCACAAGGCCAACAACCTGTATATACAGGACCAGGTGGGTTATTGTCTTCTGGGGTAAGATCCATATTGATAAAATGGTTCACAAGGCCAACAACCTGTATATACAGGACCAGGTGGGTTATTGTCTTCTGGGGTAAGACCCATATTGATAAAATGGTTCACAAGGCCAACAACCTGTATATACAGGACCAGGTGGGTTATTGTCTTCTGGGGTAAAATCCATATTGATAAAATGGTTCACAAGGCCAACAACCTGTATATACAGGACCAGATGGGTTATTGTCTTCTGGGGTAAAATCCATATTGATAAAATGGTTCACAAGGCCAACAACCTGTATATACAGGACCAGGTGGGTTATTGTCTTCTGGGGTAAAATCCATATTGATAAAATGGTTCACAAGGCCAACAACCTGTATATACAGGACCAGGTGGGTTATTGTCTTCTGGGGTAAAATCCATATTGATAAAATGGTTCACAAGGCTGTTTAAGGACATCCAAAGCTTTAGATTGTTTTATATAATAAAAACTACAAGGTCACACAATGGAACATTCCTTTTTTTTTCTTTTTTTTAACACTCAGAAATTTGAAAGTTAGCTTTTGTATGGTTTTAATGCGAAGTAGAACATATCATGTTATAATTTTCCATTTCCGTTTGAATCCGTGTCCTTCGGTATGTAGGACACGGATTCAATGGAACATTCCTTGTTACACACTGTTTATCTCTAATAAAGTTTGCCTCTTGTTAAGGTGAGTTAGGAAAGTTTCATTACCCTGATGGTATCATTTTCTCTGAATCATTCTGACTTAATCATAAAAGAACTGGTTTGGTCACCAGACCCTAACCAAGTCTAACAATTTTTTGTATCATATGTTACAATACTGAAAGCAATAGCTTTCATAGAACTCTTGTTTTGTAAAATTCCAGCTTCATTTTGTCATTTGTGAAAATCTTGATATCTAATATTTATTGTTTTGCTGTATTTGAATGGTTAAGCTGTTTATTGTAAACATTCATAATTCATCCTTAACAGAAGATGCCAGCAGCTGTGGCTCTCGAGTGTGAGGGAGCTGCCGGAATTTGCCACCATTTTTACGACAGTGCTCCTAGTGGTCGCTATGGAACCATGTCCTATCTCTGCAGAGCTCTGGCTAAAATCTTTGGTGTGCCGGCTGGTTCTACAGACGATATTGAATGTGTTATTAGTTGATACAGCTTACTGCAGAACTTTTTAAATTGTTTGCATATCATTCCTCATTATCGCTTCTTCATCAATTCCTTTCCTTAAAATCCTGCTTTGTGGGAATTTGGGTGTATATGTTCAGACTCATGAAGTTTTAAAGGAGTCAGTTTGTTTACCTGTTATTGTGATAATCACCTGACAAGGACTGGTCTGTTGACCCAGTAATTTCCTATAGAGATGAAACCTCTCTACTTCAGAAACATTGAGCCTCTATAGGTTCAAAGCCACAAAGTTATCAGATATCTTAATGAAGTTTTCAAATTATTTTTTTTTTCTCTGAAGGTTTTACAATTTTCTCCTGTCTTGCCTTTTTAATTTTGACTGAAAACAATTTTGGTGAGTGAATAAAAGGTGGGCTTCAAGTAATACGGCTGATGTTAAGAAATATCTGGTGCTAACTATTGGGTGTATAAATTATCAAAGAAAACATGGATATAAAGGCAGTATCTGGTGCTACTTATTGGGTGTATAAATTATCAAAGAAAACATGGATATAAGGGCAGTATCTGGTGTTACTTATTGGGTGTATAAATTATCAAAGAAAACATGGATATAAGGGCAATATCTGGTGCTAACTATTGGGCATGTTAACTGCCAATAATTGAAGAAACATTGATAAGATAAGATTTCTTTTTGTAGCAGTTTTATAGAGTAAAAGTGTATTTTGGTTTTTGTAAATGATTTCTTTGATTTTAATAGTTAATCATATCAAGAAGATTTTATTTGAAATTTGCTGAAATTTAAGGCACGGGGATTTGTATATTTTTTTTAGGTACATAGGTATTTGAGTTTTGCTCTGAATTAATGAGTTTTTATTTGACGAATCTCAGTCTTTATAAGTTTATATAGAAGTGAAGTATAAATCTGTCTTAATTCTACTAAGAAATTATATCTGTGAAGGTGTGAAACGTGTTGAATCATCAGTATACCCTTTGGGGTGCAAATCTATAGCTAATTTTTATTCTGTATTTAAAGAAATGGCTAACTGTGAATCATACAAACTTAGATTTAACTACATCTGTGTAGTACACTCTGATAATTCTTTGTTTGATTTGAATCACAGATTAAATACATTTGCTTTTTATGTGTAGTTTATAACTCCTTAATTAAGTTATTTTTGTTCTCTCATCCATGCATGAATTCTATAATCTCAAAATGCTTTCACTAAAAAGATTATTTTTTTTACAATTTCATCAGAATTCTAGGATTGTTTTATATCTTTTACTGATTTATAAACTAATTTAAATCACATGTAGGGTTAAAAAATATTCTACATGAACATGGTGGAATTAATTTGGTAGTTCTCTCCCTTTATTTTGTAGTGTGTCAATGTAAAATTTTATTCATTGTAATAGTAATAAGCATATTGAGTGTGCTAGATTTTATTTGTTTTTTTTTTTTTTTTTTATTTCCACATATTTGAACTGGAATGAAAGATAAAATGGCTTTATTTAATGTACATGTGTGTATGTATATAGGGTCTGTCCTTTTGATTGTTAGTGATTTTGGTTTGAGAAGTTGTAGCCCTATCACACGAGGATAATTGATATGTTGAGGGGTAGCTGTTACTTTATTTATTTGTAATAGTTCCTGACAAATTATAATGTATTTGTCGTCATCATTAAGCATATTATATCTACTAATGTTGATTGTAGGTACGCTGGTCATAAGTATGACAAAACATACATTTCATGTAGAAAAGGGAGTTCTTTATTCTAGTCAAAAAATTGTGACATGTTGATAATTCATGTGTCAAAATTGTAATATAGCAACGAAAATGGAAATTTATTGAGTGTATTCATTGAGCATGATATTTCCCAGATTTGTATGTGTAATGTTAACTGGCTAACCATTGTTATAGAATCTGAAAAAATCTAAAAAAAAATGTTTTGAGAAAAAAAATGCAAAAGCAAAAAAAAATGTACTACTTCTCAAAGTGGCAGAGCTTATCATTGCATAGAAGCCGGTTTCTATAAGTGATTTTTTGTTACCCTGTACAGAAACGATCTCCTTTCAACAGATGATTTCTATATCATCAGCCAAAAAAGAGTTATCAAGTCCCTTTCTTTAATTTACAAAAGTTTCTATGTTTATCATGTCCTCAGCGTGATTTTGTTGACAGTGTTGGTTGAGCTTTTGGACTTGTGAAATCCCACCTTAACCTTGGTAGAATCTGACCCTACTGTATACCCATGCCACTAAAGATCACTGATGATACTGTAGAATTATTTAGCACCTGTATCAGGTGTAAGTATTTCCAGATGATGTACCATGATAATATACTTAATTATATCAGACACTGCAATGTGACAAAAATTCCTAATCTGTACCATATATATGAAGTTATATATGTATATATAGACATACATGAGGGTATATCAATACAAAATTGATTAGAATTTTCCGTATTTAATCTTCCATAAACTGTTCGTTCTAAGGTAGACAATTTTTAGGGTAGAAAATATCAGAAGTAATATTGTGGAGGTCAGTAAGTTAAAAGAAGGACATGATGAATGCTTACTGGATATATTACCTGTGATACTGAATAGTGCTGTGTAATGGTTACTTGTTCCCATTTTGAATTTTTTAAATAAAAAAATGAATGACTATTTGTTTTTTTTTCAAATTCCTCTGTAATAGTTTGATTAAACTTTAAGGTGATCCAGTGACCGACAGACAGTCAAGAATTGATTACTCATGTATTTGCATCGCTGAACCACATTGGTCCTCAACCGAAGCAATGTCGGCCCCCGCTAAACATTGCCGATTTCCCACCGAACAATGCCTAAACCCCTGCTAAACATTGCCGATTTCTCACCGAACAATGCCAGTCCCCTGCTAAACATTGCCGATTCCCCACTTCCCTGCTAAACATTGCCGATTTCTCACCGAACAATGCCAGTCCCCTGCTAAACATTGCCGATTTCTCACCGAACAATGCCAGTCCCCTGCTAAACATTGCCGATTTCTCACCGAACAATGCCAGTCCCCTGCTAAACATTGCCGATTCCCCACTTCCCTGCTAAACATTGCCGATTCCCCACTTCCCTGCTAAACATTGCCGATTTCTCACCGAACAATGCCAGTCCCCTGCTAAACATTGCCGATTCCCCACTTCCCTGCTAAACATTGCCGATTTCCCACCGAACAATGCCAGTCCCCTGCTAAACATTGCCGATTCCCCACTTCCCTGCTAAACATTGCCGATTCCCCGCCAGACAATGTCATTTCCCGGCTAAACATGGCCGATTCCCCACCAAATTATGCCAATCCCCCCTAAATAATGCTGTTTCCTTTCGAACTAATGCTGGTCACCTGCGAACACTGAACACTGATTGAGCCACTAACATTATCGGTCCCAATATAACATAAGTCCTTCCTTCCATAAATTCCTCCTGAACACTACAGGTCCTCCTGAACACTACAGGTCCCCCGTATATCACTACCGATTACCCGCAGAACACTGTCTGTCCCCCACGTAACATGATGATGATGGTTTTTCGTCTCTGTGACTCTGCCCCGTTGCCCACGTAACATAATCTCTTTCTCATTTAATGCAAAACATCGTCATCCTCGGTTAACACTTCTGATCCCCGATGAACACTACCGTTTCCCGCAAAACACTGTCGCTCGCCACTAAACAGTACCGGTTCCCCCCTAAGCACACCACATTTCCCCGCAAAATACCGTCATTTCCCGCTTGAAACTGCAGGTTCTTCGCTTAACACTATCGAATCTTTGCTAAACTCTGCCCCTCCCAGCCATAGACTGACGGTTCCCTTAAAACTCAAACCAATTCCCCGCTATACATTGCCGGTCCTCCACCAAATAATGGCGGTTCCCGGCATAACAGTGCTGGCTGCACGCTAAGACTTGTGGTTCCCCGCATAGCAGTGCTGGATGTACGCTAAAGACTTGTGGTTCCCCGCATAACAGTGCTGGCTGCCACGCTTAAGACTTGTGGTTCCCCGCATAACAGTGCTGGCAGCCACGCTTAAGACTTGTGGTTCCCCGCATAACAGTGCTGGCTGCACGCTAAGACTTGTGGTTCCCCGCATAGCAGTGCTGGCTGTACGCTTAAGACTTGTGGTTCCCCGCATAACAGTGCTGGCTGTACGCTAAAGACTTGTGGTTCCCCGCATAACAGTGCTGGCTGTACGCTAAAGACTTGTGGTTCTACGCATAACAGTGCTGGCTGTACGCTTAAGACTTGTGGTTCCCCGCATAACAGTGCCGGCTGCACGCAAAGACTTGTGGTTCCCCGCATAACAGTGCTGGCTGCCACGCTTAAGACTTGTGGTTCCCCGCATAACAGTGCTGGCTGCACGCTAAAGACTTGTCGTTCCTCGCATAACATTGCTGGCTGCACGCTAAAGACTTGTGGTTCCCCGCATAACAGTGCTGGCTGTACGCTTAAGACTTGTGGTTCCCCGCATAACAGTGCTGGCTCTACGCTCAAGACTTGTGGTTCCCCGCATAACACTGCCGATTCACCTCTAAACACTGTCGGTCGCTCTCCGCTACTAAACACAGGACAGTGCACATTGTCTTGTTGACAGTTGTTGCTCGGGCCGATATCACCAAAGATCAAAATATACATCTTTCTGACGTGTTAGGTGAACACTTCTAAGGTATTTTACATCGATTTAAAACCGTTTTTGGTTATTAAATATCTGTTTTACACCTCATTAATTTGTTGAGGAACACGTTCGCATATGTATGCATAATTTCGTTATCTACACAATAAATAACAAACTTATCGGCGGCTAACCCTGCCATCATTTTGCACATAAAATATGTTATTTTATGCAGTTCACGCCCTATCGGCGTTTGTATGTAATACTTTATTTCAAAATGCAGAGTTCAAACAGGCTTGATTTATTGGCCTTAAGCCACCAACAGGGTGATACTTAACATGCAAAATAAATAAACATTTAAATGATACATTATGGTAATGTTGCACAGCTTTACATAATCCACTATCGAAAATAGAATTGTAACCGAGGCTATAAAACAAATGAATGCGTCAAGGATATTTCAAACGTAATTATTTAACAAATGGTTTGTTAAAATACGCGGTAGTATATTATTTTAAAGCAGTTTCGCCGGAGACTGAAGGTCTTTGCTGTAGACTGTTTTATTTTACGAGAAAGAAAAGCTAGGATTTCCGAACGGCTGCTGGGTAGTCACTCTTCTACGTGTGTCTAACATGACATTTCTGTCTAAGAACTTCGATATATTCCCTAATGTCACCCCCTAACAATCACTCATTCTCATGAAAGATACTGAAGTTTGAAAATCTTTAACAAAACGATGGCCATAAAACTATTTTTGTTTTGAAGTAAGACCAGAGAACACAGCCATGGCTTCCTTTCAGTTGGGCTAGCACACTGCCTCAGTTTTCACGATGTTACTGATGACCAAGACAACTTTGTATGTTTTGAGATCGGCGATGTTGCAGACTTCGAACTTGGTTACAGTTAAGATTTTTACAAACAATATCAATAGTACTTTCACCAGATAAAGAGTTCTGTCACCAAATAAAGAGTTCAGTCACCAGATCAATAGTTCTCTCACCACATAAAGAGTTCTGTCACCAGATAAAGAGTTGTTCTGTCACCAGATAAAGAGTTCAGTCACCAGATAAAGAATTCAGTCATCAGATAAAGAGTTGTTCTGTCACCAGATAAAGAGTTCAGTCACCAGATAAAGAGTTCAGTCACCAGATAAAGAGTTCAGTTACCAGATAAAGAGTTGTTCTGTCACCAGATAAAGAGTTCAGTCACCAGATAAAGAGTTTAGTCATCAGGTAAAGAGTTCTGTCACCAGATAAAGAGTTCTGTCACCAGATGAATAGATTTCCCTAAATCTCTATTTGTGCCAGTTTTATATTGGGACTGAGCAGAAAAACAAAATGGTTTTCAAGCGGTCACCTTGGATTTTGACAATGCAAGATTGAAATCGCCATTTCTTTAAAAGGATTAGATTTATTTTTTTCAAAATTCATACGTAGGTTTCCTGTTTTCTAATCGTACCAAATTCAATTTGGGATCAACTAGAAGAAAAAGATGTCAGACAGGCGGCTATTTTGGATTATAAGATTAAAAGTTTATTATCTCTATTTTTCGAGACATACTGGAAAATTCCCTCTCGAATTTTATATGTAGGTACCCCTTTGTTCTTATTGCGCACGTTTGATTTGCTTCGACTGATCAGAAATAAAAATTCTAACAGTCGACATCCATAAATTTTGACAACGAAAGTTTGTTTCCAAAATTTTTTAAGATGGGCATTTCTCAAATAGTGTTTATGGAATTGTATATAGGCTCTTGTTGGTCACTATTAGATCCATTTTGTTTTTGGGACTGATCAGATAAATAGAATGGCTGATAGAGGACCGTCGTGGATTTTGACAATTTTAGTTTGTTATTTCTTGAGAAGCACTGGATGAACAATTCTCCATATGTAAGTTCCCGTTGGCCTCTAGTTGTGCATTGCTTGTTGGGATTGATCGCAAAAACGGATGGCCGATAGGTAGCCATCTTAGATTTTGTCAGAATTCGTTCTGGATATTTCTTGAGAAATACAGTCCCTTTTTATGTTACCATATATAATTTCTAAATAACACTGATAACAATTTAAAATAATTTTTAGATTAAACAATATTGAAACGTACATAACTAATACAAACGTTTTAGGGACATTCAGTAGTGGGCGCTAGGATCCGTCTGGTTAAGTTTGATAACTTATTTACTATATAAATGTACAATGTTACGTAGCACGACGTGCGCTACTGTACGAAAAGTTAAACTTAACTGTATTTTTTGTATTAAAACGACGAACCATATCCTCTTTTAACATACACTTTGCAGTGTCGTAAATAAATCTGTCATACCATAAAGGATTTGATGTACACTAGATTTGTGTTTCGGCTGTCCAGACACATTAGTTTGTGGTTAGGGTATATATTGCAATGTCATGGATTCGGTACGTGATGTAACATGTCGGCGACGCGGTGACCAATGTTGTTTGTGACACTTTATATTATCCATCCGTCTGGTGGAGGCGAAGCACACTCTACATATACAATATTAACTCTCGTGCAAATCCAACCCGTATTATTACAACATCTCAGACAACAACTAACATGCAATTCTCATGATCCGATGTCAATGGCGTGGCGTGGATTTTATTTCCATAACACTGACTTTGGTATTAACAATTACACATGTTCTGAGAATGTATTAAGGACATGCGTGAGATGAAGACATTGTCCCTGTTAGGCATAAACTTTTCCTAAACCCTACTTATAGTGTATTGTATGTGGTATAGGTTTACAGGATGTAACCTTGGGAAGGCGAGAGTTGATTGGCTAATAAAACAAGATTGGATGGTCTCACGCGAGTGGAACATTATCAACGACGGGTGGGCAGTACATTAATATACGACTATACAGGAGCGTGTTGAAAAGACTAACATTACTCCTAAGAATATGTAGAATATTTCACAGAAGGAAATTAAATTCGTAAATCTTGTTTCATCAATTAACCATATTAATTACATCGATAGTGACAATAACGCTTTATGTCCTATTTCTGTGGGTTTTTAC